ACACATTATTCGCACTTTACTGTTGTAAAAAAAAAAGATGCATTTCTTGATTTTGTTCTCAAACATGGTGATAAAATTAAGCCGATACTGGTCCTACTTTCCATTCTGCACATATTCGCTGATGTTACAAAAGCCTGACTCCGCCGCTCTGGTCAAGGCTGCTGATAACACGAGATCTGCGGGGGCGTGCTCTGCAGTGACCTTGCAACAAATGGCTCAATTATCAAAGGTACGAGCAGACTGCATGCATTCTTCGGTTAACCCCTTGCTGTCACACACAGTCACGCACATACTCAGTCATGTGTGCACTGGCTGAAGAAGTCAAAGGTCACTGCACTCTTAACTTTTCTTCCTTCTTTTCTTCTTGGACTAATTTGGTGACTTAATGACCGCTGCTGTGCAGGAGGGGTCGGCTTGTATAAGGTAGTTGGAGTCATATGCAGTAAAGCTTCTCATAAATGCCAGGTGAAGTGTACTGAAGCCGTTAAATGCATCATAAAGACTTGTAGCGTTTAAAAAGCTGGATTGAACAAGGGGTCTCTTTATACAGGAAGAACTGGTCTCGGTTCGGTCACGGCCTGTGTAAAAAAAAAACACGTCTCAGTGATTTAAAACCTGTTTCATTACACTTTAAATTAAAACTCTGCAACTTTCCAAAGCGCTGTACTCTGTATGAAGAGTTTGTGAGATGGAATGTGAAATTAAAATCAATCACGACTGCTTTGGCTGTTAAATGCACCTCCATGGCTTTTATTTCACTCTCGGTGCATAAACAAGAGATCATTCTGGGTCACCGCAGGACTTTTCCATGTATTTAGCTCTTTAACTGCAGCCCAGCTCAGATTGTTTACTGTAAAGTCAGAAAGAAGGCATTAGAAATCACCCTAATGTTGTAGACATCACATGTTGCATAAGAAAATCAACTTTTATGCAAGTTTAAAAACAGGATTTAGATTGGGATGAGTTCACTGAATATCTTTGCAAATTATTCAACAGTCAAAATAAGATGATTCACATTCCTCTCCTCTCTGAGTTGAACTTACTGCTAAAATTAGATCATGTTTTTCAGAGTCTGTGCAGTGACCCACCCATGAGCCGTGGGAGTGTTGAAGCGTTGCCAGGAGGTTACCAAGAAGAAGAAGAAAAAAATTATTAACTAAATGCTGCAATCTGTCTCAGTCGTCCATGCAGCCCTCGGCCTCCCGCAAATTAAACTTTTGGGAATTATTTCGTCACTTTGGGTTGTGCTAAAATAAGCTATCAGTGTTAAAGAAGCTGAGTTAAAGAGCGTCTTTAACGTAGGAATATGCAGCAGTTTCACAGTGCTGATATAGAAATGTCAGGGCATGGGGAGTGTAAGGGACCGAGCAACCAGGCAAAGGACAAGAGTGTGGGGTAATGGTATCAGTGAGAGAGTAAGTGATGAACTTAACACACTTATAAGAAGCCCAGTGGAATCATTTTGTTTCATTTTTGTATCTGTGGCAAGACAACAGAGCTTGTTTCCTAAAAAGTGTCATCATCCGTTTTTACAGAAAATCTTGCTTGCTGTGCTTTAAATCCCAACGTCTAATTCCTGCAAATCCAACAAGCAACACGTGTCCTCTGTTTCAGTAATGAGGCGAAACTCTGAGGCTGTCCAAACTGAAAGTGAAAAGTAAAGACAACAGAGGCTAAATACCTGGGGGATGATTTTCAACATTCTCGAGCTGTTCTCTCTTACTTCCACCCCCTTTTCCCCCCTCCGAGTGTGCTTCAGCGCTCCTCTGATGCATTTCAGAGAAGATTGCTCTGTCAACCTCTTTAAAGGTGGCCATTCACAGCACGCCACTTCCTTCCCTTCTACAGCCAATATGCAATTATCCCCAGAAGTGGGCTCTGCGCTGCACCAGGTGCTGGAAAGTGTGTGTTTTGCAGGAATGCTATCAGCTAAGGGTATAGACATTAACTTTGTTCCCCTTGTGCTATTATCAGCCTCTTATAGAAACACACTTTTTTCCACGCTTGCCTTAAAAAAAACAGCCTAAAAATACAGATTGACATTGCTGGTAACTTCGGGTAAAATCCTCTTTTCATTCGAGAGCATAATCGGCCTTTTCTGCCCTTCTGTTCAGTCTGTGCGGCGCTCGGATGAATAAAGAATGGGGATGATGCAGAATTTACTTGTTTTGTGTCAACACATGCCCACAGCTGCATTCACCAAGCTCATATGGTTACTTATTTATTTTCAACATAAATATGACTCAACAAAGTTTCTAAGAGTTTTCAAGTTTGGTGTTTTGATGCTTTCTGACTCTTCTGGTGTCGTCTGTTATCTTTCTGCAGTGAGACGTCAGCGTGACATTTCTCCACTAATGAGGTTCACGCAGAGAGAGCAGCAGCGAATTCTTTAAGTGTCCATTTTGATGTTTGCCAATTGGATGCACGGAGGTTTAACTGGACGAGCATTGAGCGAATCAGGATCAGCAGGTGTACTATGGGCTTAGCTTGAACTCTTGGCCTGTCTGGACTAACACCATGCTCAATTTGATAACAAAAGTTGTGCATTTGCACATCCAGTAAACACACAATAAAGTATGTGAATTGAATCTGTGCTGACATTTCAGTTTTCTCTTGGATATACATCTTAAACTGTAATAGAGGATAAGGGCCACATGAAGAGAAAAAATAATAATTACAGAAAGGAGATTAAAGTCGAAATTTCGAGATCAGAGTCAAAATTTTGAGATAAGAAAATATGTCTAAAGTTGAAATTTTTTGATTAAAAATTACAGTTTCAAGATTAAGTTAGAAATTTCTAGATTAAAAATTGAAATTTCGAGATCAAAGTCGGAATTTCAAGATGAGTCAAAATTTCGAGATAAAAAAATCGAAATTATATCAATAAAGTCACATTTTCGAGATTAAAAATTTTCAGATAAAAGTTGAAATTTCAACATTAAAAAAATAAAAATTATGTCAACAAAGTCGAAAATTCAAGATTACCAAATGTTGAAATGGCGTGAATAAAGTTGAAATTTCGAGATCAAAAAAATTTAGATTTTGAGATTAAAGTCGAGACTAAATTTCTAGATGAAAAAAATCGAAATTATGTCAATAAAGTCAAAATGTTGAGATTAAATTCGAAATTATGTGATTACAAAATGTTGAAATGTTGTGAAAAATGTTGAAATTTTGGGATTAAAAAAAATTAAAATTTTGAAATTAAAGTGGACATGAATAAAGTTGAATTTCTTAAATTTCAACTTTAATCTAGAAATTTCACTTTAACCTCTCCCGTAATTATTCCATTATCTTTTTGTGGCCCCAATCCTCTTTCGTGAAAAAAAAACTGATGATTTCAGCAGATTTTTTTTTTTTTCTCGAGCAGAAAGACAGAGCAGAGAATTATTGATGGACAAAGACATGTCTTAGTTCATGTGTTGGCATTCTTCTCAAGTGTGGGCTGTTGTCTGAAGCGTGTTACTGAAAACCATGTTCAATGTGGGCCCTATTATAGTCAAACATACTACTGTCATTTGCATCTCGCCCCTTTGCATGTCGTACAATGACTTTCCTTTGTGTGCAGTATGAATCCACAATGCTGTCTTCAGGCAGAGGCTTTTCTATGGCTTGTTTATTTTCTGTAAGACAGAAGCAGCAGCCTACACTGCCGGGGTTTACAGTGGGTACACAGCGGCATTGAGACAGCACTTATATAAAGACTGCTTCTCTTAAAACTGTGAAAAGCTGCCTCTTGTTAGAGAAAAAACTTTCCTGAAGCTGAACAGCCGAGAGCTCACAGAGTGCACAGATGGTCAAGTCTGTGTGAGTGTTCAGAGGTGGAAATGCAGCAGAAATAACAAGTGAGATAAAACTGGACTAATGGATCTTTTTCATTTTGGAATAAGAACGTATTATCTTGTAGAAAGGGATGGGAAAGGTTACCGAACCATTTCAGATTCTAATATTCAACCGATAAAGAGCCCATCGAGTCCTTTATTTACCAGGTGACATAAAAGTCAGTGTATGAGATGCACTTTTAACCCACTGAGGCATTTTGTAGTGTTACACACTCCACGTCCTGACCTCGCTAAAATACAAAAGCCCAAAAACCAAATTAAAAACAAAACAATTGGGAGTGTGATGGGATTAGTTAACACCTATATGCTAGCATAAACGGGGTGTGGATGAGTGACCGAGACAAGTTTTGATTGGTCCTAACACTACAAAGAAAATGCATCAGTCCGTTTTAATATGATGGATAGCCTGATGAGTAATGGTGCAGATGAGCAATTGTTGAGTGGAGTTTTTTAGTATTTTCTTTCTTTTTATTAGAGAGGATTGGGAATCAGGGCAAGAGAGAGCGGTGAGTGACATGCAGGAGAGGAGCTGCAGGCTGGGATTGAACTGAGGCCGCCTGCTTGAGTAATATAACCTCTGTATACGGGATGTATGCTCAGACTTCCAGGCCGGCAGCGCTGCAGATTTACTCTTTAAAAAAGTGCTTTTTCCAAAAACTAGTCATGAAAAAAAAGAGGTCATCTTGTAAACAGGGTTTTCTCATATTCGGATCGATACATGTTGATGGGAGTCAGACATGGATGTTGCTAATCAGAAAGAAAACAGCCGTCAAACAAATCCCTGCGAGGACAAACAGGGAAATGAGTTCATATCGGCAAATATCGTTTTTAACCTTAGATTTAAAAAACTTAACCTTATGTAGGAAACTGTGAAATACCCACAGCAGTAACAACTTCTTGTTCTTGTTTGTTTCCATCCTGCCTCTCCACAACCGTACTCCAAAATGTGCATAAAAATAATCCTCTGGAAACACATCTATTGATTTGTTTCTCTTTCATTCTTTGTCTTCGTTTTCAAGCTTCCTGCCCTGCTTCCATTTCTTTTTCTTCGTCTGAGAATGATTCCAGCAGACACAGAGAAGAAAAATGTGCTAAAACAATGTTTTCAAGAGTCAAAACTCATTTTGCTCTACCTGCTGGAGAAGCCTGGGAAACTGATGGAAACTGAGGGAAGTCAGACTCTGCCTCCTGGCTCAGGAATCGGAATCTGCCATGTTCCCTCCTCACACCATCTGCTGATGTATTCTGGAGACCTGTGGGTGATACGTAAGAGCTGAGTGTGTGTTAATGTGAACATGTGAGCTGTGCGCAGGAAGTGTAACCGGAGCATATGGCCTGTGAAGTCGTATGAGAGAATAGTGGGAGCGGGAGAGGTTGAGAGGTGACGGTGAGGCTGTTAAACTGATCGAAATGTTTCACACCGTAGACGCGTCTTCACACCACCCGTTTCTTATTCAGTGCCGACCTTGAGTCCCACCTTTTGGGCTTTTATAAGCTGAGAAAGAAAAAGAAACATTTACTGAAACCAGAGCGAAAGAAAAGGGGTCACATACTGTGAGGCTGAAATATGTAGAGCTCCTCCTACTGACCGTCTGCAGAACTGCATGTGGAACCAAACTGTAAAACTCAACTTCTTCTCAAATAACTTAAAAAATCTTTTTTCTTTGTAATTAAAGTCATTCCTTCTCACGGTTTTGAGGCGTGTGCATGTTTTTTGAGGAATTTCTTGTAAAAGGAGGCGTGGCATTTTGATTGACAGCTCTGTTAGGAAATGTGTTAAAGATCATGAATGCATATCAAATGTAAATTGAAGGTGTGCCTCCGCCTGTCAACAATCAGCCTATATCCCCGCCCATAGGTAGCCAATGACCACTGAACAAAGAGGTGTGGATATGTGGTTTCAGGCAAGGTCCAGAGAGAGAGAGAAACTTAAACGCAGTTGATGCGCGCTGTAGCAGTCCGAGTCCCTGCATTGTCATCATTATATGCCGGTTACCAGCGGCATATAATGATAATTTTTTCTTTAAAAAACAGGTATAGTATGTCCTCTCTATGGTTTACTACCAGAGGCTGTGATGTAAATTTACACCTTTTTACCAATAATGATATTCATGAGTCTGGCAGCCTTACAATATGTCTAAATATTCATTATGAAACAGAGAAAGTGTGTGAAAACACTGGCAGAAGGAGGAATTAATTACTGAAACAAAACAAACAGATACATGTTGAGCAAACAGGACCATCAGCACTGAGACTATGGTGCTTTTTAATGTCTGTACCTGCTGCACAGAGGTGAGTTTAGACCGGCACAATGAAGGAACTTTTTCAACTAATTCTACTACAAATACTTCCAATAAGTGATACTTTTGCTTGTTAAAAGACAACAGCAGGAGATTTTTAAGGAAACGATTACTAATTAATATAAAGGAGACTGCAAAGAGATAAGAGGCATCACTGTAACCACAGGGGCCGCCAAAATCAACACACAGTTACAGTTGAAAGTAATCAAATTTTGTAACATTCATTATTTTTCTGAAGTTTTTTCAGATATAAAACAGCCAACAGTTCATATCTAAATTAAAGTCTCTCTAAGAAGCTCTCATGTGCTGAGGAAGTGTATCAGAGACCTTCTTCGTAAAAGCAGCTGCAGAGACGTTCCTGCCAATTACACACAGAGCCAAACCAAACTTTTATATGATGAGCAAACCAGATCAGGAACTCTGAGACACCCTTGATACCGGAGCGTTTTGAGAAGGGAAAGCACCGAAAGCTGCAGTTTTTCCCCTCTGATATCGTAGATCTTTGTGATTGATTAGCTTTGACTGAATGTCTTTGTGTTTATGGAGTGGAGTGGGACAGGACCAGGGAAAAACTCACAAATGGATCAAAGTGTTCCCACACTCCACAGTGGAAATAATTTGCATAAACGTGTTTAAGACTACCACCCCTTTAAAGATTGTTTGATAGAAAGACAGGGTGGTTTATAGGGCTGGGAGATAAACCGAAAAGTTACCGATACTGAAATTTACGACAATAACCTTCCTCCTGTGTTAGCTTTTACTACGCACTCACTATGTTAAGGGTCGGTTTTGACCCGTGTCTTAAATCAGCGGTAAATTACACTAAAAACAATTCTCACGACAATTCAATTTACACAACAACAGTATGTCATAAGACCTGCTGCACGTGTTGGTTTGTTTGCTGTGGGCTGGTATTAGCAGGTGTGTGTGACCATGTAGAAAAGAGGAGAGAAATGAAATGCAATGAAATGTTGCAGAAGGAGTTGCTGCTCTAAAATACACATCCACGCACATAAAAGTCCCACTAAAACCCACACAGGTCTCTGCTGTGACGGCAGACGGAGCGGTGTGTCACCTGCAGCGTCTCTGAAATCAGCTGTCTTTGTGTAACATCGATCTCCCGCTGTTCTTACTATGGCGTTTCTCCTCAACTCAGCAGCCAGGGTGGAAACACGTGCAGCGGAGAGCTGTGAATCTCCAGATAACATCTCAACCCTCTGTGGACTCTTTGATAGTTCCCACAACTAACAGAACAAGCTGGCTGTGTGAGCATGCTGCAGTCACTGAGATGTAATCCGTCTGCAACTGTTTCTTCACAATGCAGATGGACAGAGCGGCAGAGAGAGGAGCTGCCTCTTCACACAAACAGATAAATAAGTATAAGACAGCAAAAGTGTGAATGAACCAATAGTTTTTAGCAATAGACATAAGAGGGCCAGATAAAGTCCGGAATAAAGCAGTCTGGCAGTGTGAGGCAGGCCTCGGTGACAGCCTGAATTCACCAAACAGGAGCTTCCCGCCTTGTAAAGAGCCTCCTCCTCCTCCTCCGACCGCTCGCCCTCCCGCAGACAGCAAGTCAACTGTGTCATTGGCCTGCTAATGGGAGGGATCACGCCTGGCTGTATAACAAGAGCAGGACAAGCTGTCAGTGGTCCTCTGACAGGTGCAGCTTTCCCAGAATGCCTTGCAGCCGTGCCGCAGAGCTCAGTAGATGCCACCTCTGAATCTCCGGCTGCTCTCTGCTGACGAGCCAAAGCGTCCGTCTCCCACAGACACAAGTAATTAGGTTTTCACCCGCGCCTTACACAGCAGACTGGGAGCGTACTCTGCTGCTCTTGCGCTCTCTCTATCTCCTACTCTGCTTCTTTTTCACCTCCGATCAAACTACCTTCAGCTTCACGGCTCAGAGCTCTGAGTGAATCTGTGTCTGTGTGTGTCAGTGTCAAGAAAATGAGGAGAAAAAACACTCAGAGAAAGCCCGAGAGAGTGAATGATGATGATGATGCATAAAGTTTTCACAGCTAATGACCCCTTACAATAGAAAAAATAAGTGTGGGGGCGGAGCTCCTGTCTTTCAGTCACTCCAGACACATCATCACAAAAGCACCTTATTTCCACAGTAATACACTGAGTATGAAACCTGACGAAGCACCATGAATGGGAGTGCTATAATAATTTTCTGTCTGTAATATTGAAGTCATTAGGGGTGTTCCATGTGGTCTTCCAGAGGAAAACAGGCCCAGCAATGTGCAGCTTTGGTGCAGATGTGAAGCTCTTTTTACTTCCAGAGATGAGTATAATTGATCAAAAACAGGCAAGATACATGATTAAAACAACAGCACAAAAACTATAACAGTATAATACATGCAACAATTGGGGTTGCAAAATTCCTGGAATATTTCAAAGTTGGAAACGTTCCATGGGAATTAACGTGAATTAACAGGAATACATCTGAAATGTATAAAATTCGAAGGTTGTCCCCCAACAGGGAACTTAAATATACCCACTGCTCAATGCGACGTCGAAATGACATCTATTTAACACATTTTTTTGACGATGAGGTACAAATGTGGACATCATTTCAACATCTAAAAGAGGTGCAATAATGATGTCTAAATCTTGTATCCATTTTGCACATTGTGCCGACATCTAGATTTGGTCTTAAGAAGACATCCAAATTCGTAACATCAGAGCAACGTCTAAAAAAGGTCCAATTTGGACGTCAAAATTTCTAACCTATTTTGCACGTCGCAATACGGACCAACCCAATATTGACATGATCTGCACATCTCTTCGACATCCAATGTTTGGTGGGTAGTTTGGGAAAATATATTGTAGCATAATCTTGGCTAAAAACAACCAGATTTGATGCAAGTACATTCCTCAATCACATGCACACAGCACACTGCTTACTGCAGGGCTATTGAGGCACTGGGCATTCCTCCATCACATGCACAGATGTGAAATTCAAGTAAGTTTTGATATTATGGGGTACATATATTTGATCTATAATAGTATTAATATTTAACTTGCAAATATTAAATAAAAATAGGTGCAAAATGTAAGTTAATTTTCATTTCATTTCAAGGGGCTAGCTTGTAATGGTTGTGGTAGCTGCCTCAAATGTGAGGCTGTTTCTTCTGTCTCCTGCAGGACGGTTTTCTGAAACAATTTACACATCAGTTGTCAAATATTTTGAAGACCATTCCAGTTGTTTAGCCAACTATATTGAGGCGAATTGCTAATGAGCTACTGGAGCTCTGCAGAAGAAAAGTCCTTGAAAACGACACAGACAACATGTAGTGAAAAAAAAAAAAAAACAATTGGAGTGGGACTTAAATAAGTGGAGCCCTCATCTTCAGCCTGATGGTGCCTCCAGCTCTAGATGAGCTAATAGCTGCCATCTGCGTTTGCTCTGGCCAAGTGTTTGACTTCACCTCTCTTTAAATATCTGCGCATGACTGTAATCACTGAGGCGCTTCCTTCATCACTCTTCAGTTGAATTTTCAGAGGCAAGTGTTTGAGACGGACAGTATGGACCCTCGACAGTTGTTTAAGTCCTCCTCGGACCTTTTTTAAACACTGGATGGAGAAAACATGCATATGTTGTTTTTTCCCCTTTACTTTTGGGGCCATTTGACGCAAGTAGGGCGACAGGAGGAGACGGTACATTCTTCTAAACACTGTTTGGGACACTCACACAAATTTACTCACACACAGACACACTGACGCAGGCCTGATGTAATGTTTTTGTGTCCATTGCTGGAAGTGGAAATTGATGCATCTTGCTTTGTGTGTGTTTTCTGGGCCATGACTGTACACCAGATTCACAGTGAGTCCCACCACCAAGAGGGAACAGATCTATTTTGGCACCAGCTGACTGACTGTGGCAGAGCAAGTCTTCCAGCTGCTGAGAGGATCCACGCCACAACAGAAAAAAAGTGACTTTATTCCAACAGTCTCTCTTAAGCTTATCTTTGTTTCGATGTGTTGGTATGTAAAATAATAAATAATGAAATGTTCATGGCTGTTCCTTATGATGGGGTACTTTGAGAAGAATCAGGTTAAATAGGTTGTTTATACCTGTTTGCCTTTGAAAAGTAAAGTTTTACCTGTCATGATCCTACCATAGAGTAGCTCTAAAAACCCTTTGTTTTGTGGGTGTTACATTTTACACGGCTTTGAAACGACTTGAAAGTAAACACATCGTTATGCCTCAATGACCACTTAAACCACCTGAAACCCGTCATCTTTTACACTTTTGGAGTACCCTGGTGCCGTCCCACACAAGCCTGCCTCACTGGTTCACTGTTCGTTTCAGTTGTCAAGACACCCCATAAGCCCTAGCATTGACCACTTCTTTTGTTGTTGTCCTCATATGAAAACACTTCAGCTGAATGGGTTGTAGTTTGACAAAAAATAGTCTCATACTTATACTAAGCTGTTTCTGTATTTTTTCATTTACCAGATGTTGAGTCTCAAATGAGACCAGCAAAAATTGCCACAGCTGACTATGTTTCAAGTCATCCAGGCGGGGTATTGGGTTAAGTTTTCAACCAGCAATGATCACGTCTCAGTAGACCTTCATGGACTATGATATTGCCACTGCGCAAGCATGCCATGAAAAGCTGAAAGCAACAGTCTGACCTGGTCCAACACTCACCTCACTAATGGTGACTTTGTGAGACCATGCTGCTGTCAGAGCCTTTTCCAGACAACAACACAAATTTGTTGTGTATTGTTTGACTGAAAAGCATGCCATCAACATTTAACAGCAGTGGCAGACTCTTGTCCTGATTTGTAAGTGATAAGAAATCCAAACAGTTTCATGATGTGGAATAGCTAGAGATTATGAAGATTATAAAGCTGACTTGGTCAAGCAACGCTCTTGTTAGCCAGGCATCTGACCTGACAGGTATTGTCTGGACAAAGGAAAGTTCAGCGTACATTTAATTGGCTGGATTTCCTCCAAGCTGCAAATCTGGGTTTGGAACGGAAATACCAGCACCTTCAGACCATCCCATTCTAAAGGTTTCCCATGATGTACTAATGCAGGTGACTTTTCTGCTTCAAGAAGTCTGTCCTTTGTTGAATTTACTGCTTAAGGCTATGGAACCTGGAGATAATACTCTTGGAAGCAGAGTACCATCGTCTCAAAGAGAAGCCAGTGGTCCTTAGCTGTTTCTATTTATCTTATTAACCAGATGGTGAGTCTCAGATGAGACCAGCAAAAATTGCCACAGCTGACTATGTTTCAAGTCATCCAGGCGGGGTATTGGGTTAAGTTTTCAACCAGCAATGATCACGTCTCAGTAAAGCTTCATAGACTATGATATTGCCTCTGCGCAAGAATGCCATGGGAAGGCAAGAGAGACCTGCTCAAGCTGGTCCAACACTCACCTCACACATGGTTGACTTTGTGAGACCATGCTGCTGTCAGAGCCTTTTCCAGACAACAACATGAACTAGCTGTTTATGTTTTAAGTGTAAAGCCTGTCATTTGCATTCGACAGCAGTGGCAGAGCCTTGTGAAAATATAATGAATTTTCATTTGTATCAATGACTATGTCCCAATAGATGTAGATAACCACCAATCCATGACCATGATAAGTACATGATTGAGGTCAGCAATTTGACTTCACCTGACAAATAAAATTGCTGTAGCGCTTCAAGTTTGTAGTGGAGTGTTGGACGCAATTTTACTTTTTGGTCAAAAGCTTTTTTTTTTCTTGCAAATCGTATGTGTCAAGAAATAGTTTGAATATAAATGGCAATATAATGTGATTATTGTGCATGAAGCTCCAGTCATAGATCAGTTAGATAGTTAGAGCAACAAAGTTCTGCACTGAGACGGGAAGAGGGAGCAAGACACCCCTGTGAGTGGAATCACTTACCAATATTTCCAACCATGGTGGGCGACATTGTAATCTCAAGATTTTACTGTATTTTTAATGTATGATCCTAATTTCCCATGAATATTGAAGACCGTAATTCTGATCCATGGACGCTGTAGTTCCAGTCATGTATATACGGCTATTGTTGATTTTTATTCTGCTCCGTTTTGTTTTGTCCTTGATCGATCTAGATGCTTTATTATTTTGTTATTATTTTTTCTATTTACCATTAGCTGGCTCTTCTGTAGAGTTTCTCTTCTTTTTTAGGCATAAGAAGCAAAAGACGCCTCAAAAATAGATAAAGCATGACTATACTAACAATATTCTGTTGCTTTGGATGCAATATACGAGTATAAGCTTTAATGTGTAGTTATCTGTATATTTCTATTCCAGTACCACTTTGGGCCTCTAAAGTCCAGTTTTGCTTTGCATTCTGCATCACAGTGAGGGAGTGATAAAATTCAGACAAATTTCATGTTATTAATGTCAAAAAAGCTCACAGCGTACTGTGTAATAAAGATTCCTAACTCTCCTCGTTAAGCAGTGCTGCTCAGAGGGGGCTGTGAATAAGAAAGCAGCTGCCGGCGTGCCGTATCAGCTCGATCTGCACCAGTTAACCTCAATCTGCAGCGCAGTCTGTCTCTAATGGAGGCTGTCAGCTGGCAGATCTGGCCTTTTCTCAGCACCTCCTCTACCTTTCCACACATTATTTCTTCACACACTCTATTGTTTGTGGTTGCAGCTGTAAGAGTCTTAAATCTCATAAGAATCAACTTTAAAGAATTCAGGAAAACACTCATTATTTATTTATGGATCTGCAGTTAGGGGAACCACAGACTGAACAATGACTTCAACTCATATTGAAGTAAAAAGAGATATATGGTACAAATCTTAGGTTACTTTTTATTGAGGGCCTGTTCTTAAGGCACAAATAAACATACAGATGAGTGGTAAAGCTATCGAAGACTCTTTTTAGCCAACCCAACAATGCATTGACCACAGATGTTATTGTGCAAATCAGGGCAAATGTGCAATATATAGCAGCATTAGTAAAATGATGGTGTAGCTGTGTGTAATGAAGCCAACACAGAAGCTGGTCCCCAGCCATGGATGCCGCTACCTTGCATCACAAGCCTTGGTTACTCATAAGGGTTCCTTTGGTAAAAAAGAAAGTCCAATCTTTTTTGTCTTCTCACGAAAGAGGACACCAGGAAACAACTAGAATGGCATTCTTAAAATAAAAAAAATAAATATAAGAACCTTGCATCCATATCAAAAGAACATGACAAAACATAACTTTCCTTTGTTCTGACAGCAGTATGGTCTCACAAAGTCACCATTAGTGAGGTGAGTGTTGGACCAGGTCAGACTGTTGCTTTCAGCTTTTCATGGCATGCTTGCGCAGAGGCAATATCATAGTCCATGAAGGTCTACTGAGACGTGATCATTGCTGGTTGAAAACTTAACCCAATACCCCGCCTGGATGACTTGAAACATAGTCAGCTGTGGCAATTTTTTGCTGGTCTCATTTGAGACTCATCACCCGGTAAAATAGAAAAAACAGAAGAACCCTCGGATTAACAACTGTTTGTTGAGAAAATTTAACTCTGCATTCCTGCAGACCCCTAATTCATTTCAACTGATACTTCGTTATCAAGCAGTTCAATTCTAGTGAGAACAGCCTTCCTGATACAGAAAAGGCACCCTCATGAGCACATCATGGGGAACCTTTTATATGGAATGATCCCAAGGCGCTGGTATTTCAGTTCCAAACCCAGACTTGCAGCTTGGAGGAAATCCAAACTCCAAAGTCTGTGGAAATCCAGCCAATTAAATGTACGCTGGACTTTCCTTTCTCCACACAGTACCTGTCAGGTCAGATGCCTGGCTAACAAGAGCGTCACTTGACCAAGTCATCTTTATAATCTTCATAATCTCTAGCTATTCCACTTCATTAAACTGATTGTATTTCTTATCACTTACAAATCAGGACAAGAGTCTGCCACTGCTGTTAAATGTTGATGGCATGCTTTTCAGTCAAACAATACACAACAAATTTGTGTTGTTGTCTGGAAAAGGCTCTGACAGCAGCATGGTCTCACAAAGTCACCATTAGTGAGGTGAGTGTTGGACCAGGTCAGATTGTTGCTTTCAGCTTTTCATGGCATGCTTGCGCAGAGGCAATATCATAGTCCATGAAGGTCTACTGAGACGTGATCATTGCTGGTTGAAAACTTAACCCTATACCCCGCCTGGATGACTTGAAACATAGTCAGCTGTGGCAATTTTTGCTAGTCTCATCTGAGACTCATCACCTGGCAAAATAGAAGACAGAAGCACCTTCGGACCATCGCTTTTATCAGCAGGTAACAGAACTCTCCATTTCTGGAAATCCTGAAATAAATTCAACTGATACCTCCTTTTCACGCAGTCAATCCTAGTGAGGACAGCCTTCCAGATACAGAAAAGGCACCCCCATGAGCACATCATGGGAAACCTTTTAAACAGAATGATCTGAAGGCGCTGGTATTTCCGTTTCAAACCAATACTTGCAGCTTGAAGGAAATACAAACTTCAAAGTCTGCGGAAATCGAGCCAATTAAATGTACGCTGGACTTTACTTTGCGTAGACAATACCTGTCAGGTCAGATGCCTGGCTAACAAGAGCGTTGCTTGACCAAGTCAGCTTTATAATCTTCATAATCTCTAGCTATTCAACTCAATTAAACTGATTGTATTTCTTACCACTTACAAATCAGGACAAGAGTCTGCCACTGCTGTTAAATGTTGATGGCATGCTTTTCAGTCAAACAGTACACAACAAATTTGTGTTGTTGTCTGTGAGACCATGCTGCTGTCAGAGCCTTTTCCAAAGTCACCATTTGTGAGGTGAGTGTTGGACCAGCTTGAGCAGGTCTCTCTTGCCTTCCCATGGCATGCTTGCGCAGAGGCAATATCATAGTCCATGAAGGTCTACTGAGACGTGATCATTGCTGGTTGAAAACTTAACCCAATACCCCGCCTGGATGACTTGAAACATAGTCAGCTGTGGCAATTTTTGCTGGTCTCAATTGAGACTCATCACCTGGTAAAATAGAAAACAGAAGCACCTTAGGACCATCACTTTTTCAATCAGACAGCACTCTTCATTCTTGGAGATCCCAAAATAATTTCAACTGATACCTCCTTTTCAGGCAGTCAATCCTAGTGAGGACAGCCTTCCAGATACAGAAAAGCTCCCTTCAAATCATGGAGAACCTTTTAAACGGGATGATCTGAAGGCGCTGGTATTCCGCCTCAAAACCCAGACTTGCAGCTTGGAGGAAATCCAAACGCCAAAGTCTGTGGAAATCCAGCCAATTAAATGTACGTTGGACTTTCCTTTTTCCACACAATACCTGTTAGGTCAGATGCCTGGCTAACAAGAGCGTTGCTTGACCAAGTCAGGTTTATAATCTTCTTAATCTCTAGCTATTCCACTTCATTAAACTGTTTGGGTTTCTTATCACTTACAAATCAGGACAAGTGTCTGCCACTGCTGTTAAATGTTGATGGCAGGCTTTCTGGTCAAACAATACACAACAAATTTGTGTTTTTGTCTGGAAAAGGCTCTGACAGTAGCATGGTCTCACAAAGTCACCATTAGTGAGGTGAGTGTTGGACCAGCTCACCCTGTTGCTTTCAGCTTTTCATGGCATGCTTGCGCAGAGGCAATATCATAGTCCATGAAGGTCTACTGAGACGTGATCATTGCTGGTTGAAAACTTAACCCAATACCCCGCCTGGATGACTTGAAACATAGTCAGCTGTGGCAATTTTTGCTGGTCTCATCTGAGACTCACCACTTGATGAATAAAAACTGCAAAACAAACCATTATGATCACATAGGTAATGTATTATCCAAACTTACTCTTAAAACTATCACTGGCTGAAATTATTACAAGTATTTCTTAAAATGACATCAAAGGAAGTCTTGAAACAGATGTAATTTACTAGTAGTCTTTCAGTAGTCTTATAAATAAAACCCTTTATCGTAATACCACCACGTAAAAGACAGTAGATATTTGACCATATTAAAATACATTGCCATACAACCACTGACTTAATATATAGATGAAGTATGCTCAAATGAGAAGTTCTGCCCCCTACAGGTTAGACCTGCCCTGCTTTTGTAACCTGTCCCAGCTCACCGATTGAACCCGACAGGTATTTAACCACTGGACTCAAAGAAGGAATGCACATCTACACACCAGACGGGATCTGCCAGCTAAAAAAATCAGCAGATTGAATTCTTTTCTCGATGCTGATGGAGTCGGGCAGTTTTAATTGAGTTGTTTGGTGTCTTCAAACTGGCAATTTATTCCCGGTGCTGGTGTCAAAGGCTGGAGAGGGGTGGGAAGAGGCTGGTTCTAACTGTCACAGTTGGTAAATGGAAAACTTTGCTAAGCTTTAATTACCTTAACCTTTATCATGCATTGGAAGGTCAATCCCTGGAGATGGAGGGTTTAAATCTGCATGAAACTGTATGATTCTGAAATTATAGTGTATGAAAATACGGTGTGAAGAAGACTTCAAATTCAAACCAGTGGAAAGCAAAGAATTATGGGAATTATTTTGTTGGTTAGGTTTAAATGGGGACCTGAAACTCGAGTCAAGATACTCTCTTGTGATACTCTCAATCAAAGGCTGTGCGACGTCATTCCCTTCCCACGGGAAAATCAGTCAACAAAAAAAAATGGCTTAACAGCTGTTCAATCAGTGTATGTTCCACTTATTCGTCACATCCATGGTGAAATCCTCTGTACCCTCAAAAAACAGCCAAAACATGAAGCGTATGGATTTCCCTTTTGTTCACTCAGAGGGCTCTGCTGTGTCTGAAATGATTTGAGATGTTTAATGCAGCAGCAGAATGGCTGTTTTAGTTCATTGTGCAGAAATAGAGGAATTATGAGATCAACCTCAAAGTTAGAGCCTGCAGGTGGATGCCATGGAGGTATGCCATGGGGGCAAAAGTAGGGCTGGGTGATTTAGCATAAAACGTTACAACAATAAAATCTTCAAACAAGTCATTGTCGATTGATTTTGGATTAGCGATTATCACAATACCCACTGAGCATTTTCTGGTCTAAAAAAAGGTCTAATAGACGTCTTAATGTAGTCTAGTCGACTGGTCTAAAAATGAAAGTTTTTTAGACGTCTAAATTTAGACCAAGTTTCGACCAAGTCTAAATCTGGGCTATATCTGTATTACACTGTATATTGCTCAATGGCTATCATAATTATCTTGGTAAAGTACTAGGAGATCAGTTATAAAACTCACAGTTGTTTTTTGAAATAAATAGTTGTCAAATAATGGGTGAAAGTGCAACGTCTAAATTCCGTCTAAAAATATAAAGGAAGCTAGACGGTTGAAATTAGGTCTAAAAAAAAAACGAGACGTCTAATAGCCGTCTATTGCTCAGTGGGTAAATATCAAATCATTGTGTATTGTAATTTTAGTTATTTAGCTTTTATCTGTGGTCAATAGCTCTGATAAAAATCCTGAAACTGTGAAGTAAGTAACTTGTTTGTTATGTCTTGGTGGGTTTTTTTTTAGTATAAATAAATATAGACTAAGACTGAAATCAGGAGGATATGTGCAACTATGAACTAGCCCACTGGTGTCTCTCCATGAGTGGACACACATTGTTTCATTTGCAGTTGACATTTACAGCAGCTTTAGTTTGACAGACAGTCCATACAGCAGCTTTACATCTGCCGTTTATGTAATAACGGGCTTTAGGAGGACTTTACTTAGCCCGTCTCTCTGCCACTGGTGGTAAACCAACCTGTTTTTGCATTTTGAGTGACAGCCTGATTAACATTTGCAATGCACATTGAAACTGTACTTTCCACGGTTACACCACTTATTCCATGCTAGGACAGTAAACATACCCATAATTGACATTGTCAGCATGAATTATGGCGCTGTTAATTTGACACAGAACGATTCCTCCCTGCTGGTGAAACTCTGAAGTTTGGCTCCAAATTTGGATCTTTACAGCCCGCAGTGTGTTAGCGTTCTTATTAATGTGGCTGGTCCAAACAGCAGAGGCCTGATCCAGCAGCGATATGAAAACCAACACATCTGTTTACCTCCCAACCATCCCCTCTTTTTTCCTCTGCTCCTCTATAGGAACTCTATCTGTGTGTCTCTCTGAGCTATATTCACACAGCATCTATAAATGTGTCATTTCCCCCTCAAATGTGACGCAGACATGATGTCCTATAATCAGCGTGAGGAGCGAGAAGCTGCACTGCTTTCCCTCCTCCGGATAAGAAGAACAAAAACCACGGCATGACACTCCGAGAAGAGACATGACGAACACCACGGCTCCTGCAATCGGATTTTGTCAGCATTGTGATGATAGTGGAGACAGTTGTCACAGTTATAGCAGCAAATTGTCGCCAGCTTCTGTGGATCATTGTCAGCTGACAACAGAAATAGACATGCAGGGAAGTATTGACTGATGACTGAATTCATTCAATTTATTCAATTTTCAAATTTTAACACCGTGTGAAAAGTGAAGAGCTGGCTGAGAATCATTTAACAAGCTTTGTGCAGGAATTCTGTTTGCAGAAAACATGTATAGACGACACTGATATGCTAAGCTAAGATAAAAATAATCCCACTGTGTCAGTGAGATGAAAGAAAGAGTGTGAGAAAACTTCTGCCAAACTTTCCCCCGAGTTTTTAAAGTTTGAAGACTTGTGAATGAAGTCAAGCCAAAGTGCCAGAAAGTGCAGTTCCTCTAGCAGCCACTTGAGGCTGGCTCCAAATGTAAGTCAATCATCATTTAACCCTTAAATAATAATAATAATAATAATGATACTAATAATAATAATAATAATAATAATAATACAGTTTACCAATACATCAGGCCGCCTGAAGTTCGACCCGAACTAAAACAGTGAAGTTAGACAGCAAAAAAAGACAAGACTGTCAAGACTGCAAAATTCAAATACGTCTGAACATTCGCTTGTCATGTTAAATAATTATTCAAAGTTGACTTTCTGAAAAATTGACAGTCCAACCGGGAAGTTAACAAAACCTCAACAAAAGAAGAAGAGGTAAACAAAACCAAACTGTGGTGGTGAGCTGCTAAATTCTCCATGTTCCCACCATTCAACCTACAACCTATTTGTCTTTTCTTGACATATTAGATCAATTTTAAGAAAGCCTGATCTAAACTAGATAAAAGAGGGGAAAATTACCCAGATAAGGACAGTCGTCTGATTGAATAACCCGATCAAGCTTTCTTCATAACTCAGCTTAACTGTGCTTGTTATTCTCTAGCCGAAAATATAAACTCTGAAAGCACGATGGAAGTTTGAAGTCTTATTAATTAGTCAGTCGTCACAAAGTCCAGGTCAACTTTTTTGCAAATGGTTCATGGTTGTTGAACACACTTTAAAGAAGAGGTTGGCAATTCAGTCCCTGGACCTTCGAGTTAAATCTAGTCTGAGTGAAAGAGCCGCCCACAACCATAGAGTGCCCCTCAGCCATACATGGTTAAAAAAGGTTGAATACCAAAATGCCGGGTGAAAGAAAAGACACTCCAGTCAAACAAGTCTGTCCATGTTCGTAAAATTTCTTTGCTTTTATTGTAAACCTAAACTCTTCCAAGGCCTTCCTCTGATTTTGTGACTTTATACTGGGGCTTAAATGTACTTTTCTCTCCTGGATAGAAAAATGTCAAAGTCCACTCTGACTATTTTGGAATATTAACTTCATCTTGTTATTTAAGAGCCTTATTTTCACCCTCAAAGATCTATGTGTTCATCATTTACTCCAATACTATTGCCGTTGTTTCAACAAAAACAGAACTTTCATCTCTGTTTTCAAACTTTTTGCTCATGTATCTCACCGATAAGGCGCCATCTATCCGCTGCAGTACCTGTTTTTAAATGTGCATGCTCTACTTTCACTTTTGTCAGAACTAAATTATGGTTCCCAGTTTAACCCTTATCAGAATTAATGGCACAGAAGTAAAATCCATCATGGCCTTCATAATAAAACATTCCTAATGAGGTCTTGGATGTGAATGCAGTATTTCTTTTTCACTCCTTCTCACCTCCAAGACACCTAATTGGGTGCAGTGTCAGGTTTTGCCGCCTCCCCCCCCTTCATGATGCCTGCCTGCTGGGTATACATCAGCTCAGGATTAACGGCAGGCGGAGGTCAGCACATAATCACCTCTGATGAATATGGAGGAGGGCCTTTGGGTTTACATGGGAGGACTGCCAAAAATGATAACGACCCCTCCTCCAGTAGCTCCCCGAGGGCCCGTACGCTCTCATCTCAAGGTTGTAACTGAAACACAGGCGGCGCCTTACGGGGGAGGACGGCGTTTGAGCGCTTTGCCTCTTTAGTCATGAGCTAATGTGATAGATTTTTAAAAAAGCCTCTGGTATGTGTAGTACGATCAACATGTCAGAGCTTTAACATCAACATATAAAAAAGGTGAGGATTAACAGAAGACTCAGCAATTAAAAATGATAAAATGTTAAAGTTTCCAGGTCAGGCAAAAAATGCTAAACATGTAAAGCAACAAAAAAATTAACACAGTCGTATTTTAGCATCTATGTGTGCTGATTTTCCCTTTCGGGGCATCTATCTCGAATCCAATTCAAAATTAAACTGGGACAAACAAAAGTAAGGTTAGATTCATGCATATTTAAAAGTGAGGGGTGTTTTCAACCCTTCAACTTCATTCATACAAGAATCCAAAACTGTTCTCACCAGTAAAAATCATCTGGTAAGAAGTGGCCTGATCATCTACAGGCTTACGAACTCAAAACGTGTCTCTGGAAAGGTGTGCAGACGCAACAAAGAAAACGTCTTTTGGAATAAATTCAACAAAAAAGACCAAACTGTAACATCTTGATGGCAGCGCTCCAGGTCGTAAGTCATTCAAATGTTGATAATCTTATTAACTGTTGTCGTTTTACAGCTCACTGATCGATAAGCAGTCACAAAATCAGTAGAGGGTTATCTACATTTGTTGGCTCACTTATGAGAAGTTTGATTTTCTGTGTTTTCAGTCGCACTAACGTGTCTGCATGCATTTTACAAATCCATTTGCAGTTGTATGAATAGATTTTTTGAACAATATGTAAACATACCAACAGATATGATATGTGGTTGTCATAGTAACAGACTTAAAGTCACCAGTTAACAGGGCCATCTGCCTGTATGGCACTCAAACATCATACCGTTGACGGAACAACACCCTTAATTTGCATAACAGCAGCAGATAGAAACCCGCTTCAAATCGCACTTTCTTTCGCAGACTATCTGGAAACCGTTGAAATTTGCATGAAAATAAAACAATCTAAAATCTCTGAAAGGAGGATGAAGAAAGAATCTGGAGTTTAAATGAATATACAGACGACAGGAAACACCTGTGGAAGCAGAAGAAGCAGCTGTTGTGGTGACGATTGATTGAACCCTGAATAAATAGTTATAATGAATATAGACACTCAGTCATTCATTTGAAATTATTTAGCTCTTGCATTGATGATTTTATTTATTGAATGACAGGATGCAAAATAAGTTATTGAGTAATTAATTAATATCCAAATACATGTTTTTCCATTTGTGAATTCATGAAGTCAATCTGTATTAATTAAAAAGGAAATCATTTAGTCAAAGTTGAAAAGTTCACCATAACTACGTCTCAAATGAAGTCACACAAATGCAATCGTTTTACTTGTGATTATTTGAACTACACAGTTTTTTTCTTTTTTTTCTACATTTGTATTTACTTTCTCTCCGTTCAGGGTCTGCGTTGAAGCCGTGATGTGTTCTTCTCAATATGTTATTTTGTCTCTGCAGGAGTCACGGCTCTGTAATTATTCACTGTGCGACACCGGTGGAGCCTTGGTTTGTGTTGTGCAAAACGCCAAGGTCTCCAGGTGACTGCCTCAGGTGTGAATGGGAACAAAAAGACTAACCCTGTTGGTGTTGGAGACTTCCATGAATGTATAGTAGAGGCTGTTTTTCTGTATTATTTGTTTATTTAATACTGATTGTATGGACTCAGATTGAAACCCTGAATCCGTGTCCAAACTCACTTCATGTTTTTCTACTGCATGTATCCGTCAAATACAGATTTCACACTGAAGGCTACTTATTACTTATATTGGCTTGACAAATACGAAGTTAGGGACACATCAGCTGCTTGTCTGTTGTTCTGTTGGGTCTTTGCTGCTGCTCTCCTTGTCTTGACTTTCCATGTGTGCACATGGAGGGGCTGGAGCCCTCCAAACAGAGCCAAAGATAATTTGTTGCACACAAATATTTCATTAATTTGACCAAACCAGTCCTGACTAATATCATGATTTAGTTCAGGTTTTGCCACAAATAGGAAGCTGCTTTATCTCACGGCAAAGTCATGTCCGGTTACGATGCACATTTTTATCAACCTCCACCTTTCATCTTGATAACAGCGATGGCCTCATAACGCTGTTCCCCATTTTAAAGGCATAATTGACCATTGGAGAGATTGGTTATTATTATGAACCTCGTTTCTATGGTGATCATGGTCCTATAGTGCGATCTCCACAAAGTGAAGAGAAAAAAAGAAAGGAAAACATCCGTTCACCCTAGTAGATGCAGGGCTGACCAACATTGACCAATGGGAGCCATCTGTCCCAGACAGCTCCTATCCGTCAATCTCCATCCAATCACCTCGCTGTATTCGACACACCCCTCTCCCGTAGTTCCAACTCGTCCCCTCCCACTCTCCCAGCCCTCTCTGAGCGGCTAAAAGTAGCATAGCAGCTTAGCTACAGGAGCTGTGATGGAGAAGGATGCAAAAAAAACAACAACAACAAAAAAAAAACACTTCTGCTTGCCCTACCGCCAAAAGTGGGAAGAAAACACAAGCCGACAGAAGAAAGGGTAGAGTCGAAGAGGAAATGTGACCAAGTGAGGAATCAAATTCGAATAATATCGGGTCATCCTTCAAGCGGTGGAGAAAGCTCTGCTAGGATTTGCCCTGAAAACAGATGCCGAGACACCAGAGTTTTTGTTGAACAGGTCATTTTAGCCTTTTATCGTAACACGTCACATAAATAACTCTTATTAGTCTCTGCAATGTCAACATGGTAGCTGTCCAGGCAGCTGCAGCCGCTGCTCGCTAGCAGAGCTGCCGTTTAGTGCCGCTAGTCACTAGCAATCCGACTTAGTGAATCCTATTTGAAGCTAGTGTAGGATCTTCTGCCTTCTTGCTCTGCCAGAGGAGGTGTGTCTTGGGGAGTGTGATACAGATTCAGGGGGGAGTTATCGTGGATCTAACTGCTTTTTAGATCGTCAACCATGCCTTTAACATAAGGTGTACGATAGCAATCCACAGCAGTCTGAAGAGCCATAAACAAACCTCAACCTAAAGAAATAAAACATTCTCATACTTAGTTATAAAACTGTTGGCAAAGACTTCCTAGCTTACATAGGATGTTATCTACATTATAATCTCCCTACTTCACTGTAAAAAGGGTCCCCGTATGTCACACATATCTGTGTTGTTATTGTTTGAGATAGCAGGATGCTGAGATGTCGATAAGTCCTCTCCTCTTGTTTCCTGAAGTGGCGGTTTGAGATCAGATCCTGAGTTATTGAGGCTGATTAATATGGGCACTGCGAGGTGTGACAGGCTGAAGGATGGGGCCCTTCAGCCACAGCCATTTCCTCTTATCTCCATCAGACAGTCAGCAGCTTCACCTCCTCATTCACCACCTCCTTTAGCTCGGATAGGAGCTGTTTACGGCTGCACGAGGTCACAAACTGCTTCATAACAAAAACCCTGGTCCGCCCTCAGTGTGGTCTGTTTCAGGGACATTGAAATGCCACTGACATGTTTTGGCTTCTCAGACCGGTTTGGTTTTCTGGTATTATATTAATGACAAGACGCCATTCATTATTCATACAGGAGTCCTGGAGGTGATTAGGAAATTCAGTCCAGTCACTAAAAATAGACCCATGTTATCTGTCAGATGAATATTTATCAACTCTCTGTGTGGCTCAGCCAAGTTACAGGAGGTGTTAGAGCCTGACAAACCCATCAAGTCAGACTGGCATCTATTTGTAAATTAAAGGGATATTCTGGCATAAAATTAATTCAGAGTCAAACACACCGTAACACTGAGTTAGGCACCCCCTCGAGAGATGAATGTTGCCGACCGCTTGCTTCTCTAGTTATACCAACTGTAGTAACGACCGCACGATAGCAATACACAGCAGTCTGAGGAGCCATAAACAAACCTCAACCAAAACACCACTCTATAGCCACAAATAATGCTCAGAACAGCACCTAACTTCATCAACAGGACATATAGGGTCCCAGCCACAGCACTAGACATCCAACATCTTTTTAACTTTGACAAGGTTCTTTAACAAAGAGACTAAACACAACTCACCTACTCTCTTCCAGCAGCCGCTTGTTTGTAGCAGGATCTCAGGCCAGTCCATTACAGACTACAGCGGGGTGACGCAGCTCAAGGAAGAACATTTATGATAATGTCTATCATTTCGTTGAAGTAATAATCACCATATTTAATCACTTTGCAGATGCGGTAGTTCTTCTGTCTTAGCCTCTCGGTCTGATTGCATTTCCATGACAAAATGATCATAAATGTTCTTCCTTGAGCTGTGTCACCTCGCTGTAGTCTGTAATGGACTGGCCTGAGGTCTCGCTACAAACAAGCGGCTGCTGGAAGAGAGTAGGTGGGTTCAATTTAGTCTCTTTGCTAAAGAAATTAGGCAACGTTACAAAGATGTTTGGTGGCTAGTACTATGGCTGGGACCCTATATATACTGTTGATTAAGTTAGGTGCTCTTCTGAACATTATTTGTGGCTATAGAGTGGCGTTTTAGTTCAGGTTTGTTTATGGCTCCTCAGATCACTGTGTATTACTATCCTGCGGTCGTTACTAAAGTTGGTATAACTAGAGAAGCAAGCGGTCGGCAACATTCATCTCTCGAGGGGGTGTCTAATTTGGTGTTACGGTGTGTTTGACCCTAACTTAATTTTACGCTGAAATATCCCTTTAAGGCATAGCGTGTATTTAAAAAAAAAAAAAGTTTCAAAATAAGCATCTGTAGACTTTTAGCTGGCCAAGCACTTGCATCAAGTTGCAGCTAAAGGGTAGCAAGATCACCACCCAGCAGTCCATGCACATGTTGCACTTTACTGGCAAGAAACAATGAGCTGAGCTGTTAAGAGAATAAATTATAACCGAGGCAGTCACAATCAACGGGGAGAGTTGGGTTAAATAAATGCACATACAAATACAAAAACAGACTTCCACCCCCGGTCTGGCACAAATTAAAATCTTGAACCACTGCCAGGCTGCATCATCAGTCTGCAAGGGTACTTAACTATAATCCATTTAACCCCATTCAACAGCAGCAGGGCATGTAAATAACTTCTGTGCCAGATCATGCTTCTGTAAATAAAGCATCTCCAAGGAAATGCTCACACATTCAGGGAAAGCAACCACAAACTCAGAAAGATACCATTTTTTTTTTTAATTACTTGGAGTATGTCGTATGCAATGTGTAGCATCACTGCTATTCTTAAAATAGAAAACTAAACTGAGTTAATCTTCTTCACAAGGGAGGGAAATACTTCATAGGAAGTGGAGCTACAGATCTAAAACCAAGCACAACAAAGCCCCAAATCAGCAATCAGCTTCCTCTACTCCCAGTGCAGACAGTTCAGGCTGGCTGAGATCAGGGGCAGCCGGCAGTCCTACTGTTTTCTACGACAGTTCAGACAATCATGCTCACCAAAGGAAGGCATCACCATGGAAGTACATCACAGCGACTGCTCTGACTGACACGTCTTCTCCCTCTGAAGTCTTATGCAGCAGAAAAACACCGACTTCTCTGAGATCCGCCAACGTGACAGCCGTTCCTGTTGATGAATGACAAATTTCTTGCCGTCATGTTTATCTGTTTCATCTTATCCTGGTATTTTGTTGCAGCTGGTATCGAAGCCAATGTCTTTGCTGAGCTGAAAAGGAAAGTTATACTCTGGCAGGAGTGCGGGTATATTTTGCAGATGGTGCGTTTACAATGAAGCATTTTGTTTTCATTTGACAGTTTGAATTGCGATTGATCAAATGAGAATTAGTCAAATTTGGTAATTAGGGGCTTATATTGGGTATAACACGGCTGCATGCAGCACTTTGATTCTGTGTTTTCTGGTATACATTATAACCACTTTTAAAGTTAATCCTTTTGCATACACTCAACTGAGACGGCTCTTGTTAGGGTCTCTAATTGAATTTTAACATCCTCTGATGCTGGTTATTTTGCTGCTCTTGAACTCAGATTGGCCTTTGCCACAATGGATCTCCACATACTAATAAGTAGACTACAGAATTAGATTGGATCCTTCTCAGTCCACATGGAAATTTTGTCACAGAATCCTCTTCAATGTCTTTCGGTGTTCCTCAGGGATCTGCCCCGGAGCCTTTGTGTTTCTTACTTTATCTGCTGCTCCTAGGAGGGATTATTTGATATATCTGTTTGTTTTCTTTTGGGAGAGTAAGTCAAGAAAGTCAGGTGATTTTCAAAGTGATACCTCCAAATGTTATGAAAGGGTTGTCACAATACCAGAACTTTTATTCTGATATGATACTGGGAAGAAAAAAGACTGAACTTCACACTGATGCACTTTCATGAGATCCAAAAGCGAGAAAGAGCATCAGCAACAAGAGTGAACTGTTTTTAATAATGCCTGAAACTTGTAGCAATTTCCACATAAACTATTCCCATTAAATGATACAATTCAGCGCCCAAAGTCAGCAGGATGAGATTTGATTTTCTGAAAACACCACTTAAGCATACCATAAATAAATTAAGAACAGACTCTGTCCACAGGAGGTGCCAAAACTGACACAGAGAAGAGCTAAAACACTCTCGCTGTGACATTTGGTCTCAGAAGGAAGTTGATCTGTGGGAAAAATACAAAAAAAGAACAGAAACCACAGAAAATGAAGTTTTGGCTTCTGAGATTTAATGACCTCTCTTTAGTTACAGGTGAACTCTCTTACTGGCGAAAAAATTACCAAAAAATGTGTCATCAGCATATGATACATACAAGTCACAAGGAAAGTCTTTTCACCGACCAATCAGAATCAGGTTTCACTTTCACATTTGATGACATGGGCAAAAGCAGAATCCTGATACCGACATTATAAATAAGGCAGCGTTACCATTTCTTGTCTTCGTGTCCTTGTGGTCGTATCAGACGGCAGCACCTGTCTCACAAACTTGTTTCTTTTCGCCTCCTTGGAATCTGGTAAGTTCATGTTTAATACTTCTCTTCTCTTATGTTACTGAATATTAAACCATAACTCTGCACACTTTTATTTATCTCATTATTTCTTAAATGTACGATTAACCTGAAGAATGATTTAACTTTTGCTGATTGCGTCTTAGGTTAGATATTGGATTAATGATTGTAACTTTTTAACGATTTCAATACAAATATCAATTTGACTTGACATCATATTTTTAAATGGAAGTGGAGGCATACACACACAAAAGAGCAAACAATTGGTTTGATCTAGAGGAGTAAGGGTTTACAAAAATCATGGTTCAGTTTCAAGGTCACGGTTTGGTCCGCTTTCTGGACAGTAAGGGAGTTAACTATCTGTCTGTCGGCAGAGCTGCAGCAGACGGATTAGACCAGTTGTGCACAACAGCAGCTGCTGTTCATTCTTATAGGGCTGGTATGACTTTATCGCTTAAATATGGATTTAACAGAATTTCATATTGGTGCTTTATCACCTTTTACACGTGTGTTCTCAACAACCTAATATGGTCATAGATCCACTGCGATAAAAACTCCAGTACTGTTTGTTATTGTTTTAGTTAGCTCTGAATAATCAGGAAAAGGCGCTGCGTTTGAACAGAGCCTTTGCCTTTTTTGGCGTGTGTTGTTCCCGCCGCCATGATGGGAAAAATATGTTCTGTTATACTGTTTATTTACGTTTGAGCTTTTTATTCTTTACAAATTCAGTTTGGTATGCACACTTCCAGAAGTCCTGCTTTGAAATGGGTTGGTACTAGTACCTCTGCACCGATTCATTTTAAGGATAACAGTGAGTTGGTAGTTATGCAGATTTGAATTTTGACAGGGTGAGCAGGACCCTCCTGTTCATGACACATTCGTTTTATTTTCCAGTTTATCAGAATTATTCGTTTATTATTGTTAACCTGATATTCTCTGGTCCAGTCTCAAAGTATCATCGGAAACGTGTCTATGTCTAAAATGTCATTGTATTTTTTAAGTTAACAGATAATGCAGGATGGATCTGATGGAGATCGATGACGGCATATACATGAAGAGGAACCTCAGGATGGATGGAGGTATAGTACCAGCCTGTAACACTGCCCAATAAGGAAAACTAATAAGAAACCTACATTTTAAAAACTGTAATTCATATGAGATCAGAAACTTACCTGGTGGTTGACCGAGTAAAACTTAATCTAAATGTCATATACATGAGTATTTTAAGTATTTGGAAAAAATAAATCACTTTGTGTAAGAAAATGTGTTTCTACCTTTTATGTAGCAGATCTCCAGAGAAGAAAATCCCCCTCCAGATGTGTTTCTGTGAGTCTCGGATTACTGTGTGCTGTCCTGTTGGCTGGAAATGCAGCACAGTTCATCTACTGTAAGTTGTAAAAGTATTGAGTAACTTTCAAACTTACATGAACTTCACTTTTGTGTTTGTAATGACTTCATTTATTTGACAGATTACTTATTCGGCCATCCCATATCAGCTTATCTGATGCCGGCGGGTAACAGCTCTGGAGCTTTAACCACAGACAGAGAACAGTTTGAAGCCAAACTGAGTAACCTGACGACTGAAAAAGATCAACTCCAAAACAGTTACGATTTACTGAGGACCGATAAAGAAGCACTGCTAACACGATTTAACACTCTGCAGACGGAAACAGAGCAACTACAGAGCAAATGCAAAAGTTTAGGAGCAGATAAAGATCAGTTAGAGGAGAAGATTGACAAAGTCAGAGGCAATCTGACAAGAGAGAAAGACCAGTTGCAGCAGAACTACAACAACATCAGTGAAGAGAAAGATCAGCTGCAAACAAACTTAAACAACATGCAGGAGAACCTCGATACCCTGCAGAAAGAAAAAGACGAGGTGCAGACGAAGCTTGTTACAATGAGAACAAACAGAGATGAGTTACAGAGGAGCTGCTCTTCACTCAAGAGTGACAAGGATGAGTTGCAAATAAGTTTGACAAATCTGACTCTCAGTAGAAATCAGCTCCAGAACAGTTTTGATTCACTGATGGCTGAGAAACGAGGTTTGCAGACTCTGCATGATAGTCTGCAGAGGGAAAGAGAGAAACTGCAGACCGAAAGCAGAAGTCTGGGAAGAGATAAAGATCAGTTAGAGAAAATGATTGATAAAGTAAGAGGAAATCTGACTGAAGAGAAAGACCAGCTGCAGCAGAACTACAACAACTTAAGAAGAGAGAGAGATCAGCTGCAAACAAACTTTAACAACATGCAGAAGAATAACGCCAACCTGCAAAAAGACAAAGCTAACCTACAGACAAACAGAGATGACATACAGAGGAGCTACAACTCACTGAGGAGTGAGAAGGACCAGCTGCAGAGAGGCAAAGATGCTTTGCAAACACGTTACAGCTCGCTGCAGAGGGAAAAAGATCAGCTGCAGCAGAACTTCAACACCGTAAAACAAGAGAAAGATCAGCTGCAGACAAACTTTGCTAATGTTCAGAAGAATTACGCCAACCTGCAAAGAGACAAAGCTGACCTACAGACGAAGTTTACCACATTAACAACAAACAGAGATGCATTACAGAGGAGTTACAACTCACTGAGGAGTGAGAAGGACCAGCTGCACAGAGACAAAGATGCTTTGCAAACACGTTACAGCTCGCTGCAGAGAGAGAAAGATCAGCTGCAGCAGAACTACAACGCCGCGAAGAGAGAGAAAGATCAGCTGCAAACAAACTTCGCTAATGTTCAGAAGAATTACGCCAACCTGCAAAGAGACAAAGCTGACCTACAGACAAACAGAGATGACATACACCGGAGGTACACCTCACTGAGGAGTGAGAAGGAGCAGCTGCAGAGAAGCAAAGATGCTTTGCAAACACGTTACAGCTCGCTGCAGAGAGAAACCGAACAACTGAGGACCAACTTGAGTAGTGTGACAGCTGTTAAAGATCAGCTGGAGAAGAAGATCTGCAAAATTAAAGGTGTGATTTTTTTTTTGTAAAAACTTAAGTCATGTAATCTGAACTTGTTTGATACTAATAAAATGTCTCTGTTCATGTTTGTATTCAAATTTGAAGGCAGGCCATGTGAAGCAGGCTGGAGGAGATTTGACATCAGCTGTTACTACATTTCAACTGCTAAGAAAACATGGAGCTCGAGCAGAGCTCAGTGTGCTCTCAGTGGAGCTGATTTAGCCATCATTGACAGCAGAGAGGAACAGGTGAGCGAGGTGGGAAGAAAGGGGGAAGTGATCAGAGCCTGTAGCGCCCTTAGCAAAATCTGACACAGCAAGAGTTTGTTGTAACTGCAGCTGTTATAACGCTGCGTTCCAGTTTCCTCAGAAGTCGGAGGAGGGAATGATGCTACACCCGAGTTGATGGAGTTCCAGTTAACAAGTCGGAAAATCAAGATGGGCGTCCACTGTTAGCTGTCGTTAACTGTTGTTAACAATCATCAGCTGTCGTTAGCCGATGTCAGTCGTTGTTAGCGGTTAAGAGCTGTTGTTAGTTGTCGTTAGCTACAGCAGTTGTGAACAACGCATAACACAGTATTTCACTCTTATAAACACCATAGCACCGTGTTCACAGTCAGACGTTGGGCAGTACAACAAATACCACTGATTTAATTTCACAAAAACAAAAGTGCTAATATATAATTCATTACGAGAGCTTTCACTGTTGATTCACTGCGCTGCCATCTTGGATTATGACGTTGTCGTCAAGTTGGGGTTGGTGAGGATCGTCCGACTTTACGAGTCGGAAATCCACCTTCAAGGGGCGTTCCAGATGAATTTCTGACTTGCAGCTTGGAAACCCCGACTTCCGAGTACAACTGGAACGCAGCATTAACAGGCGATCACAAACAGAGGATATAACAATGTCTCTTTTTTCTTTCATTCCTGTGTGTGTTATATGATAACAGGTTTTTCTCAATGGGCTGCTCAGACCAAATGTGCAGGCCTGGATTGGAATGACTGACGAGGCTAAAGAGGGGACTTGGATGTGGGTGGATGGGACCCCCATCACCACCACGTAAGTTCTAAAGCCTGATCGAACCCATTTTGTGTCCTTTATTTTATGTCCTCTAATTGGATTTTTAGAAGTATCCCAGTCCTGTTACTTAAGGGTCTGACAGTATTCAGGGTTTTATACAGTCTTACTTTGGACTGGGAACATGTTTGATGTAACACTGGATACACAACTTTATTTTCTGGTATCTTACTCATCAGGTACTGGGATGACGGGCAGCCCAACAACTATTGGTTCTTGCAGGATTGTGGAGCAATAGAGGGGAAAGGATCAGTGGGAGCGTGGAATGATAGACCCTGTTGGAATGACAAAATCTGGATCTGTGAAAAAATAGATTCCTGTGATTAATCATAAATGCTGACATTATCATAAATGTAAATTTAGTGCACGTATCCTTGATGTTTTTTCCCAGTAATACTTTGCTATTGTAATGTATTGTAACTAATGCTTTACTATTATTATCATTTTTAAATGTGTTTGACTCTGTTTCCCTCCTGTTCTCTGGATTTTATTCTATAGATCAGTTTTCAGTGCCTATTTCCTGTTTCATTTTGTAGTAGTTGATTCCTTGTGTTTCTAGTCTGGTTTTACTTCCCTAGTTTTCCCTCCCTTGTCAATCACCCATGAGTTTCACCTGTCTTGTTCGCCTCACCCGTTGCTCGTTTCTAAGTGTGTATGAAGTCCCTGTCTTCCCCTCTTTCCTTGTTGGTTCATTGTGTGTGTGTGTGTGTGTGTGATTTTGCCCCAGTGATATTTTATTCTTTGGATTTTGCTTGTGTTTTTTCTTTTACCTTTGGGAATTTTTCAGTTGGACATGTAAAGAAAGTTTTTCTTGGTTTTCATTTAGTTAAATTTAAATAAATCCTTTTCCCTGTATTTTGGGTCCTTTCCCTTTTGTTTTTACTCTGGCATGTGACATTTTGCACAAATGTATATTGGAAATGGCTTCCTGTATGAAAAATAAAATTGCATAACTTGTTAAGAAACAGATCATAATGTTTATAGTCCTCATTTTCAACATTTAATATTCGTTATTCACTGTATTCTAATTCACAGCATTGAGAATTTCCATCAAATATTAATTCTTTTGATTTGATAAACTATAGGAATAATCAAAATGAAATGTCTCAAAGACAGTTGTACATTTAGAGTGAACCTCTGTTAGCAGACTATTGATATATGAAAAAAACAGGAAGGTTAGTACTGTCACTGAAACACTGTCATTGTTACCTGTTATCTATATATGAGGATCTCCGACTGTAGACCCAACCTATTTCATCGTGCAAAAGTGATGCCAAAAGAACTCTGAATTCGCATTTACTCTTGAGATGGTATAGTTCCCTTAGTGCTCAGCGAAGGCAGATGATTTATAACGGCCTGAATGATGGAGGAACCTGCTGGAAACTGAGGAATGAAAAGACTTGTGAAACACAGGATTCTAAAGTATATCCAACAGCAGAAATAAAATGGAATGAAAAACAAGGACTGTAAATACAGACCTGGATGAATTGGAAGAAAACGATGATGACGACGCACGCTGGATACACATTACACACACACACGCCCGCGCTAGACTGGACAGAGTAAAATATAAAGTGACGTTATATCAATGTCCTAACTTACTTTAAGTTTAGCATGGAAGACCTTGAGATGTCTTTTTAGATTCGCCTGCGTCTGAGCAGGGCGGCACACATCCGAGGAAACAGATAACAGTAACAACGTGACTCAACAATTTTGTCTTGTCTCGTTTTAGACGACAAAAATAAAGAGTCAGTTTAGGAGAGTTTTTATTTTGTGAACCACATTTAGTCTCCTTTTTATTCCTCAACAATATTGCATTACATATTTAGTTATAGTTATTGACACAAGACCATTTACGTTTCATTTTGATTCATCTCGTTTTTGTCACGTGAAAAAGGTTTGTTGACAACGATATTTCGTCACAGTTTTCGTTGATGAAAGCAACACTACCAGAGAGGGGCACTCGAAGACCTAAAACTTCTTTATCTTGCTTGTCTGTTGCACTGTTTTAATAACTTAATTTTCCAACACTTCCCTCTGGTTCAGCTTCAAGAAACCTCTGCTGGGATGATTTAAGGAATCTGAATTAATGTTACTTCAATGATTATCTTATTCATATGAAACCCTTAAATTCGAGAGAGTGTGAAGTGATACTTTTTTGACTCTGCTGACTTTGCATATCTAGAAAAATGACCCCCACCCACCCCCACCTCTTCCTTGTAACACTGTCACTGTTAAACTTGATCTCACTTGAAGGTTGTGTGAAGAAGGAACAGAAACTGCAGAAGACAAAAAAAAATGCACTTCTGTTATAACAGGTGAAGTCCAGTTTGTTTCTGGGAATCATGTTGGCCAAAAATTCTCTTAATCAGAAATGGTACATCCGTGAGAATTCAGGAACAAGCCAGAGTTCACATTAGTCAAACATTTGATGACACGCGAAAAAGGAGCATCCTGTTTTCTGCACAATAAATAATGCAGCATTAGATGAGTGGAAGCGTCTTGATGTGACTCGTAACACGGACACTTTCTACTCGGATCTGAGGTAGGTTCACATTAAGAAACTATTTCCCTTTTAAATCATTTAATATTAAAGCGTAACTCTGACTGAGTTTCATCCAAGACTGTTTTTCATATGACTGTTTTTCATTCTTGGATTTCCGAACGATTCCCAAAGATTTTAACTTTTGCTGATGAAATCTCTTTAAAGACAAGATTCTGACGCAATGCTTACAATTTATTTAGGATTTGAACATGAAGACTGAGTCTTGCTGGACTGCTGACGAGAAATATCAACATGTCGACACAAAAGATGGATTTGATGATTATTTTGTTGCTTTCAAAATTAGCCTTTCAGATGTCACTGTTGGTGGCGTTTGCTCTGTCCTCTTCGTCTATTGCCGATTTTAAGAATAGATGGAGACAAAAAATGACATGTGGCAACCAGTATACCCGTACGCTCATTTGTAGCACTAAATTAACTTCTTACTTTTTCAAAAAGGCAATTATCACCAATATTAGTATCTCATTACAGCCCTTATATCAGTAATGCTACAGTATACTTAAAAATAAAAGATTTTTCTCTTCTCTACAGGAAACAACAGATCGGCATCAGGATGGATCCAATGGAGTTCGATGACAGTGTGTACAAGAGGAGGAACCTCACGATGGAGGGTCTCATCACCAGCGGTACACTATCAACCTGAAATACTCTAAACACCGAGAACATTGACCTTGACTTTTCATATGTTTTTTGTTTTGTAGGAGAATATGAACTAAAGCTGCCCTACCTGTAAGAAAATGTGTTTAATTGTTGACTTACTTTTCATACAGTCGATCTCCAGAGAACAAGAGGTCCGTCCAGATGTGTTTCTGTCAGTCTTGGATTACTGTGTGCTCTCCTGTTGGCTGGAAACGTTGGACAATTCGCCTACTGTAAGTTGTTGCAAAAATTTTGAACTATTGAGCTAAATGTGTCCAAAGTCGTGTTTGCACCAAACGCAAATAGAATTAGCGAAATTCATTTGTCAATGTCAATGTGAAGACGCGGGTTGTCTGATGAAATTCAACGCACTCGAAAAATCTGAACTCAAGTGAATCGTTTGCTAACCAGCAGGGAAACGCCTCAGTGAAGAGTATCAACAAGGTTCATTTGTCCCGACAGGCGAACCATTTATGAAGAAGAACTTTATTTATCTTTGAAGGAAAATTCAATAAATTAAAACATCTAATTTTAGTTCAATTTATGAGCGTAGAATGTTACCTCAACTATAAAATACAACTTGTTTTAATATCGAGAGAGGAATAAAAGCAGTTTGAAGTATTAAGTAAGTTGTTTAAAGACATGAATCCTCCATGTGTTTAATTTATAAGATTGGGTTTCTCCTGCAGATGTAATAAACAACCATGGAGCGACTAATTTTTGTGAACTTAGCGGGTGAATAGTTTTACCAAATAGGGGGGTTTGGTTTGAACATGACATTAGAAAACAGACACATAAGGATAAATTTACAAAATATAGGTTAAAAAAAAAACTTGACTTTAAAAAGTGACTATCCATCCATCTATTTTTCTATCTATCTTTAAAACAGATCACTGTTGTGGCCATCCTGTATCAGCTGACCTGATGCAGACTGCTTACAGCTCTGGAGCTTTAACTGTGGACCGAGAAAGCTTTGAGACCCGACTGAGTAACCTGACGACTGAAAAAGATCAGCTACAGCAAAACTACAACTCCCTAAAACAAGAAAAAGATCAGCTGCAGCAGAACTTCAACACCGTGAAGAGAGAGAAAGATCAGCTGCAAACTAACTTCAACAACCTGCAGAAGAATAATGCCAACCTGCAAAGAGACAAAGCTGACCTACAGTCAAAGTTTACCACATTAACAACAAACAGAGATGCGTTACAGAGGAGCTACAACTCACTGAGGAGTGAGAAGGACCAGCTGCAGAGAGACAAAGATGCTTTGGAAACACGTTACAGCTCGCTGCAGCGAGAAAAAGATCAGCTGAGGACTGATTACAGCAGATTATCGACAGTTAGGAATCAATTAGAGAGAAAGGTCAACAAACTAAATGGTAAGATATATAAGTTTAATTGATTTTCTGTACAGTTTTCTGGCATTTACATCCTAATTGTGATATTCTGTTCTGGTTCATGGTTTTGATCTGCAGCCCGGCCCTGTGAGTCAGGCTGGAGGAAGTTTGGCACCAGCTGTTACTACGTTTCAAGTACGAAGAAAAACTGGGAGTCCAGCAGAAATGACTGCATCGGTAAAGGAGCCGATCTGGCCATCATTAATAGCCAAGAGGAAAGGGTACGTAACTACAAAACCCAATTTCATTGAAGTTGGGAAATTGTGATAAACGTAAATAAAAGCAGAATACAATGATTTGCAAATCCTTTTCAACCTATATTCAATTGAATACACTACAAAGACAAGATATTTAATGATCAAACTCATAAACTTTGTTTTTTTTTGCGAATAATAATTAACTCAAAATTTCATGGCTGCAACAAGTGGCAAAGAAGTTGGGAAAGGTGGCAAAAAATACTGAGAAATTTGAGGAATGCTCATCAAACACCCCTTTGGAACATCCCACAGGTGAGCAGGCTGATTGGGAACAGGTGGGTGCCATGATTGGGTATAAAAGCAGCTTCCCCAAAAATTCTCAGTCATTCACAAGCAAGGATGGGGTGAGGTTCACCACTTTGTGAACAACTGCATGAACAAATAGTTGAGCAGTTTAAGAACGACGTTTCTCAAAGTACAATTGCAAGGAATTTAGGGATTTCAACATCTACGGTCCATAATATCATCAAAGGGATTCAGAGAATCTGGAGAAATCACTGCAGGTAAGCGGTGAGGCCGGAAACCAACATTGAATGCTGGTGACCTTTGATTCCTCAGGCAGCACTGTATCAAAAACCGACATCAATGTGTAAAGAATATCACCACATGGGCTCAGGAACACTTCAGAAAACCACTGTCAGTAAATTGAGATTGTGGCTACATCTATAAGAGCAAGTTAAAACTCTACTATGCAAAGCGAAAACCATTTATCAACAACATCCAGAAACGCCGCCGGCTTCTCTGGGCCCGAGCTCATCTAAGATGGACTGATGCAAAGTGTAAAAGTGTTCTGTGGTCTGACGAGTCCACATTTCAAATTGTTTTCGGAAATAGTGGACGTCATGTCCTCCAGGCCGAAGAGGAAAAGAACCATCCAGACTGTTATTGACGCAAAGTTCAAAAGCCAGCATCTGTGATGATATGGGGGTGCATTAGTGCCCAAGGCATGGGTAACTTACACATCTGTGAAGGCAACATTAATGCTGAAAGGTACATACAGGTTTTGGAGCAACATATGCTGCCATCCAAGCAACGTCTTTTTCATGGACGCCCTTCCTGCTTATTTCAGCAAGACAATGCCAAGCCACATTCCGCACGTGTTACAACAGCGTGGCTTCGTAGTAAAAGAGTGCGGGTACTCGACTGGCCTGCCTGCATTCCCAACTTGTCTCCCATTGAAAATGTGTGGCACATTATGAAGCGTAAAATATGACAACGGAGACCCCGGACAGTTGAACAACTGATAAGCGAATTGGTCTCAGTTGTGGGCCTGGCCTGAGGCCCATAGGTTGCCATGACAATGGACGCACTGCAGGCTGAGGCAGTCAATTTCTGCATTCCGCATCCGGAATGGCTCTGATCTGAGACGTTGACGATTTTTGACGTATGCCAATTTCTACTGGATCTGTTTGTGAGGCAAATTTTGTGACGGCAGCTATGTGATGAATATTTGATTTAACTAGAAAGAGAAATAAGTCATCAAGTCCAAGACACAGATTTTGGCAAAGAAAACAAAAAGGACAAGACCGGTGGTCTGCATCTAATAGTGAGCAATTATGGCTTTACCAGAAAGATGAGGATGTGTTTTCATCATCCCTGTCTGTGTGTCATGATTGCAGGTTTTTGTTAGTGGGCTGGTGACAGGAGGAGCAAATACCTGGATTGGTCTGACTGATGATGTTACAGAGGGGACTTGGATGTGGGTGGATGGGACCCCCGTCACAACTACGTAAGGTTTTATTTGATTACTTAATGTATTAAAAGGCTAGATTGGACCATCTTTGACCTCACTAGCACCTGTAGATTTTGAGAGGTTTTTAACAATTATTACTGAGTCCCTCCAAATACAGTGAAAAATCATGTCTTGTCTTTTAAAGAAATATATCATCAGATCAGCTCATATTCAGTCATTTATGTAACATTAGTATACTAAGTTTTGCACAGGAATAGGATATCTGTATGATATTTATATATTGTAATATATTAGCAAATTCACCCTGGCCACCTCTAACGGTGTCAGAGCCCCCTCCATTCAAAACAGTCTGCGCACACCCCTGCAAACTTCAACCTCTGCTGCAGAAAGACAGTAAAACAGACACTTGTACCGGTTAGAGGAGGATAAAAGGCAGATGGAGCATAACATGCAAGAGAGAAGTTAGAAAGTGAGTAATTTGATGTATTTAAGGAGTTGTTCCAGCCTTAGCGGACTGGATGTTTGGTGTTCATGGATGCACACTTTGGTTTCTTTGCTTATCAGGTACTGGGAGGATGGGCAGCCCAACAGCCATGGAGGGAACCAGGACTGTGGAGAGATGGTACAGAGAGGAGAGTGGAACGATGATATTTGTTCTGCAGAAAACATCTGGATCTGTGAGAACTAAGATCTCTGTAATCTAAGTTTAATGCTGAAAGATCGTAGTGGTCCTTTACGCTGGTCGCCACAAAACAGAGAGAAGACGTAGAAGAAGAAGCAGCCGACTGCCAGGGCGCTAGCTGTAGCAGCTTTTTGAGAGAAATAATTCAGCAGTTTTAAAAGTGATTTTCAAGATTTACTGTGTTTCCTGAAACAACTTTATAACTTGTGCTTCTTTGGGATAGTAATCAATTGAACATTATTAATTTGAACTTTTTTTAATTTAGCTCTGTGACTTAAGATCTACCGAACATAGTGTACTTCAAAATAAAATTTAAAGTTTACTAAGGCAATACTGTATCACTGTTTGATGAATAAAATGTAACTGTTTTCAATGATGTAGTACAAACTGCATAAGCACATGTTTTGTAAGATGATTGTACAACACACTGGTGATTAAATAACCCAGATACATTTCAAATAAAGTACCCTGCTTGCTTCTTATTCAATTCTGTTCTTTTTTAAGTATATTATTTCGTGTTTTTGCAAACATGAAAGCCACTAAGTGCTTTACGTAGTTAACACACACAGGCTATTTTATAAAACGGGTTGTGAGATGACCACAAGATTTAGACGGCGGTTTAATATAGAAGACAACGTGCACTTTTTGTGAAAATGATACTGAAACAAGGGACCATATATTTTTCTCATGTAACATAACACAAACATTCTGGGTTAACATTCACGGATGGATTACACCAAAAATTACAGTATTTCCACAACGTGTTTCTCGAGATAATGTTACTTTTGGAATGTCACTACCAAATAAAAGTGATGAACTCTGTTGCAATGTAATCTGATGTCTTGCCAAATATTTCATCCATAAGGATAGACTTATGAGATCATCCCCCAGATTTATTGTTTTCATAAACAAATTTAAAATGTATTTTAAATCCTTAAAACGTTAACTGTTTTGAAGGAACGAAAGTAATACGATAACTTTTCCCACTGATATAAGCAGCTAAAAATGTTTTAAGAAAGAAAGCCACTACAGGTTAAAGCTGTGAAAATTTCCCCATTTTTCCTCACCATAGAGGAATAATCAAAATGAAACGTCTCAAAGACAGTCGTACATTTAGAGTGAACCTCTGTTAGCAGACTTTTAATATGTGAAAAAAACAAGGGGTGTTAGTACTGTAGCAATCATCAGTCTGTCACTGCAACACTGTCATTGTTACCTGTTATCTATATATGAGGATCTCCGACTGTAGACCCACCCTATTTCATTGTGCAAAAGTGATGCCAAAAGAACTCTGAGTCAGCATTTACTCTTAAGATGGTGCAGTTCCCTGACTCAGTTCAAAGTGGTCTCTCAGGTCCCTAGAAAGTTCACTGGCTTTTGTTTCAGTGCTCGTTCCACTTCCTGTTTCTACTCTGCACCGCTAATACTACACCGCAAAGCCACATTTCTCGATAGAGCCGTCATTCACAGTGTTACTTTAGTGCTCAGCGAAGGCAGATGATTTACAACGGCCTGAATGATGGAGGAACCTGCTGGAAACAGAGGAATGAAAAGACTAGAAATATGTACATGAGTCTAAAGCATATCCAACAGCAGAAATGAAATGAAATGGGGACAAAGGGGTTGTAAATACACAAATAGAAAGCTTTTATGGTGTCTATGTTGGTCGAGTCTCAGCAATGTCACCCATTGGTCTCTAAAGAGAGGTCTCTCCATGTTGGAAACGCTGACTCAGCAAATTTATGAGTTAATCTAAACTAGGTGGAGAAGTGGACTGTAAGATCCCCTGGCCAACAGTTACTGCACACCCACTCCCAGTTATGCATGTGTATAACCCCTGAGGCTGTGGTTGAGTTATGGTGTAAACAGCATGGCTCAAGGTGAATCAGGGAGCGTTCGATCATTTGTAGCCAGTTACTGGCAATTTCCACCGCATCCAGAACGGCTATGAAAAGTCCGTATCTGCCGATCGTAGCTTATCGGAACCATTCAAGTTAATCTGTCAGTTTCCACCGGCTTCTTTCCGTTCAGCTACGAATCGCAGTGCTGCACAGCTAATCCCAAGAGTTCTATTTTTCCGGACGCCGGGGCATAATAAATAAATAATAAATTCAGCACAGATTAACCCGTGCTGGAAAGAAAGTCGGACACAGACACAAAATAAAACATCCAGCTTCTTTTCTAAATAAAATGAAACGGTGAAACGGTTTCAGGCGGATCGTATTTCACACCATAAAAACGGGCGGAGACGAACAAGTGAAAGGTTTATAGACAGTATTTCACCCCAATGACACTGTGGATGAGGAGATGCTGATTTTAGAAGTCTAGAAGTCAATTTCCTCCTCTAGAAGGACACAAATTACTGCTTATATGGTTAGCCTATGTGGCTGAAGACAATTTGTTATCACGCGATTGAACGTGAATCTGCGGGTTCTTGTGAGTTCTCGGGATTTCTGCTGTCCGTAATCTGCCACGAAATTCGCCTCACAAATGGATCCGGTAGGAATTTGCGATCGAGGAAAATCGCCACCGTTCCAGATGCAGTGGAAATCACGGGTGAGATAGCGCACAATCTGGGCACCAGGTGAGCCGCCGAGTCCACAGAGTTCGTATCAAACCATAGGGATGATTTGAAGGTGTGTAACGTGGATGAAACCAATCAGCATGTTTGCCCTGGATTCCTTTAAGAGCAAGGTGCCTCTGCTGACAGGGGTGTTGCTTTTTACACAGCAGATTTAAACCATTTTCCCTAAAAACTGCAGAACCGGACAGTCTTTGACTCTGCTGTAAAAAACAAACAAAAAAAGGATTTTAACAAGGATGTTAAAGGACGATTAAGGAATCTGAATTAATGTTACTTCATTGATTATCTTATTTATATGAAACCCTTAAATTCCAGAGAGAGTGAAGTGATACTTTTTTGACTCTGCTGACTTTGCATACCTAGAAAAATGACCCTCACCCACACACACCTCTTTCTTTGTAACACTGTCACTGTTAAACTTGATCTCACTTGAAGGTTGTGTGAAGAAGGAACAGAAACTGCAGAAGACAAAAAAATGCACTTCTGTTATAACAGGTGAAGTCCAGTTTGTTTCTGAGAATTATGTTGGCCAAAAATTACCTTAATCAGAGACGGTACATTCGTGAGAATTCAGGAACAAGCCAGAGTTCAAATTAGTAAAACAATTGATGACACGCAAAAAAGGAGCATCCTGTTTTCTGCACAATAAATACTGCAGCATTTGATATCTTTTCCTCGAGATGAGTGGAAGCGTCTTGATGTGACTCGTAACACAGACACTTTCTACTTGGATCTAAGGTAGGTTGACATTAAGAAACTTTTTCCCTTTTAAATTATTGAATATTAAAGCGTAACTCTGACTGAGTTTCATCCAAGACTGTTTTTCAGTCTTGGATTTCCGAATGATTCCCAAAGATTTTAACTTCTGCTGATGAAATCTCTTTAAAGACAAGATTCTGACGCAATGCTTACAATTTATTTAGGATTTGAACATGAAGACTGAGTCTTGCTGGACCTAATTTCTTCAAAATAAAAGCAAAATCAAACGAGCAAATGATGGGTATGACCAAACTCTAAAATACTCATTCATGAGTGGGTGGTAATACAGACTGGAATCCTGATAGGGTTAGTAGGGTAATTGAATTTCCCCTCTGTGATAAATAAAGTTATCTCATCTTATTTTTGGACCCCGGTGCAAACTGAGGGATCTTGTCTCTCTTCAGCCACCCATTCACCTTACATTATTACTCTTATAAACTGACTGATGAGAAAAATTAACATGTCGACACAAAAGATGGATTTGATAATTATTTTGTTGCTTTTAAAGAGAGCCTTTCAGATGTCACTGTTCGTGGCGTTTGCTCTGTCCTCTTCGTCTATTGCCGATTTCAAAAATAGATGAAGACAAAAAATGACATGTGGCAACCAGTATACCCGTACGCTCATTTGTAGCACTAAATTAACTTCTTACTTTTTCAAAAAGGCAGTTATCACCAATATTAGTATCTCGTTACAGCCCTTATATCAGTAATGCTACAGTATACTTAAAAATAAAAAAATTTTCTCTTCTGTACAGGAAACAACAGATTGTCATCAGGATGGATCCGATGGAGATCGATGACAGTGTGTACAAGAGGAGGAACCTCACGATGGAGGGTCTCGTCACCAGTGGTACACTATCAACCTGAAATACTCTAAACACCGAGAACATTGACCTTGACTTTTCATATGTTTTTTGTTTTGTAGGAGAATTTGAACTAAAGCTGCCCTACCTGTAAGAAAATGTGTTTAATTGTTGACTTACTTTTCATACAGTCGATCTCCAGAGAACAAGAGGTCCGTCCAGATGTGTCTCTGTCAGTCTTGGATTACTGTGTGCTCTCCTGTTGGCTGGAAACGTTGGACAATTCGCCTACTGTAAGTTGTTGCAAAAAAAAAAAAGTGGCGATGGAAAAAAAAAGAAGTCACTTACCACTGAAATAAGAGGATGCAAATAATGCACCAGTGGGTTTTTTTCTGCATCACCACTTTTTTTTTGCGTCGTTATCTTCCGTTATGGTTTTTCTTTTTTTTTTTTTCATCAGTACTTCTGTCGCTGTGTCTTTTTCTTTTCTTTTGTTTTTGCATTCTTTTTTATTTGCAGCAGTGGCAATTCTCGGCCACCATACATTTTAAATTGAACATGACATTAGAAAACAGATACATAAGGATAAATGTACAAAATAACCTTTACTCTAAATAGTGACTATCTATCTATCTATCTATCTATCTATCTATCTATCTATCTATCTATCTATCTATCTATCTATCTATCTAACAGATCACTTTTATGGCCATCCCATATCAGCTGACCTGATGCAGACTGCTTACAGCTCTGGAGCTTTAACTGCGGACCGAGAAAGCTTTGCGACCCGACTGACTAACCTGACGACTGAAAAAGACCAGCTACAGCAAAACTACAACTCCCTAAATCAAGAAAGAGATGAACTACAGCAAAACTACAACTCCCTAAATCAAGAAAGAGATGAACTACAGCAAAACTACAACTCCCTTAAACAAGAGAGAAATCAGCTGCAGATGAACTACACTGACACGCGGAAGAATTATGATGACCTACGGAGAGAAAAAGATGGCCTACAGACCGAGTTCAGTACTTTGAGAGCAAACAGAGATGAGCTCCAGGGAAGTTACTCCTCACTGAGGGCGGATAGGGACAGTTTGCAAACGGGCTTGATGAATGTCACCCAAAGTAAAAACCAACTTCAGCACAGATACGACTCGCTAAAGACGGAGAAAGAAGCACTGCAGACAAGTTATGATGATCTGAAGAGCGTGAAAGAGCAACTTCAGAGAACTTACACCAGCTTGTCAACAGATAAGGATCAGTTAGAAGAAAGAATTGATAAAGTAAGAGGAGATCTGTTACAAGAGAAAGATCAACTGCAGCAGAATTACAACACAGTAAAACGAGAGAAAGATCAGCTGCAAACTAACTTCAACAACCTACAGAAGAATAATACCAACCTGCAAAAAGACAAAGATGACCTACAGACGAACAGAGATGCGTTACAGAGGAGCTACAACTCAATGAGGAGTGAGAAGGACCAGCTGCAGAGAGACAAAGATGCTTTGCAAACACGTTACAGCTCGCTGCAGAGAGAAAAAGATCAGCTGCAGCAGAACTTCAACACCGTAAAACGAGAGAAAGATCAGCTGCAAACAAACTTCGCTAATGTTCAGAAGAATAACGCCAACCTCCAAAGAGACAAAGATGAGCTACAGACAAAGTTTACCACCATGAGAGCAAACAGAGATGACATACAGAGGAATTACTCCTCTTTATTAATGGACAACGCCCGGTTGCACTTGCGCTTCAGTAATTTAACTCTAAGCAAGAATCAACTTTTTATGAAATACAATTCTCTTTTTACAAACAACCAAGCTTTGCAGACGCAATATGGCAGTCTGCAGAAAGAGAAAGCTCAGTTAGACAAAGTAAAAGGTGATCTGACAAGAGAGAAAGACCAACTGCAGCAGAACTACAACACCGCGAAGAGAGAGAAAGATCAGCTGCAAACTAACTTAAACAACCTGCAGAAGGATAACTCCAACCTGCAAAGAGACAAAGCTGACCTACAGACAAACAGAGATGACATACAGAGGAGGTACAACTCACTGAGGAGTGAGAAGGACCAGCTGCAGAGAGACAAAGATGCTTTGCAAACACGTTACAGCTCGCTGCAGAGAGAGAAAGATCAGCTGCAAACAAACTTTAACAACCTGCAGAAGAATAATGCCAACCTGCAAAGAGACAAAGCTGACCTACAGACAAAGTTTACTACATTAACAACAAACAGAGATGCTTTACAGAGGAGCTACAACTCACTGAGGAGTGAGAAGGAGCAGCTGCAGAGAGACAAAGATGCTTTGCAAACACGTTACAGCTCGCTGCAGAGGGAAAAAGATCAGCTGCAGCAGAACTTCAACACGGCGAAGAGAGAGAAAGATCAGCTGCAAACTAACTTCAACAACCTGCAGAAGAATAATGCCAACCTGCAAAGAGACAAAGCTGACCTACAGTCAAAGTTTACCACATTAACAACAAACAGAGATGCGTTACAGAGGAGCTACAACTCACTGAGGAGTGAGAAGGACCAGCTCCAGAGAGACAAGGATGCTTTGCAAACACGTTACAGCTCACTGCAGAGAGAACGAGATCAGCTGAGGACTGTTAGGAATCAATTAGAGAGAAAGGTCAACAAACTAAATGGTAAGAAATCCCTTATATGAGTTTAACTGATTTTCTGTACAGTTTTCTGGCATTTATATCCTAATTTAGATATTCTGTTCTGGTTCATGGTTTTGATCTGCAGCCCGGCCCTGTGAGTCAGGCTGGAGGAAGTTTGGCACCAGCTGTTACTACGTTTCAAGAACGAAGAACAACTGGGTGACCAGCAGAAATTACTGCATTGGTAAAGGAGCCGATCTGGCCATCATTAATAGCCAAGAGGAAAGGGTACGTAAGTAAATAAGCCAGTGAGTGTGTAATTTAAAGCTAAAAAAAATCTGTAACTACATAATTCCTTCAGGTATATTTTGAAATATTGTTCATCAAATGGCTCTGAAAGTGGTTTAATGATGCAGCGATGTCAGAGCAGTCCCTGATTAGTGAATTGGTCTCAGCTGTGGGCCTGGCCTAAGGCCCACAGGTTGCCATGACAATACACTCACTGCAGGCTGAGGCAGTCAATTTTTTGCCTCAGCGCTGGTGTCACCGTCACCCGGGATTTCCACTGCATCCGGAACAGCGAAGATTTTTGCCGTATGCCAATTCCTACCAGATCCGTTTGTGAGGCGAATTTCGTGGCGGATTATGGACAGCAGGAATCACGAGAACTCAGAGGGACCCGCAGATTCACGTGCAATCACGCAATAACAAGCTGTCTTTAGCCACATAGGCTAACCATATAAGCAGTAGATTGTGTCCTTCCAGAGGAGGAAATCTACTTCTAGACTTCTAAAATCAGCATCCTCTCATCCATGGTGTCATCGGGTGGAAAGCTGTCTATAAACCTTTCACTTGTTTGTCTCCGCCTGTTTGCATGGCGTGAAATACGATCCGCCTGAAACCTGGAGTGTTTTATTTTGAAAAGAAGCCAGATGTTTTATTCAGTATCTGTGCCCAACTTACTCTGTGCTGAATTTGTCCGGCATGCTCCGGCGCTACCTTGTCATGGTGGGGAGGCTTGCTTGCCTCTGTGACTCTGAAGGCTATACCGGTGAGGGGTCACACCCTCAGCAGGTTCAACCACGCCGGGCAGGTTTTAGAGGAGAGGCCGGACGAAAAGCAGCACCTGGCCCTCCAGGTTGGGGGTTGGGCATGGGGCTAACAACCCCACCCCGTAAAACACCAGTTTGTTACAGAAACCATGACTAATTCACGGCCTCATGTTCCAAAGGGAACGAAGAGGATTAAGTAAGTAATTAAGTATGCTCCGGTGTCCAGAAAAATATAAATCTTGCAATCAGCTGCGGAGTCCAGCGATCCGCAGCGAAACGGAAAGAAGCCGGTGGAAATTGACACATTAACTTGAACAGTTATGATCAGCTACGATTGGCAGTTACTGCCTTTTTCATCCGGATACGGTGGAACAGCAATTCCGATCAAATCAAAGTTGAGAAACTAAAGACAGGTTCCTGAGGTAAGAGAACACCAATGTCCTAAATAAGGTTAGACCTTATATAGTGAAAAAAAAGAGGTTTTATTTTGGCTGCAAACTGGACGGATTGTAAAAGCTATGTGATAAATACTAGATTTTACCAGAAAGAGAAATAAGTCATCATGTCCAAAACACTGATTTTAGTCAAGAAAACAAAAAGTACAGAACAGGTAGTCTGAAACTGGGAGTGAACAATCAAGGACTAACCAGAAAGATGAGGATGTGTTTTCATCATCCCTGTGTGTGTTACAGGTTTTTGTTAGTGGGCTGGTGACAGGAGGAGCAAATACCTGGATCGGTCTGACTGACGATGTTACAGAGGGGACTTGGATGTGGGTGGATGGGACCCCCGTCACAACTACGTAAGCTTTTATTTGATTACTTAATGTATTAAAAGGCTAGATTGGACCATCTTTGACCTCACTAGCACCTGTAGATTTTGAGAGGTTTTGAACACATTATTACAGAGTCCCTCCAAATACAGTGAAAAATCATGTCTTGTCTTTTAAAGAAATATATCATCAGATCAGCTCATATTCAGTCATTTACGTTACATTAGTATACTAAGTTTTGCACAGGAATAGAATATCTGTATGACATTTACAAAAGAGTAAGAAAGACTGGGTAAATCTGTGCGCAAATATACCCTGGCCACCTCTAACGGTGTCAGAGCCCCTCCAGTCAAAACAGTCTGAGCACACCCCTGCAAACTTCAACCTCTGCTGCAGAAAGACAGTAAAACAGACACTTGTACCGGTTAGAGGAGGGTAACAGGCAGATGGAGCATAACATGCAAGAGAGAAGTTAGAAAGTGAGTAATTTGATGCATTTGAGGAGTTGTTCCAGCCTTAGTGGACTGGATGTTTGGTATTCATGGATGCACACTTTGGTTTCTTTGCTTATCAGGTACTGGGAGGATGGGCAGCCGAACAGCCATGGAGGGAACCAGGACTGTGGAGAGATGGTACAGAGAGGAGAGTGGAACGATGATATTTGTTCTGCAGAAAACATCTGGATCTGTGAGAACTAAGATCTCTGTATTTTAAGTTTAATGCTGAAAGATCGTAGTTGTCCTTTACGCTGGTCACCACAAAACAGAGAGAAGATGTAAAAGAAGTAGCAGCCGACTGCCAGGGCGCTAGCTGTAGCAGCTTTTTGAGAGAAATAATTCAGCAGTTTTAAAAGTGATTTTCAAGATTTACTATGTTTCCTTAAACAACTTTATAACTTGTGCTTCTTTGGGATAGTAATCAATTGAACATTATTAATTTGAACTTTTTTCATTTAGCTCTGTGACTTCAGATCTACCGGACATAGTGTACTTCAAAATAAAATCATAGATGGGCAATGCAGAATTAAAATCAATTTTAGAATAAAATAAAATAAAAGTATGACAAGCAAAAATTTAGTAAGGTAAACCTGTATCACTGTTTGATGAATAAAATGCTTCAATGTCGGTAAGTAACTGTTTTCAATGATGTAGTACAAACTGCATAAGCACATGTTTTGTAAGATGATTGTACAACACACTGGTGATTAAATAACCCAGATGAATTACATATAAAGTACCCTGCTTGCTTCTTTTTTTAATTTTTTTTAATTTTTTTTTTTTTTCAAAGTATATTATTTAGTATTTTTGGAAACATTAAATCCACCAAGTGCTTTATGTAGACAACACACACAGACTATTTTAAAAACAGGTTGTAAGATGACCACAAGAGTGATAATGAAAAAAACTCCTGGAGCTAACGTCAATAAAACACAGTGAACGAAAGATTGTCCAGATTACTGGACAATGGTCTATCCATTGTCCAGTGAATATACCATTGATTACTATCAATGGTATCAATGGTAATCTTTTGAGCTATCAAGATTTTTTTTGGGGGGGGATAGGGGGCCGAAAGGACCCCCTTTTTCCCTATCCGCCCCCTCAGGAGCTCTGGGGCGCTCCTGGCGCGTCCGGCCGCTCTGCGCTCTGACACGACTCAACTTCGAAATGAAAGAATTTAACAATGGGCTAAAAAATGAGTCATTACCTTTGACAAAGTGGTCACTGCACACACGGGCATTATCCGACGCAGCGCCTCCTGACTGTAGGTGGAGATTAAAAAGCCATTTTTTCCGGCGTTTTTCAGTCAGCTTCTTACATCTTTCCTCTTTGTGTAACACTACTTTGGGCACACGATAAAAGCTCTTGTTTTTTTCCCTGTTCGATCGATTCGAGCAGCCGTAAACGGAGCAAAACATCGGCATGTTGCTGGTCTTTCTCTAGCAGTAACTCACTTCCTGCCCTCCATCTGTATTGCGCGCGTGCCGCGTAACACGGAAGTGACGTCAAGTGAAAACCTCCTGTTAATCCCATCTACCTTGACATGTCAATCAATCCAACCAATCCAATCGATCGAAGGCAACAAATTAGCCAATTACAGGTAAAGGGGGGCGGGCCGTTCACCGAGTTAAAGTTCAAATATTCATAAACTGACTCGCCGGTAAGCATCGTAAAAATGGATATAAAAGGATTATTTGTTCGTTTAAAAAGGAAGACTGACACTGACGGGAGCAAGCAGGAAGTAGCGGCAGCGCCACACACGCAGCAGCAGCGAGACCTTCCTGCCTGGAAACGTGAGTAATAATGCCGACATCGTGAACAACAATACATTACCGCTGCTTCATGGTAACATTACAGCTGCGAGGAACAAAGGCAGCTTCATTCTGCTCCTGGTGCTCCCTACCTGCTGTACATCCTCCTCTAGCATGAACGTTTACTTCGGTGTGACCGTTGGTTCGGTGTTTGTGGTCATTCCTGCCAACACTCCCGTTTTTCCCGGGACTCTCCCGTATTTCAGACCTATCTCCCGCCCTCTTCCCGTTTTGTCATTTCTCTCGGGAATCTCCCGTAGTTTGATGATCCACGTTAATTTATGAATATTTGTCCAAAGTTTCAGGTTGTCAGACAACTTTAGATAGTCCTGTATTTCTGCTGAGGCTCACAGACACTGGATTGATACCTTTACTGAACAATCTGGGATGATTCTGGTCGGTTTAAACTGTAAACTATATTTAAGCATCGTTTGTTGCAAAATGAACGCTTTAATGAAAGGAAAACAAACCTGAGATATAATATTTACGTTCATAATCTTGCACTGTGTCAGAGTGATGCGCTCAGGGCAGCCTCAGATAAAAGAGTGCTGTATTTTACGCACAGATGGCCAGAGTAGGGCCCGACGGATATGGATTTTTCGGGGCCGATACCGATTGTTAGGGTGGGGGTTATCCGATTAATCGACCGATTTTTTTATTTTTTATGAAGTTATTAAAATATATATATGTAGGAGAATCTCTTTATACATTTAGGTTAAGAAATATAGAGTAATTATCTTTTAGTAAGAAGCTACAAATAATCTAGGTTGGCCTGCTCCTGCAGCCCCACGACCCTGAGATTGTAAGCAAGGCTGTCTTGCAGGAGCCCGAACTATCTGTCTGTTGGAACATTTAATCTCTGCCAGGGTCAAGACGAACCTAAACAAAGTGTCGTGGGGCAGACATGTCATCATGGGCAGCCCTCTGCACATACACATACACAAACACACACACACACACACCTAACAGCATGAAAGAGAGTAGAAGAAAAGCTAGGGAGGCTTCCTTCGGTCTTGGTCGAGACTCTGTTTATCATCTGTACCGATTTCTACATCTGTACAATAAAGACGCCCAGGCTGTTCTTCAGATCTCATCCTGTCTCCTGTGCATTGTTTATGCTGGATTTTCCACAACATATACTGTAGATATACTATAGGCTACTGCTCTTCACGCCAACAGGAAGGCTGACTGACTGACTTACCATCGTACAAGGTAGCCTCAAAACTAACCCGGCATGCGCTGTAAAAGTCTTCTGGATCTTGTAACCCAAATGTTGGCAGGTATGTGTGTGGCCCTGCTCTCTGAATGCCCCCGGCCTCTGTTTTATTGATAATAAATGAGCACTTCAGTCACTACTGTTTTTTGTTTGTTTTATATCTATATTTATTTGAAGATGAAATGCCTCTTGTTACTGAGAGAAAATAACATTTCAATATAGTAGGAGTGTCCACGGAGCTCTCGTTAAGCCTGAAGCAGATAAAATACAGGTTTAAAGAAGTGTGCCCCCCTGAAAAAATGTAATGCCCCCTCTCTTATTTGTCTCTGCAGCCAGGTGAGTGTGAACCTGCAGAGCTGGACGTCTCTCTGATGAGGATGAAAGATGTTTGTTGCTGCCCGAAAGCACCAGACCTTTCTACCGCGAGGGGTCTGGACTGGGAGAGACCCTGAACGCCACTTGTAAATCGGCTAAGGTACCTGTTTTATTTTGCCTCAGCTGAGCAGGGGGCCATTAAGTTTTGGGCCACACTGAACCCGAGCGACGATACCGGCCTGTAACAGAGGTTAAATATTCCTTTGCCAGCTTTAAATAAGGTGTCAGGTGCATTTTGTTTACAGTGTGGGTCCACATTTTGAAGATTGCAATTTATAAACTGTGTTTTGAACATGAAACATGTAAGTAAACGTTCTAAGATGCTAGCATAACCGTTTTATTGTTTTATTGGAGAGTTAAGTCAATTTTACGACTTTATTTGTGGTTTATTTGCTAACTGTTGAGGTGCAAAGGTACTTGAATCTACATGAGAGAAGCTATTATAAATACTTACCTGACAAGTTTTATTTTTCTTTTAATTCTAGAGTTTAAAGGATATTTAGAGTTTATTTTAAATACATGTTAAAGAACCCAGGGCTCTGCTCTGACGCGTATAGGGAGCAAGAGCGCTACCCAAGTTACGTCTTTATCAGGTACGTCCTTGCTTATTTCAGCAAGATCATGTTGAGACATGTTCTGCACATGTTACGACAGCACGGGGAAAAGAGTCCGGGTATGAGACTCATACTGAATGTCGTAAAAAGGAAACGTGACGCAACACAGCAGTAAACATGTCCCAGATTTTTGGGAACATGTTGTAGTATCCGATTTCAAATGAGTGAATATTTCTTTAAAAACAATCAAGTTTATCAGTTTGAACTGTCAATATCTTGTCCTAGTCCAGATATTCAATATAGATGGACAAAGATTTGCAAATCATTTTGTTTTAATTCATTTATTCACGCCGTGTCTTAAATCATCTGGAATTGGAGTTTATATTTGACCGCAGCAGAGTTGAAGTTATTATGTGGAAGTGAGGAACAGAAACCACCCAGGATGAGGGTGTGGAAACGGAAACATGAAAACCTCTTTGTCGTCAGAGCTTAATTCCCGTTTGCTTCTCCAAAATGTGAGAGTACAGTTTATAAGGAGGAACTCTGAAATTTGATGACACAGCGAAAGGAATATCCTGTTTCATGCACAATAAATAATGCAACAGGTCCATTTCTCCTTTCGTTGAGCTTGTTACGAGTGAATAGCAGCATCTTCGTTTGACTGCAGTTACACAGACGGTAAGTCCACTTTCAGATTTTCATGATTAATTATTGCTCTGTGATTTAGATTCATTTCTAGAAATAAAAACATGACTGATAATGTTCCCTCTGAAGAGGTTTGGCTTACCTGGCTGATGCAAAGTCAAAATTTTGAATTTGACATGCAAGTTAATCGTAATTAGTCTTTTGACTGATTTTGTTTTTCTTTAATTTTCGAGTTTCCCATAAATATCCTGATTATCGGATCATCACAGTATTTTACAGCCACGATGATTGTAATTGAAAAATCTGATATCTTTACAGCCCGACTGAAACCGCATCATTGTCAGGATGGATCCAATGGAGATCGATGACGGCATACACACAAAGTGGGACCTCATGAAGGAAGGCCTCATCACCGGCGGTATGATATCAACCTTAAAAGAAAAGAGTTTAGAGTACCAACATAAGAATTGTTATCTATGTGGAGTGTAAAACTAACTTTTTCGATCATGTTTGGGAAGTTCATGGGTTAATTGTTGTTTTCAGATTTGGAGATTTACTTTTTCAACACTCAAATTCGGATAAAAAGGAACCTTGTCTCTAAGCAAACGTGTGAATTGTTGTCTGACTTTTCATTTTGTAGATCTGCAGAAAAGAAAATCCCCCTACAGATGTCTTTCTGTGGGTCTTGGATTACTGTGTGCTGTCCTGTTGCTTGGAAATGTAGCACAACTCATCTACTGTAAGTTTTTTTTTTTTTTTAAACATAAATTTTGAGGCATTAAACTACTAAGTGGTCTTTGAAAGCCCCTCTCTCTATCTCACAGGTAAGAGCTCTGGAGCTTTAACCACAGAGACAGAAAAGTTTGAAGCCCGACTGAGTAACCTGACGACTAAGAAAGACCAGCTACAGCAAAACTACAACTCCCTTAAAGAAGAGAGAGATCGGCTGCAGATGAATAACACTGACACGCGGAAGAATTACGACGACCTACGGAGAGAAAAAGACGACCTACAGACCAAGTTCAGCACTTTGACAGCAAACAGAGACGAGTTACAGAGGAAGTACTCCTCTCTGACACTGGACAAGGACCAGTTGCAGTTACGCTTGAATAATTTAACTCTGGACAAGAATCATCTTCAGACCAGATACAATTCTCTCTGGATAAACAACACAGCTTTGCAGACACAGTTTTCTGATCTGCAAAGGGAAAACGATCAGCTGAAGACTAATTACAGCAATTTGACAACAGTCAAAGATCAGTTACAGCAGGAACTCAACAGCCTAAAATGTAAGATATCCCTCTCTTGTAAGTTGAACTGATTTTCTGTACAGTGTTCTGGCATTTATATCCTGTTTGTGATATTCTGTTCTGGTTCATGTTTTCGATCTGCAGCCCCTTGCCGTGAGGGAGGCTGGAAGAAGTTTGGCACCAGCTGTTACTACGCTTCAAGTACGAAGAAAAACTGGTGGTCCAGCAGAACTGACTGCACCAGTAAAGGAGCTGATCTGGTTATCATTAATAGCGAAGAGGAAAAGGTACGCGAGTAAAGAAGTCAGTGAGTGTGTAATTTAAAGCTAAAAAAAACATCTGTAATTAGATTTGAGCAACTAAAGAGAGGTTCCTGACCAACATCAACGTCCAAAATATGTTAAAAAATTGGATTTAATTGAGGGAAACAAAAAGGAGCAATAACGGATTTACCAGGAAGATGAGGATGTGTTTTCATCATCCCTGTCTGTGTGTCATGATTACAGGTGTTTGTCAGTGAGCTGGTGACACCAGGAGCAAATACCTGGATCGGTCTGACTGACGATGTTACAGAGGGGACTTGGATGTGGGTGGATGGGACCCCCGCCACAACTACGTAAGCTTTTAATTGATTACTTAATGTATTAAAAGGCTAATTTATGTTACATTACTATTCTAAGTTTTGCACAGGAATAGAATATCTGTATGACATTTTTATGAGAGTAAATCTGTGCGCAAATATACCCTGGCCACCTCTAACGGTGTCAGAGCCCCCTCAGTCAAAAAAGTCTGAGCACACCCCTGCAAACTTCAACCTCTGCTGCAGAATGACAGTAAAACAGACACTTGTACCAGTTAGAGGAGGATAACAGGCAGATGGAGCATGATATACATGAGAGAAGTTAGAAAGTGAGTGATTTGATGTATTTGAGGAGTTGTTCATGGATGTTGATTTCTCTTCTCATCAGGTACTGGGAGGACGGGCAGCCCAACAGCATGGGGGGGAACCAGGACTGTGGAGAGATGGTGCAGAGAGGAGAGTGGAACGATGATAAGTGTACTGTTGAAAACATCTATATCTGTGAGACCTCTCTGTAATCTATAAACTCTGTAAATTAGAAGTTAATGATCAAAGTTCATGCTTGTCCCCTCAAGACAGAAAACTGAGGGAAACGAAGAAGAAGTAACCAACTGCCAGGGTGCTAGCTAAAGCAGCTTTCTTAGAGATAATTCAGCAGTTTTTAAAAGTGATTTTCAAGATTTACTGTATTTTCTTAAACAACTTCAAACTTGTGCCTCTCTGGGATACTAACTAATTATACATTTATACTTTGTAACTGCAAGTTTAACCGTTTTCATTTAGCTCTGTGATTTAAGATCCACCAGGATTAAAGGAATAAAAGCAACCTTAAGAATATTTCAAAATAAAAGCATGATGAGCAACCATTTAATGAGGCAATACTGTTACACTGTTTAATGGATATGATACTTCAATTAATAACTGTTTTCAATTATGTAGTACAAACTGCATAAGCACATGTTTTGTAAGATGATTGTACAACACACTGGTGATTAAATAATAAAGATCAATTTCAAATAAAGTACTCTCCAAGTGTATTATTTAGTGTTTTTGCAGACATTAAAGCCACCAAGTGCATACATAGACAACACACACAGACTATTTATAAAACAGGTTGTGAGATGACCACAAGAGTGATAAAGAAATTACAAAAAATAAAAACACAGTGAATGAAATATTGTCCAGATTACTGAAAGATGCTTGGTACCTTTTTTTGACAGCTTTGTGAAAATAGCATCTGATTCTGCGGGTTACAAGGATCGTTATCAATTATGTCAACAAAAAAATACATTGATGAAAATTTAAGCGTCAGCGACTCGTGTTATTGTTGTTGTAAATCACACATTGGCTTCTTAATGGTGACCTGTAACTGCAATGCAAACAGACAAAGAAGGTTGAAAACACTGACCCAAATTTTCCAAAGTTTGTTAACATGTCACTGAAAATAAACCAGAGAAAAACAAGTTTAATATCATCTCTGTGAAGCTCAACTCCCATTTTATAGTAGCCCCTTGGCGATGCACGAACCCCTTTAACACAGAGAGATGAGTTCATGAATAACGTCTAAACCTTGTAGATATTTTTAATCACATACTCATTTGTTAATTAACCATCAACTTATGATGCAAGTACAAAACAGATTTGTGTCGTACGTCTGTCTGTCGGAAAATCGTAGAAGAACCTTGCTTGGCGAATGCTGTTCACTTACATTAATGGGTACTTTACAGTAGAATTAATGGCGCAGCTGCTTTGACAGACATAATTTCAGTGACTGTTAAAGATAGGGTTTATAATGGTGTGAAGATTTAAGCAACTTTAGGTCAAACAGAAGTCCAAAATAAATGCTAATAAAGATAATCGGGATTAATCGAAAAGTTATCGATAGATTATTCAACAACAAAAATAATCGGTAGATGCAGCTCTACAAGGATCCCGCGGTTTTACTGCCGTACTCTAAAGGCATTTTACCTAACCATTTGCTGTAATTATAATGATCAATATTGTTAAAAAGAAAAAATAAAGGGAAAAAATCTAATTAAGTTTATGAGTTTAAACATCAAACATGTTGTCCTTGTTCTGTATTCAATACAGGTCAACAAATATTGGCCAATCATTCTGTTTTTGCTTTTTTACACTCAATGTCTCAACTTCTCTGGAATCGGAGTTTGTGTTTGACTTCAGCAGAAAATTGATATGTGGGAGTGAGGAACAGAAACTACATGGTATGGAAACTGAAGGGCAGAAACCTCTCTGCCATCATAGTCGAGCTCTAGACATCATTATGAAAGTTTCACTCTGAAATATGATGACACGGCGAAAGGAATATCCTGTTTTATGCACAATAAATAACGCTACAGGCCCATTTCTTTCCATTGCGCTCATAACGAGTGAATAGCGGCGCATTCATTTGATTGCAGTAACACAGACGGTGAGTCCACTTTTCAGATTTAAATGACTAATTATTGCTCTGTGATTTGTGATCCAGTTTGTGTTTATGGAAAAGTAGAATTCATCTTGTTGTTTGTAGAACATTTCGAGGAATAAAAATATGAGAAGTGATGTTCTCTCTGAAGAGGTTTGGGTCACCTGACTGATGTGAAGTCATAAATCATTTCAATATCATTAGAAATGAATGATGATGTGTAAGTTAATCGTGTTTACGAGTTAAATTTGAGTAGTATTGTGTTGCTCAGAGTTGCCAGGCATACAATTATTATCCTATTTGTACGATCATTTTGCCCTCTGTTTGATGTACGATCAATAACCCAGAAAAAATGTACAATATTTTGACAGTTCTGTGAACATGTGGCGAAATGGGACTGTCTCAGTCCGCCACACTTTATTTTTGTGTTTTTTATTTGCGAATCCTAAATGCAACTTTTACCACATGATGTTTCCATCCAATCATAGTTTGAGTGACGTTTGTCTCCGATCAATGAGCATGATTGTCAGTCAATATGAATACTGTTTCAAAAAAGTAGGTGGTTTCAGGGTCTCATGATTTGTCTCATTAGTTCCCACCTGTCACTTGTTTAAAGGGGATGCATTAGTGTAACACAGCTGAGTTGGAGCTGCATACTGTGCTGATGTAGGGCGGGGCGGTGAATGACCACAAAACTGTAGCCGCAAAATCATGAGCCTGTAGGACGCCAAGTAGAGAAACAATATGTGACTATCATGCAACAGTAAGATTGTAATTTTGATTATGACGAGTGTACGATAATTTTCCCAAAAATCCAATAATTTTGAGTCTCTGGTACGATAATTCTCTATTTCACATCTGGCCACTCTAGTGTTACTCCACATTTGTCTTTTGACTGATTTTGCTTTTCTTTAATTTTCAAGTTTCCCATAAATATCCTGATTATCGGATCATCACAGTATTTTACAGCCACGATGACTGTGATGTGAAAAATCTGATATCTTTACAGCCCGACCGGAAACGTTTCATTGTCAGGATGGATCCAATGGAGATCGATGACAGCGTACACACAAAGTGGGACCTCACGAGGGAGAGCCTCATCACCGGCGGTATGATTTCAACCTTAAAAGAAAAGAGTTTAGAGTACAAACATTAGAAATGTTATCTATGTGGAGTGTAAAACTGACATTTTCAATCATGTTTGAGAAGTTCTTCTGTGAATTGTTGTATTAAGATTTGGAGATTTACTTTTTCATCAGTCAAATTAGGAAAAAATGGATCCTTGTCTGTATAAAACATGTTAATTGTTGTCTGACTTTTCATTTTGTAGATCTGCAGAAAAGAAAATCCAACTACAGATGTCTTTCTGTGGGTCTTGGATTTCTGTGTGCTGTCCTGTTGCTTGGAAATGTAGCACAACTCATCTACTGTAAGTTTTTTGTTTTTTTTTAAACATAAATTTTGAAGCATTAAACTGCTAAGTGGTCTTTGAAAGCCCCTCTCTCTATCTCACAGGTAAGAGCTCTGGAGCTTTAACCGCGGAGAGAGGAAAGTTTGAAGCCCGACTGTGTAATCTGACTACTGAAAAAAGTCAGCTGCAGCAAAACTACAACTCCCTAAAACAAGAGGGAGATCAGCTACAGATGAACTACAACTCTCTAAAACAAGAGGGAAATCAGCTACAGATGAACTACAACTCTCTAAAACAAGAGGGAGATCAGCTACAGATGAACTACAACTCTCTAAAACAAGAGGGAGATCAACTGCAGCAAAACTTCAACTCCCTAAGACAAGAGGGAGATCAGCTGCAGATGAACTACACTGACATGCAAAAGACTTATGACGACCTACGGAGAGAAAAAGATGACCTACAGGCCGAGTTCGGCACTTTGAGAGCAAACAGAGACGAGTTACAGAGGAGCTACACCTCATTGAAGAGTGAAAAAGACCAGCTGCAGAAAAGCATGGATGCTTTGCAAACACTTTACAACACACTACAGAGGGGAAAAGATCAGCTGACGACTGATTACAGCAATTTGACCACAGTTAAAGATCAGCTGGAGAAGACAGTCAAAAAAATTAAAGGTACGATGTTTTAAATAAAAGTTTAATTGACTCACTTTTTTCAGCCCATTTTTAATATTCTTTGTGTTTTTAATTTTTAGACTGGCCCTGTGAGACAGGCTGGACCAAATTTGGCACCAGCTGTTATTACGTTACAACCTTAAAAAAAAACTGGGAAACCAGCAGAAATGAATGCATCGCCAGAGGAGCTGATCTTGCCATCATAGGCAGCAGTGAAGAGCAGGTGAGGAAGGCCTGTTTTAACAGAAATTTTGTGGTTGTGGTTGTTTTAGTTGGTTTTTGCGCAGCTATTTTAAACAAGAGAGGTTCGTACATTCAAGTTTTTGTGATTCTGTGTGTATCCTGTGATAACAGACATTTATCAACGAGCTGTTGCTACCAGAGGTTCATGCCTGGATTGGTCTGACTGACAGTGCAGTAGAGAAGACCTGGTTGTGGGTGGATCACACCCCCATCACTCGGTATAGGTAAGTTTGAAATAATGCACCAGACAAACCCTAGTATGGTAATTCACTGAAGGGAATCTGAATCTGTTTATAAAATCCCTAAAATGTTACGTTTTGTATGAAAGTCCATTTTCGCCAGTGATCAAAAAAAAAAAAAAAAGAGAAAAAAATGTCTTTTTTCGTAAGAAAATTTTGGGACTTTGGATTATGCGTTTAACTGAGTTAGAAACGCATAAAAAACACTCGACCCGACCTGAAAAACCCTCAAAATTGTCCTCTTTTTGGGGATTCAAAATATGGTCACCCTAATATTGCAGTATCAAGGATTCAAGGAACTTTATTTGTCATACCCCACACCTTCGACAGTCTGTGGTACAAAATTAGTACCAGGTCCATTTCCAAGCCAGTATTTTTTGTGTATTATGTGACCTCAGATCATTTACTGAGAAACTGCCGGCAGACCCAGGATTGGCTAGATTACATGGTAGTTCAAGACAGCGGCATACCCTCCATCCTGTATCTGCCGGCCTCCACATTTACCAGGGATACATGGGATACGTGGCTCATGAAATATTAAAAACACTGAAATATCCCTTAAATTGAATGTATACCTTAATGGACATTTCACTGTTTTCATGCTGTTATTGCACTTTTTAAAAGCATGTCAGTGGATGATGATTGGTTGATAGAAGTCTTTGCACACTGCTAGAGTAACTGCCCCTCTCCAGCTAATCTTTTAATAAAAGATGAGAGATATAAAGAAATTAATGAGCTTGTGATGAACCTCGTTTCTCTAATATTTTGCAGTTTCTGGGGCCCAGGGCAGCCCAACAGCCTTGATGTGGAACAGGACTGTGCAGAAACGGTGAAAATGAGCACATTTTTGGGATGGAATGATGAAGACTGTGGCGCTGAAAATGTTGGCATCTGTGAAAAAGGTTTCCCTCGCTCGAATGTAAATCCAAATCGGAACTAGCTAAGATAGGATAAGAAGAAATTCTGTGTTATCTGACCAAAACAATCGACAAACATGTTGGGCAGAGCTGAAAACACAAAACCTTTGTGTTTAGCTTTTTTGATCTTTTCTTACTCTTTTTTATGACCCAGCTTCCTAGAACAAATTTATGCAGTAAACTTCCAAGTCAAAGCCAGAGTGCTGATCGCTTCAGCCTGATTGAGGTCTATATAAATCAAAGAATATCGATCTTTAACCGCATGACCAGTCCAATGAAAAATATCAGTTAATGCTATTTCAGCCAGACTGACATTTAACATTATTTTCAAAGTTCAGTTTTGGTCAATTTTATATCCATGCAGAGGATGCTTATTCACGCTTTTATTTCATTCGATTTTTGATGAATAGTTCTATATTTTATTCATAAATACTAAAAGTTTAATGTTGATTTGGTGTTTGATGTAATAACTGTTACTTTTGATCATTAAAGAGTCGTGTTTCAAACTGATGCTCTCATACTGTTAATTTTTCACAGAAGATGGAGGCCACCAAAACTACATCAACAAACATGACAATAAAAGTTTTACCTTTCCAAATTATACAATAAAAAGCTATAAACTAACCTTACCATACTTCAATACCAATTGGGAGTACTTGTAAGCTACTTGAGTTTGAGGGCATTTCTCAGATAACGTGTACTAATACTCCTAAACATTTTGTCAGTGGTGGTGAGGTGGAGATAGAGCAGAGCAGATCAATCAATCAAACTTTTTTTTATTTTTAAAGCACTTTTAATACATAGAATGTGTTGTCCAGTGCAGGATATAAAAAAAAAAAAATGAAATAAAATAAATAAAAAATACAAATACCAACCCCCACCCGCCCTCCCAACCCCCATTCAACACACACAGCACTCACACACTCAGATGGATTCATAAAGGACCAGGTGAGGACTCTTCAACTTGCCACAGATGACTGAGGAAACGCTATCTTGAGTTTAAAAAGATGAGGAAACACTGGATCTAGGACTAAAACTATAAAACCATGATAAAATATAATAAAGGTGATAAAGTGTTAAAAGTTAATTAAATAAAACAGTCTTAAAATCAAACGAGAACAAAAAGTAAATAAAAAAAGAGGTAATAAAACACAAACGGTTACTGAAGGACTAAAATAGGATTAAATCTCTTAATGCAGATTAAAAGATTAAAACATAATTCAACTAAAAGCCAGACTAAAAAGGTAGGTCTTTAGTTTACTTTTAAAAATATGAACAGTAGGTGTCGCTCTCAGGTCTGCAGGTAGGCTGTTCCACAGATTGGGACCGTAATGTTGGAATGATGAATCGCCGTATGTTTTAGTTTTTACTTCGGGAACAATTAAAAGACCACCACCTGAAGACCCAAGGGCTCTACTAGGCTCATACGGTAAAAGCAAATCAGATAAATAAGAAGGACCAGTCCCATTAAGAGCTTTAAAAACTAATAAAAGAACCTTAAAATCTTCTCTAAAAGACACAGGTAGCCAATGCAGAGATTTTAAAATTGGTGTGATATGGACTCTCTTCCTGGTCTTCGTCAGCACGCAAGCAGCTGAATTTTGCAGGAGCTGAAGTTTTGAAATGTTTTGAAAGTTTTGAAATGAATAGTAAATTCTACAGGTGATAAAGGCATGAATAAGAGTCTAAGATGAGTTGGACAGAGGTTATTGAAGGGGACTTTAGTAGCCAACCTCAAGTCAATGTTTTAAAAAAGTTGCACATTTTTACACTTCCACATTGGCTTCATTTTTAGATGAAGAGGAAGTTGCGTCTAAAGAAACCTCAAAATTGTGGTGGTGTTTTTCTTCTGTTTTTAAGTGACTTGGTGTGTAGATTAGATGTTTGGTCTTTGATTAAACTGTTCCAGTCAAAGATCAGTCAAAGAACAATAACAATAATAGTGATCCTAAAAATATATGCAGTATGAAAACTTTCAAATAAAGGCTTTAGATTGCAAACTGCCCTTCTTTTTGAACCTTTGCTAGGTTAGCATGTCTCATCCTGAAAATCTCTGCTTCAGTGTCACTGCAGTATTTGACAGAAAGTTCATCTATGCAAAAACAGGAACAGAAAGCACAGATGATAAAGGGACAAACCCTCTGTTATTAAAAAAGGAACTCCACTTTGTTTCTTGGAATAGATAACACTGCATTTTCATGTCCTTATGTGATGTACACACGCTCTCTCTCTCAAACTTTGATTTAATTTCGTTCCGCTTATCTTCAGTTTTCTGAACAGATCTTTACCAGGATGGATCCGATGGAAAATAAGGACAGTGAACACATGAGGAGTGTGGTGGCAGTTATGTTTATGATTATAATAGATGGAGATATTTTGGAGGATCAGTCTTGTAAACAACTGTAAGCTCAGCCCGAGTTACCCCTCATTTGTTAGAGTCCCGTTGACCTCAGTGGTTGACCTCAGGAAAGCAAAGTTGGGCGTTCCCAGAAGTATAAATCTTCTCTTGATTTTAAGACAATATGGTGTGTCCTTGGTTCACCTCCAAGTATTCTGGTTATCAAGCCGGACGAGACTTGAGACTCGCACTTACAACACACACCTAAAGGAGCTCACGATTGTAACACACACTTGAGAGATGCACAACTGTAACACACATCTATCATGTTCATGAACACACTCAGCAGTATAAAAGTGAGTGAAAGGAGAGCTCGGGACTCCCTCGGATGACTTTGGTCTAGACTCTGATTTCTGCATCTGCACCATAAAGACGCCCAGACTGCTCTTCAGATCTCATCTTGTCTCCTGTGTATTGATTTGCTGGATACCACGCGCATTTTTCCACAACAGGAGGAACCTCATAATGGAAGGCCTTCCCACTGACGGTACAGTATGAAGCAAATATTTGGAAAATATTAGACCTAAAGAAGAAATTGAGGTTGTGGGCTCTGGCATTGGAAAAATCGGCACCTGTTGTTGTATGTTTCATAAAGTAGATCCCCAGAGAAGAAAGTCCTCCTCCAGATGTGTCCTTGTGGGTCTTGGATTACTCTGAACTCTGGAGGCTGGAGCCTTTTCGGATCTCGTTTCTGCTCCGAGCAGTGTACGACACCTTACCGACCCCAGTCAATTTGCACAGGTGGGGAATGAGGGAGGACCCTCTGTGTGGGTTGTGTGGCAGTAAAGGAAACATGGCGCACATTCTTTCAGGGTGCAAAACAGCATTGACCCAGGGGAGATACAGGTGGCGCCATGACAAGGTGTTGGCACTGCTCGCAGACATCTTGGAGCAAGAGAGGAGAAAGAAACATCCGGCCAAGAGAAGACCACAGCTGAGTAACATCGCCTTCGTAAAAGAGGGCAACAGACCTGTCGTCCAAGGCCAAACCAAGCAAAACCTCCTGCAGTTGGCCCAAGGATGGGAGATGGAGGTTGACCTGGGGAGGAAGCTCCACTTCCCAGAAGCGGTACTGTCCACCACTCTGAGACCAGATATAATTATGTGGTCTCCAGAGGGAAAAAAGATCATCCTGGTGGAATTAACGGTCCCGTGGGAGGAGGGATGCGAGGAAGCGGCAGAGCGAAAGAAGACCAAGTACCAGCAGCTTGTCCAGGACTGCCGAGACAAGGGGTGGACAACATGGCTGATGACAGTGGAAGTAGGATGTCGAGGATTTCCAGCACAGTCAGTGTGGAATCTCCTGACTAAGGTGGGACTGAGAGGCCACTTGAGGAAAACAGCCGTTCGTAGGCTGGGAGAAGCGGCAGAGAGAGCCTCCTGTTGGCTCTGGCATAAGAGAGAGGACAATAGCTGGAAGCCTGGATGAGAGGCGCAGTGACCTGGCCAGTCACTGCGGACCTGCCAACTTGAGGGTGTTGTGGTTAAGGGTTGAAACACCCCATGATGGTTGGGGACCACCTGATGACCTCTCTTCCAGGCCAAGGCTTTATCCATTAAGCAATGGATTATAATAGCATCGTTGATGTATTTACGAACTGAACTTCCTGGGAAACCAGTGACTTCCAGGAAAGTCTGGATGGCAACCGAGGAAGGTCGGTGACGCTGGAGAGACAGCTGACCTCCAGGAAAGACTGGCGGGGTAACAGGGGCCAGCAACCCCTGTTGCAGCACTCGTAAGAGGGCACCAAGCAAGCTACTGAACGTACAAATGAGCAATACCCCCAGAGTCTCCCGAGAGGGGGGGAGGATGAGAGACTCGTTAGGACAGATTCAACGGCAACGACCAGGACAGTGACTCAGACACAGAGAAGGCTCAAACAAACCACCTTGACTGGGGAAGCATTGGAAGTCAAATGCAATTGTGGAAAGATCTGCAGAGGTGCAAAAGGACTTAAAATACACCAGAGGCTGGTCAAGGATAAGACCAAGTGTGGACAAGGACGGACGCATGCACACCGCACAGACGAACAGTCTGGTGAGACGCAGGAGAACCCTAGGCAGGAAGCACACCATAGTCCTTGAGATCTCTCAGTGCCTGCAATCCCCCAAGAACACACAAGAACAACCTCAGATGCCACCCCAGAAAGCCCACCCGAGCCAACGAAGGAAAGAATCAAGTGGCCTAAGATGAGTGAGACCAAGGAGTGGTCTATGTTTGATGAAGATCTGGACAAGGTGCTTGAAGCGGTTCAAGCAGGATCAGCAGAGAAAAAGGTGGATTCACTGACAGCCATCACCTACAACTTGGCAAAAGAACGGTTTGGAACAGTGCCAAGGAGAGCGAACACAGCTAGACCAGAAAAGCAGGATAACAGAAGAGAAAGAAAGATCAAACAACTTAGGAAGGAGATCAAAACCCTGAGGAAGCAGTTCAAATTGGCAAGCATGGAGGAGAAGGAAGGAATAAAAGAGCTGACAGCCAGCCTCCGCGAGCAGCTCATAAGAGCAAGAAGAGCTGAAGGGCTAAGACAAAGGAGGAAGAGGTTGGAAGCTGCACGAGCCCAGTTCATAAAAGACCCCTACCGCTTCACCAAATCACTTCTGGGAGAGGCGAAGTCTGGGACTCTAACAAGTTCCAAGGAGGAGGTGGAGGAGTTTGTTGAGGAGACATTCAGTGACCCTTCAAGAAACAATGCCCTACCAGTAGACCAAGGGCTTCGCACCATCAATCCACCAACATCCTCCCTCAACACAGAATTTACAGCATGGAAAGAGGTTCAAGAGGTCGTCAAGCATGCGAGATCTTCTTCTACCCCAGGTCCCAGCGGTATACCCTACAAAGTGTACAAGAAATGCCCCAAGCTCCTCAGAAGACTGTGGAAGCTTATGCGGGTAATCTGGTCGAAAGGAACCATTCCAACAAGCTGGAGAAGGGCAGAAGGATGCTTTGTGCCAAAAGAACGAGGATCCACACAGATCAGTCAGTTCCGAACCATTTCCTTACTCAGTGTTGAGGGAAAAATATTCTTTTCCGTGCTGGCCAGAAGAATAAGCTCCTACATGACCCGAAATGGATATATTGACACCTCAATCCAGAAGGGCGGCATCGAAGGGTTCTCCGGGTGCCTGGAGCACACAGGGGTCCTCAGCCAGCTTATCCAAGAAGCAAAAGAGAAGAAAGGCAACCTAACAGTTGTCTGGCTAGACTTTGCGAATGCATATGGGTCGATTCCCCATAATTTGATCCAAGTTGCTATGGACCGTTACCACATCCCTCGTCACATCCAGGGATTGATCACCAACTACCTGGGAGACATCAAGCTACGATTCCAATCACCCACGTTTACAACTAAGTGGCAGCCAGTGGAAAAGGGAATAGTAACTGGGTGTACCATCTCTCCCATCTTGTTCGTCATGGGAATGAACCTGATCATTTCTGCAGCGGCTACAAAGTCAAGAGGACCAAAGACTGCAGCAGGAAGTCAACAGCCGGCAATCAGGGCATTCATGGATGACCTTACCGTGATAACACCAACTCACGTGCAGGCAAGATGGATCTTGGCGGAACTGGATCGCATGGCTACTTGGGCGAAGATGATCTTCAAGCCCAAGAAATCAAGGAGTTTGGTGATCCAGAAGGGCAAAACAACTAAACGGTTCAAGCTTCTTGTTCAAGGGGAAGAGATCCCAAACATCCAGGGAAACCCTATCAAATGCCTTGGAAAATGGTATGATGATTCCCTGACAGACAAAAACAGCATCTCCAGCACTGAAAAACAAGTGGAAGAGTGGTTGAAGAGGATTGACAAGTCTGGCCTGCCTGGAAAGTATAAGTGCTGGATCTACCAACATGGCCTGCTCCAAAGACTTATGTGGCTTCTCACTGTGTACGAAGTGCCTTTAACATCAGTTGAAGGGATGGAGAGAAGATTCAACAAGCACCTTCGTAGATGGTTGGGAATACCCCCAAGCTTTACATCTTTGGGGCTCTACATAAGGTCGGGTCAGCTCCAGCTCCCCCTGTCCTCTGTTGTGGAGGAGTTTAAAGTCGCCAAGTGCAGGCTTTCACTGACATACAGGGACTCCCAAGATCAACTTATCAGGGAAGCTGGAATCCGAACAAGATCTGGCAGGAAGTGGGCCGCCAGCACTGCAGTTCACCAGGCAAAGCTTCTCTCAGGACCAAGGAAACCATTGGTAACCCCTGCACTGGAAGACAGGGCTTAGGAACATCACACTTCCAGCAGTGGTCAAAGTCCACTCCCAGGGAGAGGAGGGCCATGATCCAGGACGAAGTTCGAAACCTTGAGGAGGAAGGAAGAAGAGCTAAAGCCATCGAGCTCGCATCTCAAGGCGCCTGGACAAGGTGGGACCTTCCCAAGAGGACCATCACGTGGAGTGAACTCTGGAGGCTGGAGCCTTTTCGGATCTCGTTTCTGCTCCGAGCAGTGTACGACACCTTACCGACCCCAGTCAATTTGCACAGGTGGGGAATGAGGGAGGACCCTCTGTGTGGGTTGTGTGGCAGTAAAGGAACCATGGCGCACATTCTTTCAGGGTGCAAAACAGTATTGACCCAGGGGAGATACAGGTGGCGCCATGACAAGGTGTTGGCACTGCTCGCAGACATCTTGGAGCAAGAGAGGAGAAAGAAACATCCGGCCAAGAGAAGACCACAGCTGAGTAACATCGCCTTCGTAAAAGAGGGCAACAGACCTGTCGTCCAAGGCCAAACCAAGCAAAACCTCCTGCAGTTGGCCCAAGGATGGGAGATGGAGGTTGACCTGGGGAGGAAGCTCCACTTCCCAGAAGCGGTACTGTCCACCACTCTGAGACCAGATATAATTATGTGGTCTCCAGAGGGAAAAAAGATCATCCTGGTGGAATTAACGGTCCCGTGGGAGGAGGGATGCGAGGAAGCGGCAGAGCGAAAGAAGACCAAGTACCAGCAGCTTGTCCAGGACTGCCGAGACAAGGGGTGGACAACATGGCTGATGACAGTGGAAGTAGGATGTCGAGGATTTCCAGCACAGTCAGTGTGGAATCTCCTGACTAAGGTGGGACTGAGAGGCCACTTGAGGAAAACAGCCGTTCGTAGGCCGGGAGAAGCGGCAGAGAGAGCCTCCTGTTGGCTCTGGCATAAGAGAGAGGACAATAGCTGGAAGCCTGGATGAGAGGCGCAGTGACCTGGCCAGTCACTGCGGACCTGCCAACTTGAGGGTGTTGTGGTTAAGGGTTGAAACACCCCATGATGGTTGGGGACCACCTGATGACCTCTCTTCCAGGCCAAGGCTTTATCCATTAAGCAATGGATTATAATAGCATCGTTGATGTATTTACGAACTGTGTGCTGTCATGGTGGCTGGAAATGTGGGACAACTCATCTACTGTAAGTTTTTTTTTTTTTTCTAAGTCCAATTTTGAAACATTAAACTTTAAGTCTCTCTCTATCTCTCTTTCATGCACAGATAACAACTTTGAAGCTTCAACCGCAGAGATAGAGAAGTTTGAAGCGAGACTGAGTAACCTGACTACTGAAAAAGATAAGCTACAGATAAACTACTATGACCTGCAGAGAGAGAGGGCCGAGGTACAGACAAACTTCTCTTTGGTGAGGAAGGACAGGGACGAGTTAAAGAGAGAAAAAGATCAGCTAAGCGCAGATTTCAAGAATTTGACAACGATTAAGAATCAGTCAGAGGAGATGATTGAGAGTGTAAGAGGGGATCTGACAAAAGAGAAAGAAGAGCTGCAAAGTTACTGTAACAACATGCAGACGAGCCTTGACAGTGTACAAAGAGACAGAGATGAGTTACAAAGGAACTACACCTTGCTGAAAAGTCAGAAGGACCAGCTGCAGAGAAGCAAAGATGCTCTGCAAACACGTCACGACACGCTACAGAGGGAAAAAGATCAGCTGTGGACTGACTACAGCAGTTTATATGCAGCTAGAGATGAGTTAACGAAAGAGCTGAACAAACTGAAAGGTAAGATATTTCTCTTAAAGATCAAATCAGATTAGGCCTCTTTGGTATTTACTGTTTGTTTGTCTCTCCCCTTTTCTTTTTTTTTTTCTTTTTTCTGTGCAGCCCCCTGTGAGACAGGCTGGAAGAAGTTTGGTACCAGCCTTTACTGTGTTTCTACTGGTAAGAGAGTGTGGCACCAGAGCAGAGACGACTGCTTCACAAAGGGAGCTGACCTGGTGTCCATAAACAGCAGGGAGGAACAGGTGAGAAAGAAAGAAAAGACAATTTTCTAAATTTGTGTGATAGATTCTTGACCGCCTTTATCATGTGAAACGGGTTAAAGCCTTAAACAGAGATGGATTGAAGGAGTCTTTTTGAGCAGAAACTGCACTGATAACAATAAATGTGAGTGAAAAATGGTTAAACTTCTAAAAACACAACAAGCCAGTTGGTTCAGTGATTCAGTGGTCTGATCATTTATCAGAGTTTGGAATTTTTACTGTGCGATTAGTCGGCGGGTATTAAAGCTGTTAAACCGTCTCACCTAATTTTGTTGTCCTTTCTGTGTTACGACAGGATTTTGTCAGTGGGCTGGTGACATCGAGTGAAGATTTTTGGATTGGTCTATACTATAAGTTACCTGAGAGGACTTGGATGTGGGTAGATGGGAACCCTGTCACCTTCACGTGAGTTTAGTTATTTCAGTCTCATGGTGTCATAATTTAATAGCAGCTAAATACATAGAATATAATGTAGCGCTCAAGCACCAGTGAATTCCATATTTATTTAGAGTATTTGGCACCACATAAATAAAAGTTGGTAGACTGATTTGGAAAATTGTTGCTGATTGAACCAAATGAAAATACTGAGTATATTTTTACGCTGATCTGCAGAAAAATTTTGACACAGTAGTTATTAAGGACGCTGGAGAAGTGCAGGATGTGAGGTGTTGCTTCTTCACGGATGGAAAATTCCTAAGAAATAGACAAAGGTGTGTAAATCAATAACACAGTGCAAGTTACATAGACTGTAGCCACTGAAGCCACTCCAAAAACAGTTTTCTTCTTCTTCTATTTCATGAATTAGATCTCCAGAGAAGAAAGTCCCCCTCCAGATGTGTCTTTGTGGGTCTTGGATTACTGTGTGCTGTCTTGTTGGCTGCAAACGTGGGACAACTCATCTACTGTAAGTTGTTAACTCATGTCAAACAAAAAGTGACTTTTGGATGATTCACCGTTTAAGGTTAAACACTCGAGAACACAATCTATTGTTGGCAGCCCAGTGCATCAACAATAAAGAGTAACAGTTTTAGCTCTGGGAATGTTTTATTTATTAGCACTTCAACTTTGTTTTTGTGAAATTAAATTCATGGTATATGTTGTACTGCCCATCTAACTGTGAACACGGTGCTATGGTGTTTGTAAGAGTAAAATACTGCGTGATGCATTGTTCACAACTGGCTAACAGTAGGCGTCCATCTTGGTTTTTCCGACTTGTTTACTGGAACGCCGTCAGCTCGAGTGTAGCGTCATTCCCAGCTCCGACATCCAACTTTCGAGGTAACTGGAACGCAGCATAAGAAAAGAAACGTTGAAATAGTTTTTTAAAAATCTCTAAAACTCCTTATTGCAGATCATCGATTCAGCCATCCTACGTCAGCTGACCTGATGCAGACCAATCACAGCTCTGAGGCAGATCACCTTCAGAGCAGCCGTGGGGCTTTGACTGCAGAAGGAGAAGAGTTCGAGGGGAGACTAAGTAACCTGACTACTAAAAAAGATCAGCTACAGCAGAACTACAACTCCCTAAATCAAGATAGAGATCAGCTACAGCAGAACTACAACTCCCTAAATCAAGAGAAAGATCAGCTACAGCAGAACTACAACTCCCTAAATCAAGAGAAAGATCAGCTACAGCAGAACTACAACTCCCTAAATCAAGAGAAAGATCAGCTACAGCAGAACTACAACTCCCTAAATCAAGAGAAAGATCAGCTACAGCAGAACTACAACTCCCTAAATCAAGAGAAAGATCAGCTACAGCAGAACTACAACTCCCTAAATCAAGAGAAAGATCAGCTACAAACTAACTATAACAACCTGCAAAGAGAAAAGAACGAATTGCAAACCAAGTTTACCATGATAACGACAAACAGAGACGAGTTACAGAGGAATTACTCCGCACTGAAGAGTGAAAAGGACCAGCTGCAGAAGAGCAAGGATGCTTTACAAACAAGTTACGACACTTTACAGAGAGAAAAAGATCAGCTGACGACTGATTACAGCAATTTGACAACAGTTAAAGATCAGCTCGAGAAGACAGTCAATAAAATGAAAGGTAGGAACGTTTCTTTTAAAGGTTGGATTTGTTAGATTTTTTAATTGTTTGGTATTTACAGCTTGTTTGTGATATTCTGTCTCCGTCTGTTTCTATTTGGCAGCCCGGCCCTGTGAGACAGGCTGGGAGAAGTTTGATACTAGTTGTTATTACGTTTCAACCGCAAACAAAAACTGGACTCGGAGCAGAGACAACTGCATCGCTAAAGGAGCTGATCTGGTCATCATCGACAGCAGAGAGGAACAGGTGAGGAAACTCAGTTTCAGCGAAGATTCGATGGTTTTCTGTCATTTTCAGAACTGTGTGTGTGTGTGTGTGTGTGTGTTGTAATAATAGTCATTCATCAATGGGCTGCTGGGAGCAGGAGTGAACGCCTGGATTGGCCTGACTGACAGTATCAAAGAGGGAACCTGGATGTGGGTGGATGGGACCCCTGTCACCAATTCGTAAGTTTTAACTGCTGCACAGGAAAACTTTGATCTCATTCAACAATATTTAACAAAACTAGGGAAGTTTCTCAACCAAGTGCAGCTGGAAACCAATCTGTCAACTGTGCAGTGAGGGGTCTCAGGCTGGGTAAACACACATATCTTTTTAATAAAGTCAAATAAATAGTAATCTTTTATTAGATATTACCACTTACTGTGATGAACTTAACCTGGTTGGTCGTAAATAAAGCATTAATACACCAGCCCTCTGTGTCTGTAATATTGTTTTTACCTGCACCTTATGTAGTGGCAGTCAACAGTCAACCATTTGTGGTCTATTTTGGCTTTTTTGACGACCACTGTTGATATGGGCACAGCCTTTATTTTAGCTTCTCTAGGTTTGTGCCATTGTTGTGGCAAACTTGTATAAGCTTTAACTGGACCGTCCTCTTGTACCTCATATCATATCCAATGTGTTGATCAAACTCACAAATGTGGGAACAATATCCTGGTGCGCTATAAAAAGAAATGGAAAACATACCATTTAGCAACAGGCTAGCATACCAGACAGCGAAAACTATAGGGAGTCATGAATGAAAGTTAGCTTAAAATAAAGTAACATATTGACTTACCCTGCGATGCAAGAACATTGTTGTCCCTTTATAAATTTGTTGGGTACATGAATCGTCACGACGTGGGGTGGCTGACTCTTGCGATGTGAATTGTGAGCCTCGGCCTCGATTTTAATGTCCTCTTTGTCGGCATTACTTCACCGACAAATGATGTAAATATATTTCTCAAATGCATATCGCAGTCCTTTCTGTCTAGTTCTCTCTGGTATTACTCCAGAAATTTGACATGATTTCCTTCGGAATATCCTTCACCGAAATCGCTGAGAAATGCATGTTGGCGGAACCGGTGAAGAAAGCTTGCCAGGCTTAGCAACTGTAGCGATGGAGGGCAACCCTTAGCGAAGGGTCAATAAAAAAAGTCATCATCAAGTTGAAAATCAGCTTGAGGAAAAGCTAGTTAGCCAACTAACTAAAGTGAGGAATACACTGTTAGGTGTTCAAGGTCAATAACATAAGAGTAAAGCAATGGTTGATAATATGTTATCATGATGTGTTCAAAAAGAGGAAAAATGGTTTTTGGCAAATTATGTGAGATGAGATTGATTGAACTAAAAAATTAAGGACCCCCATCCCTGGTCAAAATATAGCTACTACTAGTATAGTCCATAACCAGCTTTAAGGGAGAGATGGGAGACGTGCACAAGGCAAGACAACAAAAGAGAGGATGCAACAAATTCAATAATGACTGAAAAATGAATGACTCCCTAACTGAATCTCATTTGTTTGATGTTTTTTGCACATCAGGTTCTGGCAGGAGGGGCAGCCCAACAGCTACGAAGGGAACCAGGACTGTGGAGAGATCGTGCAGTCAGAACAAATTGGAGGATGGAACGATGATGGCTGTTTCGCAGACAACCCCAGCATCTGTGAAAAATAAGATCCAGTGATTCAAATATCCAAATATCCGTTTTAGTATTTCTAATTTACTGAAAAATGTGATTTACACCTATATGCACTGATGTCCATTGTCCTTCACTTGCACAGAGGCTTATGTTATCAGCCTTAGTGCATGTATCAATCAAAATGGGATGGTTTACAGAGTTTTAGAGAAGCAGTTGAGTTGATTTTATAAACTGTTGCTGCTTGAGATGTGAAAAAAATGCTCATTTGTATTTTACCTCAACAAGAATAAAAGTTGTGTTTATAATTTCTCAACCTCTGTGTGTTTACACCCTTGAAAACCCGATAAAAGGTCGCCTTTGTAACAATAATGACCACAATTTGCAACCGATTCAATGTTCTGCTCGCTATCAGTTGAAACCCTGATAGCCAATTAACATGAAGATTTAGATACAACTTGTTAAAGAGTTTGATCCTTGCAGTGTAGTCGCAATGGCATGAAGATTACCCATCCTCACTTGCATTAACTTGCATGTCCATAGATTTGATGTGGTATAAGGACGGAGCAAGTCATTCAAAACATTTAAGCATTCAAATATGTGCAAAACTAATGACTTAATTACCACAAAATGAGACAGTGAACGCTGGTTAGCCTAGTTCTCCATCTGAAACTTAACCAAACAGCAGGAAAGGACCCCTTGAGAGTAAAACTGCCACACAACCAAAGCTCTTCTGGATATTATCCCACAAAAAAGAGACCAAAAATAGCCGTCATACCCTCTTCATCTTCATCATAAACTGTCTCAGAACACAGTTTAAAGTTCAGGTATATCAAGATGTGGTGGGATTTTTTTTTCTTTTTTGTTTTGATAACTTTTGTGAATCATCAGTAACTGTGTGTTTAGGCCTAGTTAGAAAAGTGAAGTAGGCTACAAGAATATATTAAGTTACAGGAACATCCCCTTCATTTGCTCGGTAAGTCTAAGTGGACCAGCATGTCTGTTTAAGGCGCCTTGATCTTTTATTTTTAGTCTGGCTGCTTAAAGCGTAACCTCACCACCCGCCTGTGTCCTCAGGGGGAGTCCCATCTCACCACCCCACCACAGCGGGTTTGGATCCTGCTCATCTCTGGGAGGAATAAAGAGGCTTAGTGCAATTAATGGTTGAGATGCCCCCTTTAAGAGCAGCCGCGCTCAACAAGGCCGCCGACGCCACACCCAGAACGAGCGGCATGCCAGAGCGCGGTGTCTCTGCCTGCCGAGCACATCTGCTCCGAGTAGCTACCGCTCACATGTGAGTGGTGGTAAAACGTGCTGTGTCTTCTTCTGTGTTATGTAACATGAGGCGTGCTGTTGCTTTGTCAGCAGTATTTACCAGAGCTTTGTCATCTGTTCAGGGTGCAACAGGATGAGGAATGGAGGCGTCGACAGTAGCAGTGTGTGATATGATGCAATCCAATGAAACAGCTCTGAAGTCGATGCTAACCAGCCCTCTTTTTTGTCCTTCTGTCTCCACTTTATCAAAGAGAAGGGAGGTGATTTCATGTTTTAGTCATTTGAAAGTGTTTACCGTTGTGTTGCATCACCTCTTCTTCTGGCAGTATCCTCCATTTCAGCTGCTCAACAGTTCCTCCGTTGTATTTTTGTGTCATGATGCTCTAATTGTTTTTCATAGGACTGTTTTAGCAGCTAGACTCTTCTACTTCTGAGCCACTCGTCATACGGGCAGCATACACCTCCCCAGATGTACAAGCTAGCCACGCCACATACACTAATGCTGCGTTCCAGTTACCTCAGAAGTTGGATGTTGGAGTTAACGATTGTCAGCTGTCGTTAGCCGTTGTCAACAACTTTTCTTTTCTCTTTGCAGGTTGCCATAGTTTGTTTGTAGCTGATCTCTATCTTGGTTTAGGGAGTTGTAGTTCTGCTGTAGCTGATCTTTTTTAGTAGTCAGGTTACTTAGTCTCCCCTCGAACTCTTCTCTCTCTGCAGTCAAAGCTCCACGGCTGCTCTGAAGGTGATCTGCTTCAGAGCTGTGAGTGGTCTGCATCAGGTCAGCTGACGTAGGATGGCTGAATCTGCAATAAAGAGTTTTAGAGATTTTTAAATAACTATTTCAATGTTTCTTTTCTTATGCTGCGTTCCAGTTACCTCGGAAGTCGGATGTTGGAGCTGGGAATGACGCCACACCCGAGTTGACAGCGTTCCAGTTAACAAGTCAGAAACCAACAACCCTACTGTTAGCCGTTGTTAGCCATTGTTAGCCGTTGTCAGCTTTTGTTAGTTATTGTTAGCTGTACTAGTTGTAAACAACGTGTAACACAGTATTTTACTCTTACAAACACTATAGTACCATGTCCACAGTTAGACGTTGGGCAGTACAACATATTACTTATTATTTACTTTCAACAAAACACAGGTGCTAATCAGTACTGCATTACGGGAACTTTCACTGTTACATGTTACTTTTTGATGCGCTGCGCTACCATTTTGGATTATGGCATTGTCGTCAAGTCGGGGTTGGCAAGGATCGTCCGACTTTCCGAGTCGGAAATCCGACTTCAGAAGGGTGTTCCAGATGCTTCCGAGTTGTACTTCCGAGTACAACTGGAACGCAGCATTATACATCCCCGTACCAACAGGGATGCATTCTTTTGAAGTGGGCCCGGTGGGTCTTCTGCTTCATAGAGCTGAGGATGTAACGTCTCAATTTGCCTCAGTCCATTTAAACAATCTGAGACTCAGAGGAGTCACCCGCATTTCTGGATCATGTTTGCAGATACTGTTCACTCTAACCTGCATTTGTGGGTGTAGTTATGAACACCGTTTTTTTGTTTTTTTTAGATGGGATTTTGAGGCTATGCAGTGATTTCCACTACAGAGCCATATCATTTCATGAGGCCTGGAGATCAAAGCCATCCATGAATGATGCTTAAAGCCAAATATATTTCTTGATTGAAGCTCCTTGTCATTTCTATAAAAAAAAATGGAACCCCCTACTGAGTCTCCTGTTCCCTAACCAGTCCACCTTGGTGAAGGGTTTTGGAAGTGTTTGATTTATTTCAATGTTTGCAGTTCACCTTATTTACCAAATCAAGACTTAAATCAATACATGCTGCACTTTGTAGTGAAAAGGGCACATATACAGTGTAGTGTTTTTACAGTTTGGCAGTGAAAATTCACGTAGCGGTGAAGGAGGTCCCATCCCATCACATTACTCCTGTCTGTTTGACTTGAATTGAACTCTGAGTAGTTGTTAAAAAACAAACTTCACCTCGAATAACAAAAGGGTTGTTGCCTCTCAGGCTCCAGACCTTTATCTAATGTAGTTTTTGTTCCTTTTTCCCACAGATCAACTCCCCGCTGAGCTCAGATGTTACAGTGACAGTGTTACAGAAAAGAGGTACAGGGTATGAGATGTGCTGCTTTTCCAGGGATGCAAAGCCAGCAGTAACTGACTCAGCAAACATGATGTCCTCTGTTTAGACCTGAACAATCAGGGCGTCTCTGTCCATGTTTTAAGCAGCACACAATCTAAATGCAAGAGGTTTGTAGTAATCTCTTGATCACTGTATGAGTCCTATGCATTTTAATCCAAAAACGGGTTTACTTTTGCTGCTGGATCACATGGACATGTTTTGTAAGCTACTGCATGCATAATTAATATCTGTTAATTATGCATGGTCTGGGTGACTCTGATGCATGTTCAGTTACAGGGCTCTCAAGTTTTGACCGAACCTTGGAAAGTAAAATAGTAAAGTTACCTGTTATGGAGGAGAGTTGTTAAAACGAGGGCTGTGGAGCATTTAGATGAATTGTACTTAAGAATAGGTTTCAAAAACATGGAGATACTTCATCCTTTGGTTCATCAGCATTACATTGTCATGAGTATCAGAACTTTAAAAAGAATATATGAGAAATGCTAAAGGAAAAAAGAAACAGGTGGACTCTAGGCGAAATGCCTGGAAATGACTGTACAATGCAGCTGTTGATAGCAATAGCATAGGGCTTTAGTTTATCATATGAGTCTAAATACCATGAGGTGTTGAGGCCTCTGCAGGTGTAGGTCACTGACTTACTGTAATCGTCAAGTCCTTTTCGTCCTTATGAAACCGTAGAGGATGGATGGATAGATAACAACAACAACAATAATGATAATGAACTTTATTTTTACAGCATCTTATAAAACAAGGGTTTACAAAGTGCTCTGACAGACAAGCAAAAGTTTACATAAGAGCAACATTTAAGCCCTAAACACATGATAATAAAAAAAATACATAAATAAAAGCAATACAATTAACACAAGAGTCTCAGGCAAGAACATCCATACTCTTCATCAAAACCTAAAATCAAACTTGCCCAAAAAACAGAAAAACCAAGATGGAGAGGACCAAATATGTAAAATAAAGTTTAAAATTCAAGAGATAGAAACAATAGAAATGGACTGAAACAGTTAGAGTCAAAAGCCATTGACAGAGTCAGAAAACACAAAGAGACAAAAACACTTAAAAGAGAAATAAGCACGGGGCGCAACGCAATAAATATAGACAATGAAATAAACAAAAGCAATAAAAGCATTAAAGGGAAGTAAGAGCACTGAGGCAGATACGAACATAAAAAGGAATAAAAGCAAAAGAAAATGAGAAAAAAAGGAAAAGAAAGGAAGGCAATGAAGGTGAATTAAAGCCATAAAGGCAATCAAATAAATAAAGGCAATAAAGGGTTTAGGGGAGCTTGGAAAAGAATAAGAAATCAGGTCAGATAGAAAAGCCTGAAATTAGAATAAAAGGCAACAAGGTGATAACATTACAATAAAAGTACATTTTAAGAAATGCTTTAAAAGACGTAGAAGATCCTATTTCCTCAAGCAGCTCGTTTCAAAGACGCCAAAACACGATGTCTGGTTTCAGTTTAGGAACAACCAGGAGGGGCCTATACCCCAGACCCCGAAGCTTCAGGGGTGGCTCACAAGGAGCCAGACCGATTAATGCTTTTAAATCTTAAAATCATTTCTAAACCACTTTAAAGCTGAAGAATGGATGCCAAGGTTGGCTGGATATGATGTCATCCGTTAAGAAGTACTAAAAAATGCAGTTCCCCAAAAGCCTACGAGAAGGGTAAAAATAAACTGGTTAAAAAGTGGTTTTGGTCTGAACAGCTCAAGGCTACAACAACAACCATGGCAACCACTGTACAGAAGGTGACTTTTCTCCAACATGTTTTCTCAATGATTTTAAAGCTGCAAGACTGGACCCAGTATCTTTGCATGCAATTAAAAATAACTGCTTTGTCCACAGGGGGCGCCAAAATTGACCCAAAGCAAAAGGAGCCTTAAAGTCAAGAGGGATCAAATGTTATCATATTTTGTGTTTTGTCTTTGTTGAAACAATTTCAAGAAAGAGTTTCATCCGGACTGTTTAGTCTACGACGCGAAATTACAATTCAGTATCCAATATTCAGTATTCATGTTCAATACAAAAAAATCGCTCCCGGTGTGAAAGGACCTTAAGATAGAATGTGTTGAGAATCAGGGCTATTCAGTCATTTACAATAAATAAAATGTGAAAGAAATCTGACATAAGAACGAACATTTCTAAAAATCTCAGTGAGTCACACCAAGAAAATGTAAAGAAACACAGCAACAATTAAATAAATTATATATGTTAAGGGGCTGTTTAGTAAGTGAATAAGCACTATATTATTTCCATGTGATCCGGTCTGGTCTTCTAAATGATGAAATCATACAAAAGCTATCATCAGGCTTAAATATCATGGATATGTGCACACAGTCATTAAAACGCGAGTTTCTTTTCACAGATCCAGATGTTATTCGTAGAGCAGGTTTCGTCATTCCACTCTCCTCTCTGCACCATCTCTCCACAGTCCTGGTCCCCTCCAGAACTGTTAGGCTGTCCACTCTCCCAGTACCTGATGAGCAAGATGTCAGAGAAATAACCTGTGTATCCTATCTCCAGTCAGACATCCTGTCCTGTCCTGTCTCTTGACCCAAAGTGAAACGGAAATTTCTCTCATATCCTGCTGTTATTTCCCTGGTTTTATAAATACCAGTAGAGTATATCAGGAAGAGACTAAATATACTGATGCTAAAAATTACATTAAATCACTTTAAAATACAGAATACAGCAGGTCCAGTCCAGCATGAAAACTTACGTAGTGGTGACGGGGGTCCCATCCAACCACATCCAAGTCCCCTCTTGAGCACTGTCAGTGAGACCAATCCAGGTGTTTTCACCTCCACTCACAAGCCCACTGACAAAATCCTGTCATCATAACACAGAAAAGAGACACAATTTTGGTCAAACCACAACTTTTCACCTTTCACAACTAAATCTGAGTTAATCCTCAGAGACGAACGTTTATAAATTTGTTAAACAGGACAAATACATTATTTCATGTTTCTCTTATTCCTTCATCTTTAACTCTTCATTTAAATTAATTTCTTAACCATTTTCCCTCCTTTTTATTCTTTTCTTGCTCTCTTTTTTCAAATGCTTGCTTTTTTTTTTTTGGCTTACTTTCTTGTACTTTGTTCTCTTGCTTGCTCGCTTTCGTTTTCTTCTTCCTTTCTTTTCTGTTTGCTTCCTTGCTTCCTTGCTTGTATGCACACTCCCTTGCTTACTTTGGCCTTCTTGATTGCTTTCTTTTCTACTTGCTTACTTGCTTGCTTACTTCTTTAACTCTCTCCTCTTTTTCTGTTTTGGTTTTAGCTCGCTCATATTGCTGTCTTTCTTGCTTTTTGTTGTTTTTTTTCCCCCCTTTTGCTCCCTTGATGACTTCTCTGCTCCCTTGCACTCTTTTTTGCTCTCTCACCTTTTCTTCCTCATTGTTCATGACGACCAGGTCAGCCTCTTGAGCCTTGCAGTCTTCCCTGCTCGCAGCCCAGCTTTTCCTTGCGGTTGAAACAAAGTAACAGCTGTGACCGTACTTCTTCCAGCCTGTGTCACAATTTCTGCCTTAAAATGGAGAAACAGACAAATTGTCATCAGCAGCTACAAATATCTTGACTGTGCATTTAAAAGTTTATGAGAATCATCTCACCTTTAGCTATCATGATCATTATGTCTCTGACCTGTGCTGTCAGATTGTGGTAAGTGGTCTTTAACTCATGAGACAGGTTCTCCAGTTTAGCTTCATAATTTCTCTGCAGTTCTGCTCTTTGGTTGTTGCAATATTCCTGATCTGTTGAAGAGACAGCATCTGCAAAATGCAAAAGAGCCTCATGAATACAACTGATAGATATGTGCTCGTATAATAAGGTTTTGTATCATATCAGTGAAATGATTGTATCCTTTTTGTATTAAATGACAACAATGAGGGTCAAATGACTTACGATAGACAAGCTGTCCTATGTTACCAACAACCAGGAGAGCCAAAAGTAGTCCAACACAGACAGTCCCACATTGGGGTGGCAGCTTATTTCTCCTTTGAGGGGCCACTAATTTAAAAGTTACAAAAAAAGGTCAACATGTATTCTCTTTCTTTCCTAAATTTGAGTCAGCAGTAACACTAACACTAAAGACTTCCTGTCCAAAAACAGGAACAAAGACAGAAAGACAAGTCTGGTTTTGAGATAAAGTGTCAGAGCATTATTTCTTAAAAAATGGGTGATTTAAATTCAGTCATCCCTTTTTTGAAGTCTGATTTTCAGTGTTATTTCAAAGAAACAGATATTGGCCTTGAAGCATTTCTACATTCAGGACTACTCATAATCTTGTGTTTTTCCAGTTACTATAAAACCTGTAAGGTTCTTCTCACGGACTCGCAGTTTCAGTTCTTTCTTAAAAGTATTGGTATTATATTTTAAAGAAGCATTCGGCGAGTTCACTGGTAGTCATTCAGGCACTTTTGAAACTGAAGCTGGTGATTTTTTATGGGTTTAAAAACCAAGATAACAGCGTGTTGGATTGCAAATTAATTCAGTATTAAAACTTTGTATCCTTCAAAATAAAAGCATCGTTTGACAATGCAGCATATTAAATAAACCTAAAGACAAGACAGAAAAAATATCAAAGTAAAACATGACAAACAATAATGATGGATTTTTTTCTTCACCAGTTTTCAGTATTCTGACATATGCTAAATGTTTTTAGCAGTATGTTATGTGTTTATGTTTAAATGTGATACTTAACTGTATTTATCATATTCTTCCATTTCAACGTTGCCATATATGTTTTCATTTGTCCCAGTGGATTCCATTCTCTGTTTTTCCTGATAGGAGAGACAGAAATAGATAACTGTCCAGCCACAACAGCATGCAACACTTATGCTTACAGTCCATAAATATCCTTCTGCAGATATCTCCAAACTATACACCGTATTCTTAGGATTGTATTGTAAGCACAGAAATAAGCTTAATAGTCGCTTAATAATAAGTGATCATCATTATAACCAAAACTTTCTAAAGTTAATAACGAAAAGTTTCCACATAAAAGACACTTCCCCTTAATCGTCCTCTCTTATTTCATTACATGGCAGCTGCTTTGTGACTTTGCACTATGATTCATCTCTTACTCAAACACATAATTTTTATTTCAATCATTTGATATTTGAATTATTGCATTGTCAGTGTCTCTACTGTCTGTGCACAGCTTCACAAGTAAATAGTATTATCATAAATATAATTGTGATTATAATTACATCTGAAGGTCACAATGTTGGCCAAATTATATTTGTGTATTTATACAGCAGTGTTGAATCTGCAGCAGTCATGTCCTTATATGTTTTGAAGAACATGCTGAAACGCTCTCTGTGCAATAACCAATTTAACTGTAGTTAAAGAGAGTGTGCATGTGTATCTACTACTGTATTTCTATATTTACCTTTAATTTTGTTCAAGTCAAACTTTGTAAGTACATAATTGTACTCTCCTGTCTCTTGTTTGTGAGCTGCTGTAACAGTAAAGGTGAAAATGGTCTCTTCACGAGCACTTACCTCAGATCTGAGACATTAAAAAAGAGGATCAGTTCGACTGTGTTGAGCAGCTGCCACTCTTTGAAGCAGAAATGCATATATACCAGTGAACAGTGTGCATCCTGTAGATAACAAGCAGCCCTTCAGCCCTGGTCTTTATGCTTGAGCCAGTTCTGATTGGTCAAAAAAAAAGAAGAAGGAAACAAAACTAGAGTTAACCATGAACCCCCCACCCCCCCAACCCCCCCTTTTTTTTTCAAAGAAGTGGTTTTGTTTTTTCCTCCTTTCTCTGAAGTATTGAGTTTCTCACACGGCTTTGACTTTTTGTTTTTTGAGTTTTTTGAGGTTTTTTTTCTACAGATTTCACAAATGTCAAACTTACATGCTGCAATGCAAGACAAGTCACCCAGCTCAGCCTTGCATGTGACTCTTTTTTTTCCCTTTCTGTTCTGTCTGTAAACCTCAATATTTAACCTTCTCTTTTTAGTGTTTCGGCCACAGCAGCACCTGGATTATTCTGGTACGACAGGCTACAACTTCTGAAACAGCATCATGTGCACAAGTGTCCATAAAATAAAAGAAAACACATAAAAACTGAGAGAGATCATTCTCTTTATCTTGACTATGTTTAATTAAGCAGACTGAAAAAATTAAACCCAAAACTGTACGCATCTTGGTTTAATGGGGAGTACACTGCACCTTACATATTGTCGTTTAAAATCTGTCATTATCACAAACAATAATCTCCCTTCGATTTACAGGAGGTGAAATATTCAAGCAGCCTGATACAATTGAAGCACGCAAAGCAAGTGAATACATGAGCATGAGCGGGTGTCATGTATCTTGACAGGAAACCAAGGGCAGGTGAGAAATTTTGAAAAAGAAAAAAAAAGACCCTGGTCTGAGTTTCACAGACGTTGGTGTTTCCTATTACCGAGTAAGGGTCAGAGAACTGATGCAAAAAAGTGTCAAACTGAAAGAGGAACAGGAGCACAGCATAATACAGTGCATGGGCCCCCTCATTATATGGCTGGGCCTAATGTTTGTACAAGTTGTCCTGAGACGCAGCTCATCAGGCTGGTGTCAGCTACATGCAAAATCTCACTAAAGTTTGACTCAGTCTTTTTTTTTAATCTTAACTGATTCTGAACACATCAGAAAGCCCACACATGCCACAGATGATGACAGATTTAACAGTTTTGCACCTCTAAGTTTGTCACAACATCCTGTTTAGTGAAGATGCTGGAGATTGTTACATCCTGGTCCTACATTTGATATAGTAGATCATACCAGTCACTGACAGACTGCAGAAGTGAGCAGGAATAAGTGATGTGGCCTCTCAGTGGTTCAGGTCATACATGGACAACAGAACTTTTGCAGGTTGTAGTTTATCAAATGGGGTTCCACAGGGTTCAGTTATGGGTCCAATTCTCTTTTCCATTTACCTGCTTCCTCTTGATAATATCATCCGTATATATAATGTCTAATACCGCTGTGATTACTGATGACACCTAACTTTACATCTCAGTCAGACGTGTTGACCAGAGACCTGGAACTGATTCCTTTTAACCCATTTAAGTCCAAAAATGTACAAGCCCCGCCCTATTTTTCTGAACTGTCATCACCTAGCAACTTCTTTTCAACACCTCTGCTGTCATTTTTGCACCTTTATGTTTTACTTAACATGTGTAAACACTTTTTGTAGATGGTTTTCTACTGCTGTTCGTGTCTGTCTCATGGGTTATTAGGTGTGAAAGTTACACCCAAGTGTAACAAAAACAGGACTTAAGTCTTATTAGTGCACAGGGCTTCACTTAAGGTCTGCCATAACTTTCAACTCTAAGTCAGTCGGACTCTAACACCAAGACGTATGCTCAGCTGATGTACTCGGCCTTTGGTTTTCAAGAAAACAACGAAGTATATCAGTCAGTATCAGAAAAGAGAAGCTGCCATTCTGGGAAATGTGAAGAGCCTCTCAGTCTAGGTGTCTTAATTTGCACTTTTTTAGTTTTTTGTGACAGTGAGCGACTCATTTGTGAATACTCTTTTTGTAATTTTCATAAAATGGATTATTTGAATCTATTTCTGTGATCATCAAGGTCAGCAGTGGAGTGTTTTCTCTTGAATTGGACCGTTTCTGATTCATATTTTGAATTGGTCTATTCAATAAATTAAGAAAAAGGATTTTACAGTAGTTTGGTGTACTTTGAGATGATTTGTGGGAAAAATAAAAAGGGATGTGAGATTTTCTCCACGACCATTTTTCACATATTTTAAATAAAATACTTCTTCAAGATTTGAGCAATTCTAGTCAAAGCCTGTTTTAATTGTTCTCCATGTGATCCGGTCTGGTCCTCAAAATGATGAAAATGTACAAAAGCTATCATTAGGTTTTAATACCAAGGATATGCACACATAGTCATTCAAACGTGAGTTTCTTTTCACAGATCCAGGTGTTATTTATAGAACAGTGTTCGTCGTTCCACAATCCTTTCGGCCACATCTCTCCACAGTCCTGGTCCCATTTAAAACTGTCAGGCTGTCCACTCGACCAGTACCTGATGAACAAGATGTCAGAGACATTACCCCTGTATCCTATCTCCAGTCAGATATGCTCTTCCATGAGACAAAGTGCAACTGAAAAGATTGATGAATTACTTTCATATCCTGCTGCTATTTCCCTGGTTTTATAAATACCAGTAGAGTATATCAGGAAGAGACTAAATATACTGATGCTAAAAATTACATTAAATCACTTTAAAATAAAGAATACAGCAGGTCCAGCCCAGCATGAAAACTTACGTAGTGGTGACAGGGGTCCCATCCACCCACATCCAAGACCCCTCTTGAGCACTGTCAGTCAGACCAATCCATTCATCACTTGCACTCCTCAGCCCAGTGACAAAATCCTGTCATCATAACACACAGAAGAGACACAAATGTAGTCAAACCACAAGTTTTCACCCTCCATAACAAAATCTGAGTCAATCCTCAGAGACTAAACTTACATTTATAAATTTGTTAAACAGGAAGAATTCATAACAGGATCACAGAGAGCCTCTGAAAGGTGCCAGTTTAAATTTGCAAATATTTAAATACAACCATTAATAAAAACAGCTAAAATGCTGTTGGTCAGACTTATAAACTGCCTTCCTATCAAAGCAGAACTTCTTTATGTAAACTGGTCAGGACATTGTTGTCCATGAACCTTACTGTACTTTCAATACCAACCAATCACATTCTGGAACTAAATACTCTGATCAGTAGAAGGCAGATCCTCTTCATTTCATCTTTCTCCTATTCTTCCATATGTAATCCCTTTAACTGAAATCAATTTCTTAACCCTAACCTTTTTTTTTATACATTTCTTGCTCTCCTTTTTTTCCAAATGCTTGCTTCCTTGTATTTTTACTTGTTTGCTTGCTCTTTTGCTCTTTTTTGCTTGCTTGCTAGTTCCCTTGCTTGCTTGCTTGATTTTTGCCTTACTTTTTTGCATTTTGCTTTCTTGTTTGATTGCTGTCATTTTTTTTCTTTCAATGCTTTTCTGTTTGCTTGTTTGCTTCATTGCACGCATGCAATCTTTCTTTCTAGCTTGCATACATCCTCCCTTGCTTGCTTATTCCCTTGTTTATTTTATTATTTATTTTTTTATTTTGTTTTTGTTGTCTTACTTTTTTGTTTATTTTTTCCTGTTTTTTTTTCCTTTGTATGCTTCCTTGATGACTTCTTTTCTCTTTTGCTTGCATGCCTGTTACTTTGCTTGCAATATAGCTGGCTTCCTTGCATGCTCCCTTGTTCCCTCCCTTCTCACCTTTTCTTCTTCACTGTTTATGACGACCAGGTCAGCCCCTTGAGCCTTGCAGTCTTCCCTGCTTGCAGCCCAGTTTTTCTTTGCCGTTGAGACAAAGTAACAGCTGAGACCGTACTTCTTCCAGCCTGTGTCACAATTTCTGCCTTAAAGTGAGGAAACAGACAAATTGTCAGTGAAAGCTACAAATATCTAGGCCGTGCATTTAAAAGTTAATGAGAGTTATCTCACCTTTAGCTATCATGGTCACTATGTCTCTGACTAGTTGGGTTAGTTCTCTGACCTGTTGGGTTAATTCTCTGACCTTTGCCTCTCTGATCAGATGAGTGGTCTGTAACTCATCAGACAGGTTCCCCAGTTTAGCTTCATAATTTCTCTGCAGTTCTTCTCTTTGGTTGTTGTAATATTCTCGATCTGTTGAAGAGACAGCATCTGCAAAATGCATTTGATTACAAGTAAGCATCATAAATAATACAAATAGGTATTTGTATCATATCAGTGAAATGTTTGTATCCTTTTTGTATTAAATGACAACAAAATGAGGGTCTAATGACTTACGATAGACAAGCTGTCCTATGTTACCAACAACCAGGAGAGCCAAAAGTAGTCCAACACACACGGTCCCACATTTGGGTGGCAGCTTATTTCTTCTTTTAGTAGCCCCTTATTAGAAAATAACAAAAACAAGGTCAACACTTATTCTCTTTCCTTCCCAAGCTTCAGTAAACAGTTTGTAGTCCAGGTAAAAATCCACCATATAAAAATTATGATATTATTATTGTTATTGTTATTGTTGTTTTTAATTAATAATAATAATAATAATAATAATAATAATACTAATAATAATAATAATAATTTTATTATTAATTGTATCATTATTATTGTATCATTAATATTGTATTTTTTCCTCCCTCTATTTTCCACTTACTCTGATGCCTTACGCCTCCTACGTGTCTTACGTGCCTCACACATACCTGGTCAGGTGACCACGCTCGACCAATGGTAGCTTGACGAGCGATTTTTCAAGCTGTGTAATCAGTGTAAGGGAAAAGCCCTCTGGCAGTTGGAAACGGCTTCCTCTGTAAAATGTCATAGATATTCACTCTTTTACCTCACGTCATGCTTTGCACACAACGTATTTTATTGTCAACCTTTAGCGGTAAATACTGGTCCGTTGGGAGTCTGTTTTCCGCCGTTGTGGGCAGATTTTACTGAAGAATCGGTGAGTGTTGAGTGATAAGATGTGGCGCTAACATGCTAAGCTAGCGGGCTAGCGCTAGCATTAGCATAGATGTGCTAACGGGTTGTTCAAATTTGTACTCATTGTACAGTCTATTTAATGGGGTACTTAAATGTCTTGTTTTATTTTTCCTGTTTTTAATGTAATTATACCTATTATTGAATTTGATTTATTGACAGTCATTTAATCTGAATGTACTGTGAATGTTGTATTGCACTAAATCAATTAGGCATTTATTGGTCCTGTTCATTTAATACAGGCCAGGTGAGTCCTTAAAGGGATGAATGGTGAGCTAAGACAACGGTTGGTGAGAGACCCGAACCATCAACCATCGTCCTACGGATCTGGTAGGAGGCTGACACAGCCTGTCCCCCCATAACTCGGACACCCATGCTCACAATTTCTGGTTAACATCTAAACAAGAAATCTCTTGACTATTGAGTAAATCAGTGAACTGTCCCCATTTGTAAGTTGTCAAGTCAGCTGCATGAAACTGCCTAAACTGACAGATTTCTGGGTTTCCCCTGGACTCTATTGATGGTTGTGTTGCAATTGAAAGCTCATAGTGCACTTTTCAAGTGATTATCAAAAATACTGCAGTGTTTTCCTGGAATTTCTTTCAGCAGCGGCACTTCTTAAGTGTTGAGGTTTACAAAAAAGCTGATATCTCAGCCTCTGTAGCAGGTTGAAACAAAATTCAAAAGTATTTGAGAGCTTATACACGTGGCTTTCAAGGTAACTTTTGTCAGAACTTTCATCGCACCATTGGAACCAATAATGATGGATTTTTTTCTTCACCAGTATTCAGTATTCTGACATATGCTGGATGTTTTTAGCAGTATATGATGTAATGTGTTCATGGTTTAATGTGATACTTACTGTTTTTATCAACTCCTTCCATTTCAATGTCGTCATATATGTCGTCATTAGTCCCAGTGGATTCCATTCTCTGTTTTTCCTGATAGGAGAGACAGAAATAGATAACTGTCCTGCCACAACAGCATGCAACACTTATGCTTACAGTCCCTGAATATCCTTATGAGAGGATCTCCAACCTTTACACCGTAGTCTTAGGATTGTATTGTATGCACAGAAATAAGCTTAATAATTGCTTCATAATACGCAATCATCATTACAAGCCAAACTGTCTTGAGTGAATAAGAGAAGGTTTCCACATAAAAGACACTTCCCCAGGATTGTCCTCTCTTATTTCATTACATGGCAGCTGCTTTGTGACTTTGCACTATGATTTATCTATTACTCAAACACAAATATTTTTAAAACAATTTAATATTTGAATTATTGCATTGTCAGTTTCTCTACTGTCTGTGCACAGCTTCCCTAGTAAATAGTTTTATTATTAATATTATTGTTATTATAATTACATCTGAAGATCACAATCTTAGCCAACTGATATTTCTGTGTATATATACAGCAGTGTTGAATGCTTAATCTGCAGCAGTCAAGTCCTCATATCATTACTGTGTGTCTTTAGGAACATGCTGAAACGCTCTGTGCAATAACCAATTTAACTGTATTTATTAAGTGTACATGTGTATCTACTACTGTATTCCTTTATTTACTCTTAATTTTGTTCTAGTCAAACTTTGTAAGTACATAATTGTACTGTCCTGTCCCTTGTTTTTGAGTAAAGTCTTTATTTCATGATATTATCTTATATTATTTAACAGTAAAGGTGAAATTGATCCCTTAACGAGCACTTACCTCAGATCTGAGACACTAACAAGAAAGGTCTGTTCGACTGCGTTGAGCTGCCACTGCCGCAAAAATGCATTTATGCCAGCGCACAGTGTGCATCCTGCATATAACAGTCAGCACCTGTAGCCTGTTATCTGAAGTTTAATCTTCATGCTTGAACTTCATGCTTGTTGTGATTGGTCAGAAAAAGGAAGAAGGAAACCATATTCAAGTTAACCAAAACCAAAACACATAAAAACTGTTTTAGATTCAGCAGACAGAAATAACAAAAACCCCAAAACTGTATGGATCTTGGTTTAATGAGAAGTACACTCCAACTTACATATTGGGGTTTAAAATCCATCATTATCACAAACAATAATCCCCCCTCGATCTACAGAAGGTGAAATATTTAAGCATCCTAAAACAATTGAAGCATGCAAAGTACAGAGCAGATAAAATGAATACAAGAGCATCAGGTATCAAGGGGACCAAACCAAGGGCAGGTGGGAAAATTTGAGAAAAAAAAGACCTTGGTCTGAATTTCACAGACGTTGGTGTTTCCTTTTACCGTGTAAGGGTCAGAGAACTGATGCAAAAAATTGTCACACTCAAAGAGGAACAGGAGCACAGCACATGCAGTGCATGGGCCCCCTCATTATACGGCTGGGCCTAATGTTTGTACAAGTTGTCTCGAGACGCTGCTCATCAGGCTGGTGTCAGCTACATGCAAAATCTCACTAAAGTTTGACTCGCTGTCTTTTTTTTTTTACCTTAACTGATTCTGAACATATCAGAAAGCCCACACATGCCACAGATGATGACAGATTTAACAGTTTTGCACCTCTAAGTTTGTCACAACATCCTGTTTAGTGAAGATGCTGGAGATTGTTACATCCTGGTCCTACATTTGACAAGGTAGATCATAACAGTCACTGACAGACTGCAGAAGTGAGCAGGAATAAGTGATGGGGCCTCTCAGTGGTTCAGGTCCTACATGGACAACAGAACTTTTGCAGGTTGTAGTTTATCAAATGGGGTTCCACAGGGTTCAGTTATGGGTCCAATTCTCTTTTCCATTTACCTGCTTCCTCTTGATAATATCATCCGTATATACAATGTGTAATATCGCTGTTATACTGAAGACACCTAACTTTACATCCCAGTCAGACGTGTTGACCAGAGACCTGGAACTGATTCCTTTTAACCCATTTAAGTCCAAAAATGTACAAGCCCCGCCCAATTTTTCTGAACCTTCATCACCTAGCAACTTCTTTTCAACACCTCTGCTGTCATTTTTGCACCTGTATGTTTTACTTAACATGTGTAAACACTTCTTGTAGAGTGTTTTCTACTGCTGTTTGTGTCTGTCTCATACGTTCTTAGGTGTGAAAGTTACACCCAATTGTAACACAAACAGGACTTAAGTCTTATTAGTGCACAGGGCTTCACTTAAGGTCTGCCATAACTTCAAACTCTGAGTCAGTCGGAATCAAACACCAGGACGTATGCTCATCTGATGTACTCAGCCTTTGGTTTTCAAAAAAACAGTGAAGTATATCAGTCAGCATCAGAAAAGAGAAGCTGCCATACTGGGAAATGTGAAGAGCCTCTCAGTCTAGGTGTCTTAATTTGCACTTTTTTAGTTTTTTGTTACAAAAAATGACAAATGTACAAAAGCTATCATCAGGTTTAAATACCAAGAATACTCGCAAATAGTCATTCAAATGTGAGTTTCTTTTCACAGATCCAGGTGTTGTTCAAAGAACAGTCTTCATCGTTCCACAATCCTTTCTTCTGCTTGCTGTCCTTCCACATCTCTCCACAATCCTGGTCCCCTTTAGAACTGTTGGGCTGTCCACCCGACCAGTACCTGATGAACAAGATGTCAGAGACATTACCCCTGTACCCTATCTCCAGTCAGATATGCTCTTCCATGAGCCAAAGTGCAACTGAAAAGATTGATGAATTACTTTCATATCCTGCTGCTATTTCCCTGGTTTTATAAATACCAGTAGAGTATATCAGGAAGAGACTAAATATACTGATGCTAAAAACTTCATTAAATCACTTTAAAATAAAGAATACAGCAGGTCCAGCCCAGCATGAAAACTTACGTAGTGGTGACGGGGGTCCCATCCACCCACATCCAAGACCCCTCTTGAGCACTGTCAGTCAGACCAATCCAGTCCTCAGGTCCATTCACAAGCCCAGTGACAAAATCCTGTCATAATAACACACACACAAGAGACACAAATGTAGTCAAACCACAAGTTTTCACCCTCCATAGCAAAATCTGAGTAAATCATCAAAGACTAACCTTACATTTATAAATTTGTTAAACAGGATGAATTTGTAACATGATCACAGAGAGCCTCTGAGATGTAGGTGCCTGTTCAAATTAGCAAATATTAAGATAAAACCATTGATTTAAATAATATATATATATATATATATATATATATGTGTGTGTGTGTGTGGATTAAATTCCTTTTTTCCCTCAAAAATTCTACACAAAATACCCAGTAATGACAGAGCGAAAAACTTTTTTTTTTTTAGAACATTTTGCAAATTTATTAAAAATAAGATACTCAAATGTTGCATATACATAAGTATTCACACCCTTTGCTAGAAAACTCAAAATTTATCTCAGGTGCATCCTGTTTCCAATGATCAGCCTTGAAATGTTCCTCCAACTTGATTGCAGTCCACCTGTGGCGAATTCAGCTGATTGGACATGATTTGGGAAGCCACACCTGTCTATATAAGATCCCACAGCTGACAGAGCACAAACCAAGCCATGAAGCTGAAAGAATTGTCCGTAGACCTCCGAAACAGGGTTGTATCGGTGCACAGATCTGGGGAAGGTTACAGAAAAATATCTGCTGCATTGAAGATCCCAAAGCACAGTGGTCTCCATCATTAAGAAATGGAAGACGTTTCGAACCACCAGGACCCTTCCTAGAGCTGGCCGCCCAGCCAAAATGAGCAAGCGGGGGAGAAGGGCCTTGGTCAGGGAGGTGCCCAAGAACTCGATGGTCACTCTGACAGAGCTCCAGTGTTCCTCTGAGGAGATGGGAGAACCCTACAGAAGGACCACCATCTCTGCAGCACTCCACCATTTAGGCATTTATGGTACAGTGGCCAGACAGAAGCCACTCCTCAGTAAAAAGCACATGACAGCCCGCTTGGACTTTGCTAGAAGGCACCTGAAGGACTCACAGACCAGGAGAAACAGAATTCTCTGGTCTGATGAAACGAAGATGTTACTCTTTGGCCTGAATGCCAAGCGTCATGTCTGGAGGAAACCAGGCACCGCTCACCACCTCGCCAATACCATCCCTACAGTAAAGCATGGTGGTGGCAGCATCATGCTGTGGGGATGTTTTTCAGCGGCAAGAACTAGGGGACTTGTCAGGATCGAGGGAAAAATGAATGCAGCTAAGTATATTGAAATCCTTGATGAAAACCTGCTCCAGAGCACTTGAGACCTTTGACTGGGGCGACGCTTCATCTTCCAGCATGACAATGACCCTAAGCACCTGGCCAAGAAGACAAAGGAGTGGCCTCAGAACAAGTCTCTGAATGTCCTTGAGTGGCCCAGCCAGAGCCCAGACTTGAACCCGATTGAACATCTTTGGAAAGACCTGAAAGTAGCTGTGCACCGACGCTGCCCATCCAACCTCACTGAGCTTGAGAGGATCTGCAAGGAAGAATGGGGGAAAAACTCCCCAAATCCAGGTGTGCCAAGCTTGTTGCATCATACACAAGAAGACTGGAGGCTGTAATCGTGGCCAAAGGTGCTTCGACCAAGTATTGAGTAAAGGGTGTGAATACTTATGTATATCCAACATTTGAGTGTTCTTATTTTTAATACATTTGCAAAATGTTCTAATAAAAGTTGTTCACTTTGTCATAATGGGGTATTTTGTGTAGAATTGTTTAGGGAATAAGGGAATTTAATCCATTTTGGAATAAGGCTGTAACAAAATACAAAATATGGAAAAAGCGAAGTGGTATGAAGACTTTCCGGATGCACTGTGTATATATATATATATGCTCTGCTGTATGTCAGACATATGAACTGCTCTCCTATCAAAGCAGAACTTCTTTCTGTAAACTGTTGAGAACGTTTTTGTCCATGAGCTTCACTGTACTTTCAGTACCAACTAATCACATTCTGAAACCAAATACATCGATCAATGGAAGGCAGCTCCTCTGTATTTCATCTTTCTCCTATTCTTCCATATGTAATCCTTTTTAATTGAAATTATTGTGATGACTGTTTTCCCATTGTTATGCTTTCTTGCCCTTTTTTTCCAAATGCTTGCTTCCTCTGTTCCTTGCTTGCCTTTTTGCTTTCTTGTTTGCTTGTTTGCTTTCTTGTACTCTTGCTCACTTGCAATCTTTCTTCCTGTTCTACTTGCTTCGTTGCTTTCCTGCTTGCTTACTTCTTTAGTTTCTTAATTCTTTTCTGCTCTTTAGGGTTTTTATTTTGCCTCCTTGCTTGCTAATTCCCTTTTTTTGTTTTGCTGTCTCACTTTTTGGCTTTTTTAAATTTATTTTTTCCCGTTTTTTTTTTCCTTTGCATGCTTTTTTGATGACTTCTTTTCTCTTTTGCTTGCATGCCTGTTACTTTGCTTGCAGTATAGCTGGCTCCCTTGCATGCTCCCTTGTTCCCTCCCTTCTCACCTTTTCTTCTTCACTGTTTATGACGACCAGGTCAGCCCCTTGAGCCTTGCAGTCTTCCCTGCTTGCAGCCCAGTTTTTCTTTGCCGTTGAAACAAAGTAACAGCTGAGACCGTACTTCTTCCAGCCTGTGTCACAATTTTTGCCTTGAAATGGAGAAACAGAGAAATCATCAGTAAAAGCTACAAATATCTAGGCCATGCATTTAAAAGTTAATGAGAGTTATCTCACCTTTAGCTATCATGGTCACTATGTCTCTGACCTGTTGGGTTAATTCTCTGGCCTTTGCCTCTCTGATCAGATGAGTGGTCTGTACCTCATCAGACAGGTTCCCCAGTTTAGCTTCATAATTTCTCTGCAGTTCTTCTCTTTGGTTGTTGTAATATTCTCGATCTGTTGAAGAGACAGCATCTGCAAAATGCAATTAATTACTAGTTAGCATCATAAATACTACAAATAGGTATCTGTATCATATCAGTGAAATGTTTGTTTCCTTTTTGTATTAAATGACAACAAAATGAGGGTCAAGTGACTTACGATAGACAAGCTGTCCTATGTTACCAACAACCAGGAGAGCCAAAAGTAGTCCAACACAGACAGTCCCACATTTTGGTGGCAGCTTATTTCTTCTTTGAGTAGCCCCTTATTAGAAAATAACAAAAACAAGGTCAACACTTATTCTCTTTCTTTCCTAAATTTCAGTAAACAGTTGGTAGTCCAGGTAAAAATCCACCATATAAAAGACATATTATTATTATTATTGTTATTGTTGTTTTTTTTATTACAATTATTGTTATTATTTATAGTAACAACAACAACATTACTATTATTATTATTATTATTATTATTATTATTATTATTAATAATAGTAATAATAATAATACTGTTAAAAGTAATAGTAATTAATACTACTACTACCACTACTAATAACAACAATAATAATAATAAAAACTAATAATACTGTTTACTGAAATATTATTATGATTATTATTATTATAAATGTTATTATTATTATTATTGTTTTATTTTCTCCCTCTATGTTCCAAATACTCTGATGCCTTACGTCTCCTATGTGTCTTACATGCCTCACACAGACCTGGTCAGGTGACCACGCTTGACCAATAGTAGCTTGACGAGTGATTATTCAAGCTCTGTAATCAGAGTAAGGTAAAAGCCCTCTGGCAGTTTGGAACGGTTTCCTCTCTAAACAATCATAGATATTCACTCTTTTACCTTAAGTCATGCTTTGCACACAAAGTATTTTATTGTCAACCTTTTAGAGGTAATCACTGGTCCGTTGGGAGTCCAACTCTATTTAAGAAGATAACACAGAAGGGCAGCTTCATGGAAGCCTCTGCTGACAGAATGCATTTTAAATTAAGCTGATTTTGTATTTTTGTTCAAGAAAAACTGTACAACTGCACATATGGCTCTCATTGGTAAGATAGGGGTGTTTTTTTCCCCTGGTGCCACTGTTTGCATTTCCTTTGCCATGTACTTCATCACATGCTCCGTGCAAACACTTTCTCAGGTGCTTTCAATCATTGTTATCCCTGAAAAATGGCAATCTATGTTTCTGTTTTCCCAGTTTTTGGAAATTAAAGCAGCCGATTTGGTAATAATAATAACCATCATTATTATTATTAGAAAAAATACAAATAAATAAAAGTACTGGTATCATTTTTTAAAAAGCATTCGGTGAGTTCATTGGTACTCGATTGGGCACTTTTAAAATGGATGGTGGTGACTTTTTGTGGATTCAAAAACAGAATAAAAGCTTGTAGAGTTGCAAATTAATTTAGTATTAAAACTTTATATCCTTCAAAATAAAAGCATTGTTTGACAATGCAGCATATTAAGTAAACCTAAACACAAGACAGAAAAATATCAAGTAAAACACGACAAACAATAATTATGGATCTTTTTCTTCACCAGTTTTCAGTATTCTAACATATGCTGGATGTTTTTAGCAGTATATGATGTTATGTGTTCATGGTTTAATGTGATACTTAACTGTTTTTATCAACTTCTTCCATTTCAAAGTTGCCATATATGTCGTCATTAGTCCCAGTGGATTCCATTCTCTGTTTTTCCTGATAGGAGAGACAGAAATAGATAACTGTCCAGCCACAACAGCATGCAACACTTATGCTTACAGTCCCTGAATATCCTTCTGCAGATATCGCCAAACTATACACCAAATTGTTAGGATTATATTGTATACTGTATTGTGAAATAAGTTTAATAATTGCTTCATTATACGCGATCATCATTACACACATAACTTTCTAAAGTGAGTAAGGGAAGGTTTCCACATAAGACACTTCCCCTTAATCGTCCTCTCTTATTTCATTACATGGCATCTGCTTTGTGACTTTGCACTATGATTCATCTATTACTCAAACACATATTTTTTTTAATAATTCAATGTATGAATTGTTGCAATCTAGTATATAATTCACTGACAGTATTGTTGTGATTATAATTACATCAGAAGGTCACAGTCTTGGCCAAATTATATATCTGTGTATTTATACAGCAGTGTTGAATGCTCAATCTGCAGCAGTCATGTCCTTATATGTTTTGAAGAACATGCTGAAATGCTCTTTGTGCAATAACCAATTTTACCATCCTTATACAGTGTGCATGTGTATCTACTACTGTTTTTCTATATTTACCTTTAATTTTGTTCTAGTCAAACTTTGTAAGTACATAATTGTACTCTCCTGTCCCTTGTTTGTGAGCTGCTATAAAAAAAAATCTTCCCCAGTGGGGATCAATAAAGTCTTTATTATATTATCTTATATTATTTGACAGTAAAGTTGAAATTGATCTCTTAACGAGCACTTACCTCAGATCTGAGACACTTGCAAGAAAGGTCTGTTCGACTGCATTGAGCTGCCACTGCCGCAGAAATGCATATTCACACTGTGTATCATGCATATAACAGTCAGCATCTGTAGCCTGTTATCTGAAGGATAATCTTCATGCTTGAACTCAGTTGTAATTGGTCAGAAAAAGAAGGAAGGAAACCATATTCAGGTTAACCAAAACCAAAACACATAAAAACTGTTTTAGATTCAGCAGACAGAAATAACAAAAACCCCCAAAACTGTATGCATCTTGGTTTAATGAGAAGTACACTCCAACTTACATATTGTGGTTTAAAATCCATCATTAGCACAAACAATAATCCCCCCTTGATCTACAGAAGGTGAAATATTAAAGCATCCCAAAACAATTGAAGCATGCCAAGTACAGAGCATATAAAATGAAAACATGAGCATCAGGTATCATGTTTCTTGACAGGAAACCAAGGGCAGGTGAGAAAATTTGGGGAAAAAAAGATCTTCTGAATTTCATAGATGTTGGTGTTTCCTTTTAGTGAGTATGACTCAAAGAACTGATGCAGCTGGGCCTAATGTTTGTACAAGTTGTCCCGGGACGCTGCTCATTTGGGCTGGTGTCAACTACATGCAAAATCTCACTGAAGTTTGTCTCACTGTTTTTTTTTTTTTTTCCTATGTTAACTAATTCTAAACACATCAGACAGCCCACTCATGCCACAGATGATGACAGATTTACCCGTCTTGCACCTCTAAATTTTTCACAACATCCTGTTTAGTGAAGATGCTGTAGATTGTTACATCCTGGTCCTGCATTTGACACAGTAGATCACAACATAGTCACTGACAGACTGCAGAAGTGAGCAGGAATAAGTGATGGGGCCTCTCAATGGTTCAGGTCGTACATGGACAACAGAACTTTTGCAGGTTGTAGTTTTTGAAATGGGGTTCCACAGGGTTCAGTTATGGGTCCAATTCTCTTGTCCATTTACCTGCTTGTAAATATCATCCGTATTTACAATGTGTAATATCGCTGTTAAAATGACGACACGTAACTTTACATCCCAGTTAGACGTGTTGACCAGAGACCTGGAACTGATTCCTTTTAACCCATTTAAGTCCAAAAATGTACAAACCCTGCCCTACTAACACCAGGACGTATGCTCAGCTGATGTACTCAGCCTTTGGTTTTCAAGAAAACAACGAAGTATATCAGTCAGCATCAGAAAAGAGAAGCTGCCATACTCGGAAATGTGAAGAGCCTCTCAGTCTAGGTGTCTTAATTTGCACTTTTTTAGTTTTTTGTGACAGTGAGCGACTCATTTGTAAATACTCTTTTTGTAATTTTCATAAAATGGATTATTTGAATCTATTTCTGTGATCATTAAGGTCAGCAGTGGAGTGTTTTCTCTTGAATTGGACCCTTTCTGATTCATATTTTGAATTGGTCTATTCAATAAATTAAGAAAAATTGATCATACAGTAGTTTGGTGTACTTTGAGATCATCTGATTGGTGGGAAAAATAAAAAGGGATGTGAGATTTTCTCCAAGACCATTTTTCACATATTTTAAGTGAAATACTTATTTCAAATTTGAGCAGTTCCTGTCAAAGCCTGATTTAATTGTTCTCCATGTGATCCGGTCTTATCCTCAAAATGATGAAAAACTATCATCAGGCTTAAATACCAAGGATATGCACACATAGTCATTAAAACGTGAGTTTCTTTTCACAGATCCAGATGTTACCCGCAGAACAGTGTTCGTCGTTCCACTCTCCTCTGAATGCCATCTCTCCACAGTCCTGGTTCCCTTTCTTACTGTTGGGCTGTCCACTCTCCCAGTACCTGATGAACAAGATGTCAGAGACATTACCCCTGTACCCTATCTCCAGTCAGACATGCTCTTCCATGAGCCAAAGTGCAACTCAAAAGATTGATGAATTACTTTCATATCCTGCTGCTATTTTCCTGGTTTTATAAATACCAGTAGAGTATATCAGGAAGAGACTAAATATACTGATGCTAAAAATTACATTAAATCATTTTAAAATACAGAATACAGCAGGTCCAGCCCAGCATGAAAACTTACGTAGTGGTGACGGGGGTCCCATCCACCCACATCCAATTCCCCTCTTGAGCACTGTCAGTCAGACCAATCCAGGTGTTTTCACCCCAACTCTTCAGCCCAGTGACAAAATCCTGTCATCACAAAAGAGACACAATTTTGGTCAAACCACAACGTTTTGCCCTCCATAACAAAACCTGAGTAAATCTTCAGATACTAACCTTTATATATGTGTTAAATCAGATGAATCTTTAACAGGATCACAGAGAGCCTCTGAGATGTAGTTGCCAGTTCAAAGTTGCAAATATTTAAATACAACCATTAATAAAAACAGGTAATCTGCTGTTTGTCAGACTTATAAACTGCTCTCCTATCAAGACAGAACTTCTTTATGTAAACTGTTGAGAACATTTTTGTCCATGAGCTTCACTGTACTTTCAGTACCAACCAATCACATTCTGAAACCAAATACATCGATCAATGGAAGGCAGCTCCTCTTCATTTCATCTTTCTCCTATTCTTCCATATGTATTCCTTTTAATCAAAATTATTGGGATGACTGTTTTCCCATTGTTATCATTTTCTTGCTCTTTTTTCCAAATGCTTGCTTCCTTGGTTCCTTGCTTGCCTTTTTGCTTTCTTGTTTGCTTCCTTGTACCCTTGCTCACTTGCAATCTTCCTTACTAGTTTGCATACACACTCCTTTGCTTGCTTTGTCTTGTTTTTTTGCTTGTTTCTATATGCTTTCCTCATTACTTTCATGCGTCTTCCTGTTCTACTTGCTTCCTTGCCTTCCTGCTTGCTTACTTTTTTAATTTATTAATTCTTTTCTGCTCTTTAGGGTTTGTATTTTCCCTCCTTGCTTGCTTATTTCCTTTTTTTGTTATTTTGCTTTCTTACTTTTTGGCCTGTTTTCTTTCTTTTTTTTTCTATTTTGGTTTTCTTTTGTATGCTTCCTTGATGACTTCTTTTCTCTTTTGCTTGCATGCCTGTTACTTTGCTTGCAGTATAGCTGGCTCCCTTGCATGCTCCCTCGTTCCCTCCCTTGTTTGCTCCCTTGCTTTCTTGCTTGGTTTCTCACCTGTTCTTCCTCACTGTTTATGATGGCCAGGTCAGCCCCTTGAGTCTTGCAGTCTTCCCTGCTTGCAGCCCAGTTTTTCTTTGCCGTTGAAACAAGGTAACAGCTGAGACCGTACTTCTTCCAGCCTGTGTCACAATCTTTGCCTTAAAATGGAGAAACAGAGAAATCATCAGTAAAAGCTACAAATATCTAGACTGCATTTAAAGTTTGAGAATCATCTCACCTTTAGCTATCATGGTCACTATGTCTCCGACCTGTTGGGTTAATTCTCTGACCTTTGCCTCTCTGATCAGATGAGTGGCCTGTACCTCATCAGACAGGTTCCGCAGTTTAGCTTCATAATTTCTCTGCAGTTCTTCTCTTTGGTTGTTGTAATATTCTCGATCTGTTGAAGAGACAGCATCTGCAAAATGCAATTAATTACAAGTAAGCATCCTAAATACTACAAATAGGTATTTGTATCATATCAGTTAATTGTTTGTATCCTTTTTGTATTAAATGACAACTAAATGAGGGTCAAATGACTTACGATAGACAAGCTGTCCTATGTTACCAACAACCAGGAGAGCCAAAAGTAGTCCAACACAGACAGTCCCACATTTGGGTGGCAGCTTATTTCTTCTTTCAGGAGCCCCTAATTTAAAAATAACAAAAACAAGGTCGACACTTACTCTCTAAAAATCCACCATATAAAAGTCATATTATTAATATTATTATTTATAATTAGACTAATATTATTACTATTATTTCAAGAGCCAATTTCCATAACCGAGGATCAGACCACCGAGCCCCCCCCTCTTTGGTCCATGGCCCAATCCTTCAAGCACCGGGCCCTTCATGTTCCTCCTGCAGGTGGTGGGTCCACTGAAGGTGGTGCCCATGTGGCTCATTCGGGCTGAACCTTGCCGGACCCCATGGGTGCAGGCCTGGCCACCATGCGCTCGCCAACGAGCCCCAACCCCAGGCCTGGCTACAGGGTGGGTGCCCTGGTGTCCCTCTGGGCACACTGTTTCCTTTCTTTCTTCTCCATGAGGGTCTTCTGAACCATTCTTAGTCTAACCCTTCACCAAGGACCAATCTGCCTTGGGAGACCCTACCAAGGGCAAAATGCCCGGACAGCATAGCTCCTAGGTTCATTAGAACATGCAAACTCCTCCAGCACGGTAAGGTAACGGTTCAAGGTGGGGAGATGGGAGTTTGCCCAACCAGTCCACATGTGTTTTGTGGACTTGGAGAAGACCTATGACTGTGTCCCTAGGGGAATCCTGTGGGGGATGCCTCAGGAGTATGGAGTGGATGGTTCCTTATTAAGGGCCGTTCAATCCCTTTACCAAAAGAGCAAGAGCTTGGTCTGTGTAGCGGGTTTTAAGTCGGACTCGTTTCCAGTGAGAATTGGAGTCTGCCAGGTCTTCCCTTTGTCACCGTTTCTGTTCATAACCTTTATTGAATTTCTAGGTGCAGTCGGGGGGTGGAGGGTGTCCAGTTAGGCAGGCAGAGGATCCCGTCGCTGCTTCTTGCGGATGATGTGGTTCTTCTAGCTTCGTCGAGCAGTGACCTTCAGCTCTTGCTGGGGCGGTTTGCGGCTGAGTGTAAAGCGGCTGGGATGCGAATCAGCACGTCCAAAGCCATGGTCCTCAGTCGGAAAAGGGTAATAAGTATTCTCCAGTTCAGAGGGGAGGTCCTGCCTCAAGTGGAGGTATTAAGGTATCTCGGGATCTTATTCACGAGTGAGGGTAGGATGGAGCGGGAGATCGAAGAAAACGACGACGACGATTATTATTTGGAGCAGTTTCCTCTCCAACGTTGATAGACATTCACTCTTTTACCTCACGTCATGCTTTGCACACAAAGTATTGTATTATCAACCTTTAGAGGTAAATACTGGTTTGTTGGTAATCTGTTTTCCGCCATCGTGCGCAGATTAAACTGAAGAATTGGTGTGTGTTGAATGATCAAATGTGGCGCAAAAATGCTAAGCTAGCAGGCTAGCGCTAGCATTAGCATAGATGCGCTATCAGGTTTATTTGAATTTGTACTCATTTACAGTCTATTTAATAGGGTACTTGGATGATTTTGTTTTATTTTGCCTGTTTTGAATGTAATTATCCCTATTATTGAATTTGATTTATTGACAGTCATTTAATCTGAATGTAATGTGAATGTTGTATTGCACTAACTCAATTAGGCTACTGCTCAATAGCCAAACATGAAAGGTAATTATTTGCAGCATGTTCATTTCATTTATGATTTATGTGTGGACAAATTAAATACAGGCCAGGTGAATCCTTAAAGGGATGAATGGTGAGCTAAGATAACTATTGGTGAGAGAACTGAACCATCAACCATCGTCCTACAGATCTGGTAGGAAGCTGACACAGCCTGTCCCCCCACAACGCGGACAACCATGATCACAATTTCTGGTTTACATCTGGACAATAAATCTATGGACTATTGTGTAAATCAGTGAACTGATTTAAACTGATGATTGTGTTTCATTTGAAAACTCATACTGCACTTAACAAGTGATTATCAAAAATACTGCAGTGCCTGTAAATATCTTTGGGTTTCTTTTTGGTTTTCAACATAACTTTTGTTATTCTGTATTCATCACAACACATGTTACAATCACCATTCAAACTTGATTCCATCTCTGCCTCTTAATAACGTAGACCAGCTCCAGCAGCCGTACCTAAACTCTTTGTCCTAGCCCATACTAGAGCCACTTGTTGGTATGGCAACTGCTACATTTTGATAACACATTAGTAATACCATATAAGCCTTTAACACATGCTTCAAGTTACACTTCAGACTTCCTGTCCAAAAACAGGAACAAAGACAGAAAGACAAGCCTGGTTTTGAGATAAAGTGTGAGACCGTTATTTCTTAATAAATGGGTGATTTAAATTCAGTCATCCCTTTTTTGGAGTCTGATTTGAAGTCATTCCCCTACACGGACTAACAGTTTCTGGTCTTTCTATGGTAGTAACCTCTGTTTTTGTTTTCTTGCTGAATACTGATCTAACTTATGAGTTTGACAGCACCAACTCCAGATGGCTTAATGATTCTGAGGTTAATCATGCCTCATAAGCATCAACCCGATCAAACTCTTTTTAAGAAGATAACACAGAAGGGCAGCTTCATGGAAGCCTCTGCTGACAGAAGGCATTTTAAATGAACTTGATTTTGTATTTTCGTTCAAGAAAAACTGTACAACTGCACATATGGCTCTCATTGGTAAGATAGGGGTGTTTTTTGGAAATTGAAGCAGCCGATTTGGTAATAATGATAACCGTCATTATTATTAGAAAAAATAAAAGTACTGGTATCATGTTTTAAAAAAGCATTTGGTGAGTTCATTGGTACTCGATTGGGCACTTTTAAAATGGATGCTGGTGACTTTTTGTGGATTCAAAAACAGGATAGAAGATTGTAGGGTTGCAAATTAATCCAGTATTAAAATTTTATATCCTTCAAAATAAAAGCATTGTTTGACAATGCAGCATATTAAGTAAACCTAAAGACAAGACAGAAAAAATATTAAAGTAAAACACGACAAACAATAATGATGGATTTTTTTCTTCACCAGTTTTCAGTATTCTGACATATGCTGGATGTTTTTAGCAGTATATGATGTTATGTGTTCATGGTTTAATGTGATACTTAACTGTTTTTATCATATTCTTCCATTTCAAAGTTGCCATATATGTTTTCATTCGTCCCAGTGGATTCCATTTTCTGTTTTTCCTGATAGGAGAGACAGAAATAGATAACTGTCCAGCCACAACAGTATGCAACACTTATGCTTACAGTCCCTGAATATCCTTCTGCAAGGATCTCCAACCTTTACACCATAGTCTTAGTCAAGTTTGGATTTCATTGTATGAACAGAAATAAACTTAATCATCACTTGATCATAAGCAATCATCATTACAAGCATAACTGTCAAAAGTCAATAACAGGAAATTTCAAAATAAAAGACACTTCCCCAAAATCATCCTCTCCTGTTTCAATACAATGCAGCTGCTTTGTGACTTTGCACTATGATTCATCTATTACTAAAACACATTAATTTTTATGTAAATAATTATTATTTTTTTAGACCTCCAGGCGAGTCCATCGACTACAGCGGGGGGATGCAGCTCAAAGAAGAACATTTATGATCATTTCCTTGGAGTAATAATCACCATAGTAATAATTTTGCACTGCAGACACGGTAGTTCTTCTGCCTTAGCGTCTCAGTCTGATTGTATTTCCATGAAGAAATGATCATAAATGTTCTTCATTTGGTAGCATCCCCTCGATGAACTCGCCCAAAAACAAGCAGCTGCTGGAAGAGAGACGGTGAGTTGTGTTTAGTCTCTTTGTTGTAGAAATCAGGCAAAGTTAAAAGAAAGATGTATGGTGGCTAGTACTATGGCTGGGACCCTATATGTATTGTTGATGAAGTTAGGTGCTGTTCTGAGCATTATTTGTGGCTGTAGAGTGGCGCTTTGGTTGAGCGTGTGGCTCTCTGTACTGCTATCTGTGGTCATTCCTAAAGTTGGTGTAACTAGAGAAGCAAGCAGTCGGCAACATTCCTCTCTCGCCGGAGTGTCTAACTTGGTGTTACGGTGTTGAACTTAATTTTACGCTGGGATATCCCTTTAATCATCAGCAGTCATGTCCTCATATCAGTACTGTGTGTTTTGAAGAACATGCTGAAACGCTCTCTGTGCAATAACCAATTTAACTGTAGTTCTAGAGTGTGCATGTGTATCGACTACAGTATTCCTTTATTTACTCTTAATTCTGTTCTAGTCAAACTTTCTAATTGTACTCTCCTGTCCCTTGTTTTTGAGCTGCTGTAGAAAAAAGCATCTCCCCCAGTGGGGATCAATAAAGTCTTTATTATATTATCTTATAGTATTTAACAGTTAAGGTGAAAATGGTCTCTTAACGAGCACTTACCTCAGAGCTGAGACACTAACAAGAAAGGTCTGTTGGACTGCGTTGAGCTGCCACTGCCACAGAAATGCATTTATGCCAGTGTACAGTGTGCATCCTGTAGATAACAGTCAGCATCTGTAGCCTGTTATCTGAAGGATAATCTTCATGCTTGAACTCAGTTTTGATTGGTCGGATAAAGGAAGAACCAAAACACATAAAAACTCTTTTAGATTCAGCAGACAGAAATAACAAAAAACCCCAAAACTGTACGCATGGATGGATCTTGGTTTAATGAGAAGTACACTCCAACTTACATATTGTGGTTTAAAATCCATCATTATCACAAACAATAATCCCCCCTCAATCTACAGAAGGTGAAATATTTAAGCTTCCCAAAACAATTGAAGCATGCAAAGTACAGAGCAGATAAAATGAATACAAGAGCATCAGGTATCAAGGGGACCAAACCAAGGGCAGGTGGGAAAATTTTGGAAAAAAAAGACCTTGGTCCGAATTTCACAGACGTTGGTGTTTCCTTTTGCCGTGTATGAGTCAAAGAACTGATGCAAAAAAAATTCTCACTGAAAGAGGAACAGGAGCACAGCACATGCAGTGCATGGGCCCCCTCATTATACGGCTGGGCCTAATGTTTGTACAAGTTGTCCAGAGACGCAGCTCATCAGGCTGGTGTCAACTACATGCAAAATCTCACTAAAGTTTGACTCAGTCTTTTTTTTTTACCTTAACTGATTCTGAACACATCAGAAAGCCCACACATGCCACAGATGATAACAGATTTACCCATCTTGCACCTCTAAATTTTTCACAACATCCTGTTTAGTGAAGATGCTGGAGATTGTTACATCCTGGTCCTACATTTGACAAGGTAGATCATAACAGTCACTGACAGACTGCAGAAGTGAGCAGGAATAAGTGATGGGGCCTCTCAGTGGTTGAGGTCATACATGGACAACAGAACTTTTGCAGGTTGTAGTTTATCAAATGGGGTTCCACAGGGTTCAGTTATGGGTCCAATTCTCTTTTCCATTTACCTGCTTCCTCTTGATAATATCATCCGTATATACAATGTGTAATGTCGCTGTTATAGTGATGACACCTAACTTTACATCCCAGTTAGACGTGTTGACCAGAGACCTGGAACTGATTCCTTTTAACACATTTAAGTCCAAAAATGTACAAGCCCCGCCCTATTTTTCTGAACTGTCATCACCTAGCAACTTCTTTTCAACACCTCTGCTGTCATTTTTGCACCTTTATGTTTTACTTAACATGTGTAAACACTTTTCGTAGAGGGCTTTCTACTGCTGTTCGTGTCTGTCTCATGGGTTATTAGGTGTGAAAGTTACACCCAAGTGTAACACGTACAGGTCTTAAGTCTCATTAGTGCACAGGGCATAAGGTCTGCCATAACTTTCAACTCTAAGTCAGTCGGACTCTAACACCAGGACGTATGCTCAGCTGATGTACTCAGCCTTTGGTTTTCAAAAAAACAGCGAAGTATATCAGTCAGCATCAGAAAAGAGAAGCTGTCATACTGGGAAATGTGAAGAGCCTCTCAGTCTAGGTGTCTTAATTTGCACTTTTTTAGTTTTTTGTGACAGTGAGCGACTCATTTGTGAATACTCTTTTTGTAATTTCCATAAAATGGATTATTTGAATGTGTTTCTGTGATCATTAAGGTCAGCAGTGGAGTGTTTTCTCTTGAATTGGACCGTTTCTGATTCATATTTTGAATTGGTCTATTCAATAAGAAAAATTGATCATACAGTAGTTTGGTGTACTTTGAGATCATCTGATTGGTGGGAAAATAAAAAGGGATGTGAGATTTTTTCCAAAACCATTTTTCACATATTTTAAGTGAAATACTTATTTCAAATTTGAGCAGTTCCTGTCAAAGCCTGATTTAATTGTTTTCCATGTGATCCGGTCTTGTCCTTAAAATGATGAAAAACTATCATCAGGCTTAAATACCAAGGATATGCACACATAGTCATTAAAACGTGAGTTTCTTTTCACAGATCCAGACGTTATTTACAGAACAGTGTTCGTCGTTCCACTCTCCTCTCTGCACCATCTCTCCACAGTCCTGGTTCCCTTTAAAACTGTCGGGCTGTCTACTCTCCCAGTACCTGATGAACAAGATGTCAGAGACATTACCCCTGTACCCTATCTCCAGTCAGATATGCTCTTCCATGAGCCAAAGTGCAACTGAAAAGATTGATGAATTATGTACATATCCTGCTGCTATTTTCCTGGTTTTATAAATACCAGTAGAGTATATCAGGAAGAGACTAAATATACTGATGCTAAAAACTTCATTAAATCATTTTAAAATACAGAATACAGCAGGTCCAGCCCAGCATGAAAACTTACGTAGTGGTGACGGGGGTCCCATCCACCCACATCCAATTCCCCTCTTGAGCACTGTCAGTCAGACCAATCCAGGTGTTTTCACCCCAACTCACAAGCCCACTGAGAAAATCCTGTCATCACAAAAGAGACACAATTTTGGTCAAACCACAACGTTTTGCCCTCCATAACAAAACCTGAGTAAATCTTCAGAGACGAAGCTTTATAAATGTGTTAAATCAGATGAATCTTTAACAGCATCACAGAGAGCCTCTGAGATGTAGTTGCCAGTTCAAAGTTGCAAATATTTAAATACAACCATTAATAAAAACAGGTAATCTGCTGTTTGTCAGACATATGAACTGCTCTCCTATCAAAACAGAACTTTATGTAAACTGTTGAGAACATTTTTGTCCATGAGCTTCACTGTACTTTCAGTACCAACCAATCACATTCTGAAACCAAATACATTGATCAATAGAAGGCAGCTCCTCTGTATTTCATCTTTCTCCTGTTCTCCCATATGTAATCCTTTTAATTTTAATTGTCTTGACCGTTTTCCCATTGTTATCCTTTTCTTGCTCTTTTTTTCCAAATGCTTGCTTCCTCTGTTCCTTGCTTGCCTTTTTGCTTTCTTGTTTGCGTCCTTGTACTCTTGCTCACTTGCAATCTTGCTTCCTTTCTTGCTCGTTTGCATACACACTCCCTTGCTTGCTTTCCTTCTTACTTTCATGCTACTTCCTGTTCTACTTGCTTCCTTGCTTTCCTGCTTGCTTACTTCTTTAGTTTCTTAATTCTTTTCTGCTCTTTAGGGTTTTTATTTTCCCTCCTTGCTTGCTTATTCCCTTTTTTTGTTGTTTTGCTGTCTTACTTTTTGGCCTGTTTTCTTTCTTTTTTTCTATTTTTTTTTCTTTTGTATGCTTTCTTGATGACTTCTTTTCTCTTTTGCTTGCATGCCTGTTACTTTGCTTGCAGTATAGCTGGCTCCCTTGCATGCTCCCTTGTTCCCTCCCTTCTCACCTTTTCTTCTTCACTGTTTATGACGACCAGGTCAGCCCCTTGAGCCTTGCAGTCTTCCCTGCTTGCAGCCCAGTTTTTCTTTCCGGTTGAAACAAAGTAACAGCTGAGACCGTACTTCTTCCAGCCTGTGTCACAATCTTTGCCTTAAAATGGAGAAACAGAGAAATCATCAGTAAAAGCTACAAATATCTAGACTGTGCATTTAAAGTTTGAGAATCATCTCACCTTTAGCTATCATGGTCACTATGTCTCCGACCTGTTGGGTTAATTCTCTGACCTTTGCCTCTCTTATCAGATGAGTGGTCTGTAACTCATCAGACAGGTTCCCCAGTTTAGCTTCATAATTTCTCTGCAGTTCTTCTTTTTGGTTGTTCCAATATTCTCGATCTGGTGAAGAGACAGCATCTGCAAAATGCAATTAATTACAAGTAAGCATCCTAAATACTACAAATAGGTATTTGTATCATATCAGTGAAATGTTTGTATCCTTTTTGTATTTAATGACAACAAAATGAGGGTCAAATGACTTACGATAGACAAGCTGTCCTATGTTACCAACAACCAGGAGAGCCAAAAGTAGTCCAACACAGACAGTCTCACATTTGGGTGGCAGCTTAGTTCTTCTTTCAGGAGCCCCTAATTTAAAAATAACAAAAACAAGGTTGACACTTACTCTCTAAAAATCCACCATATAAAAGTCATATTATTATTATTATTAATAATAATTCGACTAATATTATTTGTATTATTTCAAGAGCCAGTTTCCATAACCGAGGATCAGACCACCGAGCCCCCTGAACCATCAACCATCGTCCTACGGATCTGGTAGGAGGCTGACACAGCCTGTCCCCCCACAACTCTGACACCCATGCTCACAATTTCTGGTTTACATCTGGACAATAAATCTATGGACTATTGTGTAAATCAGTGAACTGATTTAAACTGATGATTGTGTTTCATTTGAAAACTCATACTGCACTTTTCAAGTGATTATCAAAAATACTGCAGTGCCTGTAAATATCTTTGGGTTTCTTTTTGGTTTTCAACATAACTCTTGTTATTCTGTATTCATCACAACACATGTTACAATCACCATTCAAACTTGATTCCATCTCTGCCTCTTAATAACTTAGACCAGCTCCAGCATCTGTACCTCAACTTTTTATCCTAGCCCATACTAGAGCCACTTGTTGGTATGGCAACTGCCACATATTAATAACACATTAGTAATAGCTAATAAGCCTTAAACACATGCTTCAAGTTACACTTCAGACTTCCTGTCCAAAAACAGGAACAAAGACAGAAAGACAAGCCTGGTTTTGAGATAAAGTGTCAGACCATTATTTCTTAAAAAATGAGTGATTTAAATTCAGTCATCTCTTTTTTGGAGTCTGATTTGAAGTCATTCCCCTACACGGACTAACAGTTTCTGGTCTTTCTATGGTAGTAACCTCTGTTTTTGTTTTCTTGCTGAATACTGATCTAACTTATGAGTTTGACAGCACCAACTCCAGATGGCTTAATGATTCTGAGGTTAATCATGCCCCATAAGCATCGACCCGATCAAACTCTTTAAGAAGATAGCACAGAGGGGCAGCTTCATGGAAGCCTCTGCTGACAGAAGGCATTTTAAATGAACTTGATTTTGTATTTTCATTCAAGAAAAACTGTACAACTGCACATATGACTCTCATTGGTAAGATAGGGGTGTTTTTTGGAAATTGAAGTGGCCAATTTGGTAATAATGATAACCGTCATTATTATTAGAAAAAATAAAAGTACTGGTATCATGTTTTAAAAAAGCATTTGGTGAGACCATTGGTACTCGATTGGGCACTTTTAAAATGGATTCTGGTGACCTTTTGTGGATTCAAATACAGGATGGAAGATTGTAGGGTTGCAAATTAATCCAGTATTAAAATATTATATCCTTCAAAATAAAAGCATTGTTTGACAATGCAGCATATTAAGTAAACCTAAAGACAAGACAGAAAAATATCAAAGTAAAACACGACAAACAATAATGATGGATTTTTTTCTTCACCAGTTTTCAGTATTCTGACATATGCTGGATGTTTTTAGCAGTATATGATGTTATGTGTTCATGGTTTAATGTGATACTTAACTGTTTTTATCATATTCTTCCATTTCAAAGTTGCCATATATGTTTTCATTCGTCCCAGTGGATTCCATTTTCTTTTTTTCCTGATAGGAGAGACAGAAATAGATAACTGTCCAGCCACAACAGTATGCAACACTTATGCTTACAGTCCCTGAATATCCTTCTGCAAGGATCTCCAACCTTCACACCATAGTCTTAGTCAAGTTTTGATTTCATTGTATGAACAGAAATAAACTTAATAATCGCTTAATCATAAGTGAATAATAAGTGAATCATAAGTGAATAACGGAAAGTTTCCACATAAAAGACACTTCATCCATTACTCAAACACATGAATTTTTATGTAAATAATTAATAATTTTTTTATAGACCTCGAGGCGAGTCCATCAACTACAGCGGGGGGACGCAGCTCAAGGAAAAACATTTATGATCATTTCCTTGAAGTTATAATCATCATATTAATCATTTTTCACTGCAGACGCGGTAGTTCTTCTGCCTTAACATCACAGTCTAATTGTATTTCCATGAAGAAATGATCATAAATGTTCTTCCTTGAACTGCGTCCCCCCGCTTCACTTGATGGACTCGCCCGAGGGTTTCTGTACAAACAAGCGGCTGCTGGAAGAGAGACGGTGAGTTGAGTTTAGTCGCTTTGTTAAAGAAATTAGTCAAAGTTAAAAAGATGTATGGTGCCTAGTACTATGGCTGGAACCCTATATGTACTGTTGATGAAGTTAGGTGCTGTTCTGAGTATTATTTGTGGCTTTGGTTGAGCGCGTGGCTCTCTGTATTGCTATCTGCTGTCGTTCCTAAAGTTGGTATAACTAGAGAAGCAAGCGGTCGGCAACATTCATCTCTCGTTGGAGTGTCTAACTCGGTGTAATGGTGTTGAACTTAATTTTACGCTGGAATATCCCTTTAATCATCAGCAGTCATGTCCTCATATCAGTACTGTGTGTTTTGAAGAACACGCTGAAACGCTCTCTGTGCAAAAACCAATTTAACTGTAGTTCTAGAGTCTGCATGTGTATCTACTACTGTATTCCTTTATTTACTCTTAATTTTGTTCTAGTCAAACTTTCTAAGTACATAATTGTACTCTCCTGTCCCTTGTTTTTGAGCTGCTGTAGAAAAAAGCATCTACCCCTGTGGGGATCAATAAAGTCTATATTATTTTATCTTATACTATTTAACACTAAAGGTGAAAATGGTCTCCTAACAAGCACTTACCTCAGATCTGAGACACCTACAAGAAAGGTCTGTTCGACTGCGTTGAGCTGCCACTGCCGCAGAAATGCATGTATGCTAGTGCACAGTGTGCATCCTGTAGATAACAGTCAGCATCTGTAGCCTGTTATCTGAAGGATAATCTTCATGCTTGAACTCAGTTTTGATTGGTCAGATAAAGGAAGAAGGAAACCATATTCAAGTTAACTAAAACTAAAACACATAAAAACTCTTTAAAATTCAGCAGACAGAAATAACAAAAAGACATGCATCAACTGTGATGCACGTCTATGTCATACCCCCCCCCCCCCCCACACACACACACACACACACACACACACACACACACACTCCACCCCCCGCCAGAGCGAAAAAGCTAGGGGGAAACACTGAAGTGAGTTACAAGAACGCACAGTAATACCATGGTCAGTTGTGGGCAGGTGCTAAGTCATTCTGAAAATAGAAACCAGCATCTTTGTGACGCCGATCAGCAGATTGAAACATGAAGCACTCCAAAATCTTCTGGTGGAGGGCTATGTTGACTCTGGACTTGATGAAACTCAGCAGACCGGCAGCAGCAGATGACATAGCACCTCAAATCAATATAGACTGCAGAAACTTCACACTGGACTTTAAGCACCTTGGATTCTCTGACTCCCCAACCTTCATCCAGACTCTACGACCTTGGACCTCAGTTTGCTCCTCGTGAAACATTAAAGGAAGTTTAATAATACAATACAAGAACTTGATTGATCCCCAAAGGTAAATTTGTTTGTCTGGAACTTCATCTCATCTACTAGTTAAAGAAGAATGAACAAGTCTGATGGCTGTGGATACAAAAGATCATCTTCTGAATCATCTTCTGAAAATGAGTCGAGAGTATTTGCAGTTCTACTTTCTTGGATAAACAGAGGAAAGTGTTTTCCATTTTCTTGATATTCTCATGTTATTGAGATGCATATGCAAACTTGATAGGAAATTTTCAGCGCATTTGTACGCTGGATTGTGCAGGCTTGCAGAAATGGCAGCCTGTGAACTCGTGAAAAAATCTTTCTGGCAGTGGAACCTGACACTGAAGAAAAGTGCTTTGTAAGACAACTGAACAATAACCTCTGCTCGCGGCGCCTGCAGGCAGGAGGACCTGGCATACGATTACAGCACCTAAAAAAAAACACAAAGCAGAGAGGCAGATATACGGGTGTATTTTCTGTCCCGCTCACCTGCAGGTGTTCCTGCACAGCAGGAGGCGGCTGAGCGTCTGATTCAGCCATCGCATTTCTGCCACTGTTGGAAAGCGCTCGCTCAGGGTCTCTGGGACCACACAGCTTTGTTTACCACATTCCTCTGGCAGTCAAGCTGAGTTTGATTGACACCTGTGGCCAGTGAGTCACAGGTACAGGCCCGGTCTCAACCCCAACTCCTACTAACACCTGCAACCAGCTTCCCTGATGAAGAAAAACTCAGGGGCTGGTTCAGTAATCTCACAGCTCTGGCCTTTCACCCTCAACTCTCTTGACGTTTCCTCACATGACTAGAAATAAACCCACGGCACACATAAACAACGCACTTTAGAGAGACAGGTGCAAGAAGACGCACATAAATACAAGTTTAGGGCTTCAGGGTCCAAATCCTCAGATTATCCCCAATACAGTCTATTTAGAAACAATTCTCTAAGTTTCTCAAAGTATCAGCACTACAATCTGTTCAAATTCTGCATGTTGCACACTGCAGCACTAATATGCAGTATATTTAGTCACACACACACAGACAAAGGTAGGCGAGGACTGGCGTGTCAGCACCACTTAGTCAACACTCATCTGTCCACCACCCTCATCATCCTGAGGGAAGGTGGAGGTGGAGGTGGAGGGGGCTGGCTGGTCGGTTGGTTGGTTGATGCAGGTGACCTGTCTTCCCACACGGTCCATCGAGCCTCTGACACGCTGCAAAGCCTTGAGGGGGATCAAACACAAAGCCCCCGCTCATCACAGAACTCTGTGTTCTCCACCATCTGATGGTGTTTTTGTGTAAACAGCCCGAAAGCGTCTCCTTTAATTATATATGAAAAAAAGCGGAGATTAGTGTGCTGACAGTTACCTCAATGGAGCTAATTGTGAGTCATTTCATAGAGCAGCAGAGTTGAAAATGACTGCTGGCGTTCGGCCCAAATGTGTCCATTAAAGACGGCTTTGAACTGGTCTTACTAATGGAGGAGGAATCTGGCAGTAATGTCAGGAAATAAGAACTCGAACAATTCAGCAGCAATTTAGCCAAGGAAAAGAAAACCACACCTTTGGGTCATTTAAACGCCAGTTTCGGATATTATTTTATCAATGGACCTCTTATTGTTTGCCCAAGCGGAATGGTAAAACTTGATTAGATTAGAGAGGTGTTGGTCATTATTGTGTTCTTGATGTTGCTCTAAAGTCTTGTAAATTTTAAAAGAAGCCGCCCCAATCCCAGCAGCTTTAAACAATACAGTCATCTCTCGGACTACTCCAGCGTCGATTTTCACAGCCTCTCC